TAAGAATGGAGGCAAGAATGGAGGGCCTCCTCAACCAAACAAGCACTGAGCTGCCATCATTGAGGTTGGCAAAATAGCCAGCATAACCTTGCGTATTCCACTAGGTAGTTCTATCAACCAGCTCGCAATCCATTGCCCTACGAGGCAGATGGATTCGAATCAAACAGGTCTCAGCCTTACAAGAACGTGGACGTTGGTCCCACTTTGGGGGCGGCTACCATTCCCACCCCTTATCCCATATCTACACAAAATGTTACTATGGAACGATTGCCGCCCCCAACCTGGAGAAATTCCGGGCCAGGATAGATCGGGACGTATTTTTAGATAAAACGTTCCTGTATTATGTAATTACTCTCTTGAGCTCGATTTGTATATAAAAAGTTGGAAAAAAAATCAAATTTGGCGAGGAACAAGTCGAAACGCGATATGGCACGGACTATGAAGGACGGATGACAGTGGACTGAACTCCGCTCACTCCGCCAGTACATTTCAAGCTAGTGAACACCACGTGGGTGACAGAAAACGTGGTTCTCTAGCGCTTGTTACGGCACTAAAGTCTTTGACCTAGGATGGGAAATCTCCGAACCACTTAAATATACATTATTCACTCGATCCATTCCATTTGTCTTCTCGAACGAAGGATTTCATGAAGGTAGACGCGTTGGTATTCAGATGATATCCCTCCAGGTAAGTAGGATGTGAAACCTAGATGAGGATTGTCCAAAAACAGCTTTCTAGAACACCCCTCAAACGCCGGGGTTTGGTATCGAATGGTTTGGATGCGGCTGTTACTTGCTTGCTTGCCTTGCCCCGATCCCCCTCCGATGGGGCTGCTGCGCCCACCGCGAAGTCATCCTTCCGAGCTATCCTAGGAGGAGCAATCACGATCTAACCATTATCACTCTCCTTCGTTGATGACTAGCGTCTTAGAAATCTACCCAAGCCCAAATCCCGAAGACGTCTTAATGACACAAAAGGTTTCAACTTTGTTTCTTGTGACGGACCTGGCGATAATTCGGTAGATATTGCATGCCTCTCGGCCCGTTACTGAGGAACTTGGTACCAATGAAGTACCGGCACAGACCGAAAAAGAAAAAGAGATTTCCAAATTTTTGTTTGCCTAGGATCGAGCATCTTCACCGCTTTATTAAGTACTTTATTAGGTACTTACGCGCGAAGACGCCCTAAGTCCTGACCTAGTTCGCTAACCACAGAGCCGGGACGTCCGCGGACGGTTAGATGGACATCCCGACATCCTCATTAGCTAGCTCCCATTACCTAGGTAGGTAGAGGATCGAACGCATACTACAACATATACGTAACGTGGGATAGGATAGGGATGGATTGACGAACAGGGGGGGTCGGCTCGAGAGAGCGGCAATATCCAGCGATAGCGAGTACGGATGAAGGCGAAAAGGGATGTATTCCGTGTTTTTGTCTAGCCAAACCTCTTCCCCCTTTCGCCAAATTCCGCGTGCTTTAAAGGACGGCGGGTTTGCGACGGGTTTGTTTGGGAAGCACTATTAGATCATTTCCCTTGGCGTCGAACACGGACACCAAAGCAAACGAAGGTAGATATGGGCGAAAAAGAAAAAGATCTTCCGGGCTGAACGCATCCCCTAGTCTGCATAGGAGATAGTCTGCGCGGCCGCAACGGTAGCTCTCTGTTACGACATTCTGTAGCACAAAAAATCCCATGCAGCCATGTGAGCATGAAGGAAGCTAGCACCTTAGCAAGCAGCGCACGTCCGCTAAAATTAATGACTTTGACATAACATGCTATGTCGTGCCAGCAACCCAGCTGCCGCTGCTGTGCCGTAGGCGAACAAAGGATCGCCATCCCTGCCGTCCCCTTCCTATTCCAGCCAGTCCTGTGTCCCACGAGCGAACACACCGGCCGGCGGGGCCTTAGCAGTAGCTTGCTCTTCCTGTTAATATACCGCACGCAAAGATCTGTGTGCTTGCTGCTGTAACCCCCTACCTAGGTATAGGAGGAGGAGCGTGCAGCGGGTAGCAAGCAAGCAAGCAAGAAATAAAGCGCGCGCGACAGGAACGTGGGCCTAGTGTAGTTATGGAGCGGGAAGCTCGAGCCGTTAGTGTTGGTGGAATGGGAAAATACTTCAATAACACTACCCTAACCTAGCAGCTTTTTGGCAGAACCTTGAAAACTCGGGTCCAAATCGCGAAAAGGGGGCACAGGTATGATGCTGAACAAAGCGTTCGCGGCCGTCGATATCTATCCGCGCCCCCGTTCATCGCACCGTGAGTACGAGTCCGAACCGAGTTTGGTGGGCACTTTTTCCACAAATATGGTATCCAAGTTAGTTTCTTGGTGTTGTTTGATGTGCGAAACAGACTCTTACAATGTACACGTTGCTGAGTATATAGGAGCGTCGAGCATCAAAGTAGCTTTGACGGGACCTGGCGGGGATTATTTCTGCTTCGGTCCTCTTTAGCCCTAAAAGCCGCAGGGAGGGAGCTTCGAAGGATGAGAAGGAACCGAAAAATTCTGGCCGGCGTCTGCGATTGCACCGTTTACGCGATCTGCGCATACCTACCTGGGTAGCTATACATACGATGTCGTAGTCTCTCTTCTTTCAGAGCCATGCGTCTACGTAATAAGAACTTTGCAGCTTCTACGAGGCTCCTTCATGCATAGTTTAATTCGGATACGACTCTACTAATGTAGGTAGAACAGCAAAGTCTACCTTAGTTCGATCTTGACTGACTCAGAACTCTAACCCAGTGACACCAAGTAGTGATGCATGGCACACTTACGTCTCCGTCATCGCGTATGTGCCTAGGTAGGTATTTAAGGCAAGGGCTGCGACGTAGTAGGGCCGTGAAGGATCGCGATCCTCGGCTTGAGGGCTGGTTAGCTGAAGCTAGGAAGCTATCAAATTTAGGCATTTATATGTCTAGCGTCCAAGTTAGGAGTAGCCGTATATACATGTATTTCGATATGTATATTGACCTATATATAATTCCTATCGTCGCGGAATGCCTGTTTGGCAGAACCGGCATTATTCTGAAGAAGGACAAGGCAAAACACCCTAGATTACAAGACGGTGTAAATAGTGGATGTCGAATCCTCGTGATCAAAGGTCCTTGTCATCCATGGATATTGATCGAGAATGGTTAGTGAACTGCTTAGACAGCCATAGGGTCTTAGCTTTCAGACGATCTTAACAATATGTACCCAGACATAAACAATTGCCAATGTCTGGGTATTTTTGATAGGAGGACAGGGAGGATTATCTCTGACCAAGGTACATAGTGTGGTTGTTGATTTGCTCATGGAACTGTAGAGCTAGTTATGCGGCGAAGACTTACGTCGTGATTTGTAAGTTGTAACTACAGTTGTTAATTTCCTATTAGGTGGCTGGGACCAACATCTTTACGGCGTAGTCTTGAACCTAGTTATTACTATAATAGTGGCATCGTGGTGAATATCACCAAGATTCCCGGTGTAAGGCTGACTCCTGTAAGGCGCAACAAGCTTTTTGGTCTCAGTCGAGACTCACTTGTATGCATAAACAGGTCCATCTTCCCCGGACGTTGAAAATATGGTAACTACGCCACTCATATGCGGCGCAAGTGTCTTCAAGGTCGTCGTACGCCGACTAATCATATCGGTTAGAGGCTCATTTGTTACGGCCACCCGCGGGTGCACCCTGGAAATTTTGCTGTGCCGCTAGTCAGCATATCCAAGGTTTCAATAAGGTCCAGATGCCCGTGGCGTTTCGAGACAAGATCTTTCGGTGATAATGTGACCCGCATTTGCGTGAAGAGACGGAGGAGATCAGAGGCGTTTCTCGAACTCCTTGTGCCAAGTAGTTGGTGCCCCCATTTTCTTGTGGAGAGGAGGCATTGAATTCTAGATTTGGTAAGCTACTAATCATTCGACGTGAATTTTGGTATTTCTAAACGGGAATACCGAAATTGTTTCATACAGACGGCGTTAATGGAGCATCATCCTAGGTCCCTTCGCAAATACCTACCTAACCTAAGCGGACCTCATACTGATTCCTGACAATTCCAAATTATACACATGACATACGAGCTACGCCTCTATAACTTAGCATTGAAGGAATAGAGGCTGACGTGCTCTTGGGTGGATTCTACAGCAAGTACTGAGGGCCATCCTGTTGCCTTCAAGGCTACCTACATTTTTGTCCTGACAAATCTTGTCAAATGGTTGGGGTCAACTTGTAAGAATTTGTCCGACCTCACCTCCGCCAGTAAAATTGCCAGTCATTTTGCTGCCTAGAAAGTTTAGGGGCCTTTAGTACGACGCTATACGTTATATCAGTGAATGACAGGTCATGGGAAAATGTACCTACGTACAATAGAAACGAAGCAAAGACTTTAGTCGGAAGATTTCCAGAAGAAACGTTAGGCAGCAAGATAGGTAACCATTCAATTCATTCAAATCAGTAAAGCTTTAAGGCTAGTGAGTTCATTCTCATAAGCCATATCTATGATTTTGTTCAATACCTGTGTGTTTGAATATGAAGTAGAGAAATCATATAAAATGCAATCCAATTTGTCTTACTCTACCTACGTACCTAGTATAAAAGGGGTTTACTTTAGTACAATCAAACATTTGCTGGAATTATATAAATGCATAGAAATTCAAAGTTGCCTTTGATAGTTTTATAAAGGGATTGCCATATTATGAAGCCATGTAAGGTAGGTACATAACTCAGATTAGATGATAATTTGGAGATGCTGCATTTCTCGCAAGCTTTTATCTCCTGCTGCTTCTTGAAACCACCAAGTAACTGTGCGAAGTAGTGGAATTACATGAACCACAGAAGACAAGACAAAATGTTGAAATAAATACCTAGCTACACGTGTGGGAATGGAGGGACTGTTATGGGACTTTACAACGGGTGTAAGTAATCAAAATGTCAGAGACCAATTGTAAATTTCAGGTACTTAGAAGATTACTTACCCATACTACAAATATTGTGTTCGAAATGTGAATGGTAGGAAAGTTAAGTCTTTGATGTAATTGCTTCTACTCAGAATATAGGGGGCGACTGGAAGCACTAGGTATGTACTTAAAATAATGGCGATTATCTGTGTTGGAAACGGGCATTCCATTTCTCTGATTGCCTCCTTTTTTCGTGTTTGCATCTCTTCATTGCCATGAGCATTGCAAATATATAAACTCAACAATTTCATATCCTCGAATGTTCCTCAAATGTTTGTATTTTCTGTAATACCAATGGTTCTAACCACTCTTGTTTGGTCGGGCTATTTTGTATTATTTTTTTGCTCTATTTCCCGTTCCATTTTTTTGACCTCGTCACTCATGCCCTCCTCACCACTAGCGACTGATAGATTGCTGTCGGTTTCAGCGGCTTTACGCTGGTTTTCTTCGTCCTTCTCTTGCTCTGCGAGCTTCTGTTCTTCATGCCCCAGTTCCTGAAAATCGAGATCCTCGAAACCAATTCGCTTTAGGATAGGAGCGGTCGCATGACGATATAATGTGTGGCCATTGACTAGATCTCCAACTTCGACATTCTCGACTCCTTTTACGTCGAGTACTGGGCTCAGTCCGGCTACGCCGAACTGGATGCTACTAGTTCTGGACAAGAAAGCGAGGATGTAATCTTTCGTGCTGTAGGCGTTAACAATTCTGCCAGTGACCACAGAGCGAAACCGGCGCCAGTCAGCAGAGTTACTCGGAACCGGTGCGCCTAGTATTATTGCATTTTCAACAAGCCCAAAGGCTCTTCGCTCGGCGAGCTGTTGAAGGCACACGCAGATAACTTTCGCACCAAGTGAATATCCTACGAGCGTGACAGGTCGTTCGCCTTGTGCTTTATTGATGATAGCATCCGCAAGCACCTCTCCGGCCTTCTGCGCTCGCTGGTTGGCGACGTACCAAGGGTTATCGATGAGGTGACGGGCTTTCTGTGAAAGCGTTAGTGACTCATACAAGAATCATACGCCTGTAGAGAAAATTCTCGAAAAAGATCCTTACTTACCAGCAGGGCTAATGGCCATAATCCAGCCGTCAGGGCAGCGAATAAGGTGCGTTTGATGATCTCGGACTTTGCGTACGACCAAGCGGTGGAGGTGACTAGAGTAGTGAGCGCATTGCCTAAATTCATCAGAGATTCAAGCTCAAAGCGGAGAGCGAACGTCTCTTGACCCGGTCCAATGCATTTCCAAGGCCCTACTACGTCATCTTTATTACCCAGCCAGCCTGATATACCAATAGCAACCCGTAAGCGGCGTGCTTCTTTTTCACACTCTGGTTGATAGGTGGGCACAAATGCGAAATCTTCTACGTCTCTGGTATATTGCTCCACTATAGCGATTAACGTAAGTATGTTATCTTAAGGGCAATGTAAAAGGGGCAAATTAGGCACGCACTAGCTTTACTTGTCATTCTAGCACCGTAGGCCCCGAATAGACTGCCAACCAGTACACCACTTCCAGCTAGGGCTCCAAGGTATCCCGCAGTAGCAGTGGCCCCGAGACCAATTCCACCCAAGACGGTGCCGAGGCCAGAGGCTAAGAGAGGTGCTGCTAGTCCGCCTGTGATGCCGATGAGAGCTGCGCCGGCAACTCCAGCGATGCCCATTTTCCACCTACGGGCTGTGCGATTTTGGTCAGCTCGTTCCTTGGCCTCCTCATCAGCCGACATCTTCTCGGCTGCCGTCAGGAGGCCACGAGCGACCTTCTGTTCGTCTTCGGAAAGTACTGTGACTGGGAGTCCCAGACTTGTGGTTAAGTATAGCAGGAGGATTCGTGAGTGCGCGTTGTAATGCTCTAGGCTCAGGACAAGTAAGAGAACTGAGTGAAGAATCAACATCCTCTTCTCCCTGGCTACTTTGCGCAGTGGAGTTTCAATAGGGGCGTATATTTTTAGCAGCACTTCTGCAATCAGACCCTCATTCTCACCGGCCACAGTTTCGTCTAGATTTGATTCGAGATCTGAACTCGAAGTTTCTTTTGGTTTCGCTTGCTTCGACTGTTTCTGGGCCGTCTCTCTCGAATTAACGACTTCCCCGACGCGGATAATGATGCTGTCTCTCCAGTCATCAAAGAACTTCAGAGCACTAGTCTTCAACGCGACCATTTTCTCTTCGCCAAGTTCCCTCTCCAACTTAGATAGCTCAGCACTTTCTTTCTCGGATGACTCCTGCGTTTCCTTCTTTTGTTCATCGTCGGACATTTGATCGAGGCCGAGAGGCACGCCATTTTCATCCGTATGTGTGGCAACTTGGCCAAGCTGAGAACCCGTTTCTTTAGGATTAAATGTGTCGATGAGCCGCTTGCGCATAAGTTCAGTGATGTCACAAATCAGAATTGTAAGGGCGCTACGATCTTCATCGTTTTCGAGCACTGTTGTGAGCGACTCGCCTTCATCGTCTTGCGCCTTTGTTGGCTCCGCATCGCCACCACCACTCAAAAACTTGTTGGCTTTTCGAAACATGGATGAAGATTCGTCATACACTGAAAAATAGATTTCTATGAAGTAGGTTGGATTGTCGGGCGGTTTGACGTTGAGGCAGGCTTACTACTAGATACCTCCTACGTCATCTATTTGGATATTGCTTACAGCGATATTCCCTGTTTGGAGATGTATATAACGAGGTGTCACTTCCCCCAATATCAATAGGGGATTAACTTTTACAGCATTGCAGATTCTAAAACTCCTTAAACTTCAACAGAATGCAAATTTCAGGCCCGATACCAACTTTTCTTGACGTCTCATTCGACAGCGCGATGTTATTTGACTGACTAGCGGAACCGAGCGTGTCCAAGTATTTGCGCATAGCATCATCCGTTGTGCTGCCGATATAGAAATTCCCAAGGAGCTGAGCTGTCATTTCAGCATGCGAAATCACCCCTAGACGGATGGCGTCATGTATCATGTCCATCAGAGAGTGCTGCGTTACAGCACGTCTAACGCGCTCTAAAATGTGGTCAACATCTCACCTAGGGTATGAGTAATAGGAGGGGTTTTCGAAACTAACTCTTTACGACTTTGTTCCTACTCTTTAATATTTTGATCTCATATCTGATCAACGAAGAGCTTGGATACTCTGTCTTCAACATAATTTCATGCCCAAGACTAGTGATGATGTAGTCGAGAGGTTGGCTATTGAAGCTGAAGTAGTTGGGGGGCACTGTTAATGTAGTTAGCTTGGCGGGGTATTGCAAAGGTCCGTGTGAAGTCATCGTCACATACAGTCGTTGGTGTCCTTCATCTCTTTCGAGTTGATGACGTCTCACTCAATCCTCAATGGGTCTACATTGGCTCTTTCCAATGTGTCCCCAATCGCTTCGTCGTCCTCTATTTTCAGATGAGTATTCTCGCATACTATATGGTTTTAGGGAAAGCTTACTATAGATGATTACGCCTTTCTCAAAACGAGCATCTGCCGAGTAGCACATGAGGAAGAAAACATCGACAAAACCAATGAGGCGGACTTTTCCAGCTCACCTCTCGCCATTGATCAAGACTTCCCATGGATGAATGTCACTATTGAAATTTGGTCAGAAGATGAAGATGGATAGTAAGAGTGGTATGTGGCAGTCTAAATAATGAGCATACTAATCGCATTCTAGAGATTTGTCGTGTATGGATCTGTCAAACACCTTCAACACTCGGTGGTAGGATGCCATTTAATCTTCTGATGCTCCTAGACGGAGTTTTGCAAAACAGGTGACAATAAAGAGATGCCTCAATGCATACGACTTGCGATGAGAACTTACATGGTTAAAGGGCTATTATCGAGGGCTAAATGCTCTCTTTGACCCTCATATCATGGGGTTCATCCGGGATTGGATAGTACCCCAGTTTCTCACCTCAGCGCCCCCGGAGAATATTGCCTGTTGAGAACCTCAGCTTTGGCATTCTTATTACAGCATCTACTACACTATCCCTCCATTCAGCTCCTCAAGAGGCCGTGATAAGGCTACCCCAACCAAATAATTAGGTCGCCGATTGAACTATTCCACGACTTTCAATCAACTCACCGGCGGAAGGTTGAGAAGGATGACTGACTCGGATTGGTTTCCATACGAACAACCGTCTCGGTAATGGTAAATCGGCGAATTGTATTACATGCTTCTTCAAAGCCCCTTGATATAGGTGGTCTAAGAAGGCTTTACGACGCCGACGGCTGGCCACCCTTAGTAGCCATTAGATTGGAATTTACCGCCACGATGTAGTACCTAGGGAAGGAGCTAGAACTTGGATGGGGTAAGGATCTCTACGATGAACAAATATGACTTATCATTATGGTACTTTTAGAAGGTGGTCTTAAAGGCGTTCACGTCGTTTGTGTGGCTGTAAGTTTGGGGTCTTTCTCCAACGAGTCAATGAGCCTTAACTCGCTCAGTTTCAGCAGAGACTAACGAGACAACACCTGCATTACCAGAACTGGAAGTTCTATAAAGTTCCTTTCTTCCCAATTCTATTCTACGATACAGCTAAAATGTCGAAGGCAACAGCAGAGTACATCGCTACGAGGGCTACCGACTTGAAAACTAAATCGACGGCAGCTTTCGATATCGCCATCAGTAAGAACCCCGGGCAAAATCCGTTCTATGTTGAACGTTTGGCTTGTCCCCAAATTCAAGCCCACGTTCTACGACGAGCAAGATCGATATCCTCGAGGATTCTCCATTATATCTGGTCTCGATGATGTTGAGCTGCTAGATCCGTCCTACTTATCGGACGTTGCAGAGCCAGGTGGCCAAGAAGGTCGCTCTATTCAGGGCACAGTGAGCGATGCGAAGCGGCTGCTCAACAACATATCAGATGTGCTGCAACCACACCTTCCTAGCTCCCGAGCCTTGTCGCTAGCAGAGTGTGCGAGGCATACAGTAAACATCATTCTTAAAATCCTAGTGAACCTCACAGAGCGCCCTATTCTCGATGATAGGACCTGTATCGTTGATTTCGGAAATGTTCCGAAACTCGATCTTTGGCAAAAGGGGCTGATCAGGAGCCACTTCTCAACCCAGAAAGTGATGTCCCTTGTCTGCGGGAGGGACGCTACCGTTATGACCGATCGCGCGTATTGCCTCATGGGCATGCTCGGGGTGAGGTTTCCTACTTTCCCTGCAGAAGGTCTTACAAAAGCTCTCTCGAGATTGTTAGACGAGGTCATTATTTCTTCGAACGATGTTTCTGTTTTCAACTGGACCGGAAAACAAGATGGGACGATCGCTATACCCATCGTCACCAGAAGCCTTCAAATTTGACAAGAACGCAAAATGCAAGAAACAGAAGGCCCAAAAACTAGCAGCACTTCTCCAAATTGAGCGATACGAGGTCATGTCAGATTTTCTAGCTATCTCTGGCATGCTTGTAGATACCATCATGTTTCTTAAAGCAGATCAAGAACATTCCTCTCCTTTGGGTAAAGGAGATCTTGAAAGTTATCAAAAGGGCGAAGTTTGAACAGTTCAAACCGCACATTACAAACATTGTGAAGATACTCAAGTACATCGAAACAGCATTCGACTCTGTGTCGTCAACCGAGCCTCAAGCTACTGCTTCTCCCTGTATGTCCGATCCCGTGGTTGATGATACGACATCTGATCTAAGTATTCCGTTGTCTCCTTCATTTAGCTCGCTCTCTTCCCAATTCAAAGCCCCTTCTCTACCCAAGGACATGCCATCTTTCAAGGCTCCAAAGTTCGCCCGCAAGAAGACTGAACCTGAGGTAACGATACCTAAAGCATCTTCGCAAACATTACCTAGTCTTGGAATTGGGGCTTCAAACCGTCACTTAAAGGGTTTGGGAGGAAAGAGTCTGGGCCTTCCCAATCTAACACAACGCTGGTTGAAGTCCAGACACCAACTACTGAGCCCGAGGCCCGCAGCATCCCGCCAACTCCTACAACACCATCGCTCATAGCCTCCGATGTTCCGAAACTTTCCTTGAACGAACAAGTATTGAGATACATTAGCAGCATTCAGGCTGCAGATGAGAACGAGGACGAAGAAGGGAAACCGGCAACATCCGAGCCAGAGTTACCACCTGATTTAGAAAAGGTGCTGGCCGGAATTCCAGCCCGAGAACTCTCAAAGCCTCCTGTTGAGCCCGAGGAGATCGACATCATGATCTCCCCCAATCCTATCATCATCAAAAATTCGGGGATTGAGGGGTTGTTCGATATTCAACGAGTTGTCATATCGATGGCACAGCCCGAAAAGCTTCGTAGGCAGATCAGGAATCCCATCAGACCGCACCAGAAGATCACCGGCTGGTGTATCATCAGCACCGGCTTTGCCCGTGAGTACACCCCACCTATCAATTACCCCTTTCGCCACGAGACAGTACTTTCCACAAGCTTTTACGGAAATACCTTTCCAAACACAAAATTGAAGTCAGTCTTTTTTACATAGGAGAGCTGATAATTGACGCACAACTGTAGGGGTTATGGTCAGCTTCTCAAGTCCGAAACATATCCTCGAGAAGGAGCTTGATATCGTACAGGCTGTTGAGAGCAAGGTCCTTAACGCGAAAAGTCCGGAAGGGGAACCCGATGGAAACGCGAACGTGACAGGAGAGGGGCCGCCAAAAGGTAGTCACAGTGGAGTACAGGCTACCGGATCAACCTGGCAGAAAATGGTTACAGCTAAGTTCAATGCCCCTGAGCCCACGAAAAAAGACGATGAAAACGACATGGAAAACCCAGGTTCCGAGAAAATGAAATCTGAGGGCGCCAGGATGAGCAGGATAATCAAGTTCGTCCAGGAATCAGACCTTACAGAAATCGCCGGCGAGTGGGTTCTCGCTCGGTTCTCCGGAGTCCCTGGCGCGAAATGGTTTCTTTGTTATCTGGAATTAGGCGGCTCCGGACGCGATTTCTATGGACATCGCATTGTGACTGATGAAATCGATTTCCACAATGCCTCCCCTGAGATGGGTCTTATAAAATATTGGGAGTACTACAGTAAGTATAGTAGTGTTCTCTCCCTTTTTATCAATTTACACTTCCCGTGGAAAGCATATACTAATAGATCAATATATAGTGATGCAGAAAAAGTACAGGCTCTGTAGTATTCTGCAAAAGTTGATGGAAAGCAAGGACTGGGAAAACTTCAAGGCGGAGATGGGACAGAACATCGTTAAGAGGGTGGCCGAGGAGACTGGAGTCAGCGGCCAGGAAGATGACTTCGGCGGCGATTCCGACGACGAAAGTGGCGATGGGAAGATATCCGATACACTGAAGGAGCTAGATGGGATGGCGCTAAGAATGACCGGGGCTGGCCTCGCCCAGCAATTCTACGAGTGGCAGGCAGAACGTCTACAGAAAAATCTATCCGCCGATGTTCTCAAGAAGTTTCCGACACATGCAAACCGGCCTAAATGATAATAAGGACTTGATGTCTTCTAGTAAGTTGTTGTCTGTGCCATATTCTCTCCTTTCTCAGGTCATCATTATACACCTTTTTTATTGCAAGAGAGAGGGTTGCTAACTCTTTTCATAGTATTTCACTCGGCAAAGAACATTCATATATTTTAAATCCAATAGTCTACAATTTATTCCATGTTCAGCTATTACGTAGAGTTTTGACACTAGGTACACAGTAATCTACTTGATTCTCTCTATTAAGTACCTACATGAAAGGTGAAATAAGGCCAGTCTGTTTCTTCTGTTGTCCAGAGGCACAGTAGATTCAATGTCGTGGATTTTAATTCTCGTGACTGCGGCAGAGTTCTATGAAGCAGCTACCTGCCTAGGTACTTAACCTAGATAGTACGAAGTCTGCAATAGTAAGTGAAGGATAGTCTTTAAGTGTGATGAAAATAATAATGGTAAAACCAGATAACCAACACGTTGCGGATTAAATATGGAAAGATTATTTTAGCTGCTCTTGATAATGTCGAGGGTTCCCCTCAGCACCTTACATATACTTTATTTTTGGATAATGCTAAGATATGAACCAAAATTTTCTCTCTTTAATATCACCCAAGAGTAATGGACCTTTAATCATGTGGAGCTTTGTTCTTTTGGAAGGAGGGACCTCATTATTAGCGCATCTAATGTATACATGAACCTCAAAGAAAAGACATCATGAATCAATGATGAGGGTTCTAATAAATGCATGTGTGCTACATTCCAAAGGCAGCAGTAGTTAACGAGTAGCTAATAATCACAACTGCGAAGTTCAGTTCGCAACAATCCATGAACTTTAGAATAACGCGCATATATGCAGTTTTCATTCTTATTTGCAAATTTCTGGAGGCTATGGGACATCTGCTCCACCCAACGACGTAAAACAGCCATTCCACCCCATTCAGTTTCCTTGGGTATTGGATGCCTTGCCAATCAAACTCCATATCTTGAGCAATGTGTCAGTGATGACTTAAATCTAGCAATGTCTGAGCCTCTTATTGAACTCCGGGTCCCCCTAATCAACCATGCCAATCTCATGCAAATCGTGTCGTAGTTATTGTTGTATAGGGAAGGATTATTCCCATTAGCCCTGCTTCTAATCGAAGACATCCGCGTCTCCACCGTCCCACTCTTCGTCTGATTCGTCCTCAGAGTCCAGGAAATCCTCCATGTCGAAATGCCGTTCCATAGGCCGATGATTATCAACTTGGATATCCACCACGTCGCACATGCCATGGATATATTCGTCGTCATTTGGCAGACGCTTCGATACCTTTCTGACTTTGCGATTCAATCCACTCTGATCGGAATGATCAGCGGCGAGTTCATCTTCGCTATCCTCATCATCGGCGTCGTTTTCCCTAAGTAGACGCTCTTTGAGGAGTAGCCCACTCCCTCTAAGCCGCTGGAGTTCTTTGCTGATAGCTGAGGCTCTCGCAAGTTGAGCTTTGCTAAGGTAGCTCGTTTCACCCTCTGACGAAGTGGGTGTTGGTGCGATGTTTGCTATTCGCGTGCTTCGTCGCTTCGGCGTGGGTAACGGACCGGTGCCCCTCAATTCTTTCAGATCTTGCACATCGGACTCGGTCGGAGGTAGGCTGAGTGTCTTGTGGTCTTTGGGCGATTTCATTTTTCTCTTGAAGACTCCCACCATCTTCTCGACCCAGAATTCCCGGAGTTCTTGACGCTGGCGCCAGCCTATATCTAATGCGACCCTAAACGCAATCCTGCGAAGGTTGGGGACATCTGGGGCGCTCTGTACTAAAGATCTGAAAAACATCTCTGCTGCTTTGAAGTCCCACTTTCGCATATGCAGGATCTCGATCGACTGTATCGAAGCGGGCCATGTCGGCACTTGATCTTCTGCAAGGAGTGTATCATACTCCGGCTTGTTGTCGGCGTAGTGCTCATGGTGTCGGAAATAGGATAAATCCATGTAAAGGCGCTCTAGGTTTGGGCAAGCTGACCGCAGGACAGGAAGAAAGGCCAGACTCAACGATTGACAATGGTTGATGGTGAGACTTCGCAAATGATGACCATGAGTCAGTAGGAAATTGGCAAGATCATCAGCCACTACCTCCCAACAATTGATGAGTTCGAGATGTTCGAGTGTCGCCGGAAGTCGACTTAGAAGTGAGCCGGTTACTAGCGTGCTAGATTCTAGGACGAGATGTTGCAGATTTGGCAAAGCAGAAATGCAGGCAGAAAGTTGTACCATCTTGAGATGATTTTTTCTTTCCATCTCCTCGGTGACTTGAGCTTTCTTCGGTAAGCCCCAGGAGGCAATCTGATAATTGACGAAAGCTACCTTCTGGAGGCTAGCAAAACTGGAGTGTAGATGGAATTTCCCCAACTTTTCGAGAGATAAGGTATCGTCGGTGAGGCGAGAATTCCAACGCCAACTCTTCAGTTCCCTTGGCATAACTTCGTGCTGCTTACTACCGGCCAGCATTCTAAGTGTGTCGTCTGCATTACACTTAAACCGTATGTTCTCATCCAGTTTGCGATAGGGCGGTTCATCAGACCCGTGGTATAACTCCACACGAGATAGACTTTTAAGGAATGGGATCGCGTGCTGTAGACGAAGATAGTTTGTCTGGTGCTTCGGAGTTACAGTCGAACCTACTTCTATAAGCAAGGTCTCGATCTTGGGTCGGTACTTGATCATGGTGTCGCGAGGATCCATATTCAGCGTGGTGATGAATTGGCTCATGGAGGTGAAGGGATCCTTGGTGTAGCGCCACGGATGGTAGAACGGAGGGCATCTGTAAAGAGCTGCTAAAGCAGGTTCCGTGAATTTAGTGCATGTTCGTGCAGCTAACAACAAGGTGTTGACTGCTTCGGACACATCTTCTCGTCGCGACGTAGGATCGCGGATCGGTGCAGCCACTTTGTCGAAAACGCACAGCAGAACAAGATACGGGAGGGTTGTCCAAGGAGGGTAGGAGGAAGGAGTAGTGCTTTTAGAAGCTGAAGGTGTAGCCGCAACTGAGTTTGGTGTACGAGGGCTAATGGTCTTTGTCTGGCTTGCTTTAGCGGTGGTTTGAGCTCGAGTCCGACGTTGCGATTTCTGGGGGGATTGTGGATGGTCGTCGTGATTGTTCTTTCGCTTTCGCGTGGCGGTCGAGGTACGTGGGGCAGGAATGCTGGCACTATCCGAATAATCACCGTCCATATATTCATCAGACGAAGGAGAGAGTGAGAGCGCCCTAAATCGAGTAGCTACATTTGGCTGTGTTGAGCGGGTTGAGCGGGTTGATCGAGTCTCACGGACTGGCTTCTTTAACTTGGCCGCTCGGGACGGATTGCTCCGCACCGCTGCTCGTCGAGGACGGTCCATGGTCAAGTACGAGGACCATCAATGGTTTGACAGGGCGGTACGAAAATGAGCTACATGAATATAAAAGACAATGATCGAGTCGAGTCGCGCAAATTTGAAAATGGGGGGTTCAAAAAGTCGAAGATGAATCAAGAATGAATAAGTTGGAAGTCATATGAATTGATCGGTGATGGATTAAATCTGACCGACCTAAGGTTTGCGACAGAAAGGTACGACGTATGAAGTACGGCATTGACTCAGTTGCGGAAAGATACCTAGATTAGCAGTGGCCCACTTAATAAGGTTTTTGATTGTGATTGGATCTACGTCTTACAGCCCCACCATCCCCTTGATCCAGCTGAAAGCATACCTAGTACGTACCTCCTCCAGCTTTGTATGTGAGAACCTTGGACTACTCCTGTAGGTAATGCAGTATCTTCACTTAGAACTAGTAGTTTCCTCGATTTTTGGAAGTGTGTGATTACCAAATCTCGTGCAAATTTATTGTATAGAGCTCAATATACTACGTACCTAGTAGGTACCGCCCAGGAGGTTGCAAGAACGATCACTGGGAATTTCATTAAAGTATTTACACGCATTTGTAAACAGGTATCTTCAAAACACCCGGAATGCATTAGCCTCGAGCAATAGATTTAAACTAATGTGTAAAATCCCAGTGCCCTTGAGCCCAAGCGCTACCGCGAGCATCGACATTTAGCTGACAGGCTTTCTACTACCTACCTATGCAGGTACAGGCCTCCACGACTTCTAATGAGAAAAATCCATATCAAGACGCATAACTGATCCTGGTATATTCTCCTTATAAGAGCTACAGTAACACATATAGTGGTATTCACATTAAACCAAAGGTATACTTATAGGGCCAAGTTGTCAAACCAATTTACTACTTTTTCACAGTCGCAAAAGTGCAATGGTACGAATTATTAGAAACATGGCTAATATATTCCTTTGCTTCTTGTCCTACCTACCTACAATGCAATGACCTTATCCAACTGAAAAATATGATATCTTGCTATGGCAAGAGACCATCCAAGAACCTTAGGAAATATATGGAATACTAGAAATAATCAGCCCCAAAGAGTTTATTAACTGGCATTATATTAATTTGTAATATTTAGATAAATCAAATCTCTGAGAAGTTTGCTAAGCCAAGTGTGAATATTGGCAATAATATAGAACAGAGCAACTACGTATTTTAAAGCTCCTCGTGATCAGACAAGATCAACATGTTTGCAGTATCCATGGTGTAGATCCCACGAAGGTTTGAAATTCCTGGTTTAATACCTATACCTCTTCCCTTAGATATGACTATGTACATATCAAAGATTATTATTTCATCAAAAGTTTATATATAAAGATCAGATATAAGAGATATTCAATGTAAACGCGTGTAAATGTGTCCCGCCTCTTTAGGTTTCATTAATGAATGAACTTGCGTAATACCTTCGTCGCAGTTTCAAGAAAGTCCATGTCATCCATGCGATACCTTGGAGATAATCTTGGAACTTACAAACTTACACAAGGAGAAAAATGTGGATCAGGGAGTAACGGCAGCAATATTTGTGGCTTGTGATTCCTTAATTGCGCGGGTCCGCCACTAAGAAGATGCGACGGTAGCCACAGGCTTGCAGCACTGAGATTTCCTTACCCCTACTGCCCCTGCCCCTGCAGGCCTGGTGCTTCGTGCTTTTGGTGCTGCTCTAACAGCCTACCTTGGTTAGTTGGAACGCGTCCACGGGTTCTTCCACTTTTCACGCATCGCGGACATGTCAACCGCATCACATGCCCTCTTCAACTTATCCTTTATAGTCGGATTTTCCCTATACTCTCCATTGTATCACGACGTTAATGCGCTGGCATACTGGCTACTGGTGTCGCCGAATTCGTCACCTTTTCGAGGTTGCATGTAAACAATCAGGTCCATAGCCACACACACAGACACAGACGCACCCACGCTTGACTTGTTGCTTGTTGCATATTTCATTCATCCCACGGCCCGGTTTACGGTATTCACTCATCCTCACTTCCTTACTTGGACAACATCGTCGTTCCTTCTCCAACTGCCACGTCCAATTCTCGTTCACATCCTAACTCTCATTAATTTATTCTCGAGACTAAGGACTCCAATAATGCCTGCGTGGCCTTTGTAATTCCTAGTTGGTCGTGTCGGAGAGGGTGGTGCTGATTCAGTTTCCTTTTTGCTCGGAGACGGTCCGTACCTGCCTTCTCTGCGTCCCGACTTAAAGCGGGAAGTTGCCCGGACACATTCACAGGGTAATTGGCAACTGCACATGTGGCGACTGGCAACTGTCCCGCGTCAACCCATGCCCACATAACTTACCTAAGGTACCTCCATAATTTATCTGGGTATCTATTTTCTACATAGTATCTCGGATTACTGGAAAGCAGTCAGCCACAACTTCGTGGCCAGCTGCGCCGATGTTCTCCTTCAGAGATGGCTACCATGACTCCTTACAAACGCGAATTACCTTTTATTCACAGAGCTTGGAAGACTGCCGTCGACCACTTATCTCCATACAGCATGGGAATCAAGCTATCTTCCACCAACGGTGACACTGTCGTCAACAATGATCACGCCCTCCGTGCCACCAAACGGCGCCGCATAACTGAAGACTCATCCGAGTCTACGCCGAACGGTATCCTGGGCCATATGTTGTCTGACAGAGACAACGACTACGAGAAGGCGCTCCGCGTTGATGTGCTTCAGATCACACACAAAGACAGCTCTAATCACAGATCCAGCAATTTGCTCAACGGCACAGGATCTCCCGTCAAAAAGGACATCGCAGCTATTCGCGTCCGTTGCAAGCTCAGCATCTTTCGATGGAGGGTTCCTATCAAGGAAATTCGCGTGCTCTATTGCGATAGTCAGATATGCAGTCTCAAGGTATTCCGAGACGCCGATGGCGCGTGTCGGAGGGCTAGAATATATCTCAATTCACCATTCCAAGTTCCGGCGGAAAAGTTATACGTCGAACGGGATGACGATAATGGTTTTGACCTGGCTGACCATTACTTGGTTCAAGCCGAGTTGGAGTCCGCAGGAGATCCTAGTTGGCCGCCTATCGATCTGCTGCCCAAGGATGAAGTAAACGATGCTGACTCAAGTCTCCCGCAGCACTGGGTTCTCACTTCTTCGGTCGTCTACAAGTTTGAGAAGCATCGGGCGTCTGCTCCTGTCAAGATTAGGAAACGGGTTGGATCTGAGACTACGCTTGATCTATCAATGGACATGGATCTTAGATGGTCCACATGTCATAGTGCAGGCAGCATCACCGAAGTCGAGGTTTCCCCACCAGAAGTACCAGCATCATTCCCCAGCGGAGCTTTGGAGCCATTGACAAATGGACATGTCAATGGGAGGTCAGATAATGCTATTAACGGTCCTTCAAAGGATGAGGATGTCTTTGTGGAGGACGACGAAGATCATGAAGAGGCTGCAACTCCCAGTCGTTCATTGAGAACGAGAGAGAAGCAGAATTATAATCTGAAGCTACTTAGTGATAAGGCACGAGGCAAGGAGCGAAAGGAGCGGAAGCAACGTAAGTTGGCAGATACTAGAAATCAAGAAGCTGGGCAGACTACCTGGGTGCTTCCTCGAAATGGAGAGGTTGTATTGAAAGGTTACCAATGCATAAGATGCTTTGGAGTTCATTCATCTATGAACCAGCTCATAGAACATGTAAAGGTTCATCCTGAGTTCAAGTATGACTTTGATCCGGGCTCTTCCCGAATCTGGGTTTTCCAACACGGACAAGAGAACAGGCGTCGGTCCAGCTCGTCTTTCTTAAAAGTCGCTAGTTCTGAAGACCCGGAGAGCGAATTCGAAGACTGGAAGGTATCCCCTCATAAGGCCCAGAAGACTCTGGCACAGTCAAATGTAAGCTCACATCAAACCCCAAGCGTCTTAAATTTATAAAAACATATGCTAACTTCGTATACAGCCATTACTCTCGAATATTCCGAAGGATCCCAGGCAGTTAGTTCCGAATAACAAACAGCCTATGTACGATCGCCTGAGTAAGGCAATACTTGAGCCAGGGACATTGGTTGATCCTCCCGATATCGACGATACTTGGTTGGTACAAAAGCATCGGGATATCATTCGCGATTACAGCGACGTTCACCCAGAAGAGAAGGAGTTTATCTCAGAATGGGATGCTTATGTCAATAAGGAATGTGTCACTTCGGACCCCCATTTACAAGGTGTATATCTCAAGTTCATCCAGACCAAGGCATCATGGTTAGCTGCGTCCCAAAGTCGCATGACGGAATTCTCGAAACATATGGCCTACTTGAAGGCAAGGAATACCCTGACTGAATCTACGATCGTCAAGGCTCTAGCGATCATGCGGCAAGCAAGGGACCAGAAGCGCCCCGAGCAGCCTGAGACTACAAAACCGCCGTCTCCAAGAACTGAGTACCGCAAGTCAGCGTCGGGATGCGCCGTCTGTGGCCAACCTATCCGGGGGCCGTCCACACTGATCTGCTCGAATGTGGTGAGTGCTTCGAGGTTGTATATGAGGAAATATATTACTAACGACTCCTAGGATTGTGAGAAGCCCTTATACCATGTGGATTGCATCCGAAAAGCCGCGAAAGTACCGGTAGGAAACCACAATTGGTCCTGTAATAGTTGTTGCGACGGTTAGCGGGGGGTTATCTAAAGTACAAAGTACAAGCACTACAATATTCCCATCCCGCCTTTGACCTGATGCTGGAAACTACCCAGGTAGCTGATTAACCACCCTGAGGGTGGTTGGAGGCGGTTGATACATCTTAAGAGTCTGGACTGGCATCTAAGAGAGGGGTGCAAGACTCAGATCCAATAATCCATTCAGAGGTCTGATCGCAGCAAAAAATCGAAAGGCATGCGCTAGGGCATCTAAAAACTCTTTGCAACCTACCTATCCACAAGCTCCGTTCCGAACCCTTTCACAGAAGGGTTGAGTGAACATGCTATCATACCCGTAGCACGTGGGTAATCTACAGCTAAATGAATAACAAACTCTATCAAAAAAAGATTAATTAGAACATCAATTCACCTTGCAGTCTACATGATCAATATCCGTAAAATCAGGTAACTTGGGCATGAACTTGTTGATCCAAAGTAGGCAACACATTATTTTCCTGGCAACCCTTGCCCAACTTACTACCCCTTGATTTTTTTGATAAAGCTTCTTCGTTCGAGATTCTGCTAATACATATGCAATTCAATATTATATTATTTATTGTCTTTAGTTACGTGGATAGGAAAGTTCAAGGCCGCTTATTCTTAAAAGGAGTTCGTTGTCACTATTACCAGCAAGCCCTTTTCAACTATTTTCCAGTCTATTTACAGCCGAAACCTACCTAGTTGTCTATACATCACTTGAAAATGTCACCTACCTACGTATTAACGGGTTGGACTGACTGCACTTTGACTTAGGCAGGTCATGTATAAAACAAGGCAAAATTTTTAGTCAACACTGAGTTAAGAACATAGCCGACAAGAGAAGCCGGTGCATATTTTCATTAAAACACATATTCAGGCCAGGCTCGTTCCATATTCCTTTTGCCACATTTATTCAGGAATATGCTAGCTACAGAGTCAAAGTATAGTACAACGAAAGGAGGAGGCGATAGGGTGTATTGTCAAAAGTGGAAGGGCTACCTACCAAAAAAGAATTAACTTGCTATAAATATGTCTTCAAGCACGTTTTTGGCTCAGGCTCGGACCCTTGAGGGCCTTACTTTAGACTTTATTGTTTGATTAGATCTTCATCTCCTTGGCTGTAAATATAATCCGGCAGCAAACTGCTGCAACCACAGAGACACAAGTATTAGGGCATACAACTCGCCCGCCACTTTCTAATGCATCATGCAATCCTGCCTAAGCACATACAAGCAAACACCATGCTACTCGCGCCATTACACTATAACAAGTAGTAGGATATTAAATCACCGTGACCATATTCGCAGTCGCCTTGTTTACTCCATGGAGAAGCTAGGGAGAGCGATATACAAATATTATCAATTTGAACATTTATCGCTGGTCAGCTTGCGTGTGCATTTTGGAGATCTGTTTTAGGCCATGTCTCGAGATCCTCACACTTACAATGGTTAGATACTTCTTGTTTTGATCTCTTGTAGTTATGGAAATTTTCGATTATGGGAATAGGGGTTGTGGGGAAGAGGATCGTACGGGGTTAACAATAACGGGGGCTCAAGGAGTTTGTAAATTTCATCAACCACCTATCTCCCTAGGAAGAACAAGCCCACCATATCGATTCAAATACCTCGTGAGCTACGAACAATGTAGTACCGGAATATTTCGACTCTTGGATATTATGGACTGTTGACACAATTGCCAGCAGCTATTTGTTGCGCACTGCGCCTATTTAGACGTTATTGATAGTAGGTTATAATAAAAGAGTTGAAGGCATGTTGATTCCCACGTTCCCTTTGATATATGCCTATTTTTAAGATAAGTTTAAAGTTGGTATAATGTGCCTCGACCTACTAATGGCCACACATCTATAGATACCTGCGAATTGCGTTCAAGGTCGATTTATTGATAGTCCCGGAGTGAAGTTGAAGTTGAGATAATCCGTTTGCAACGATTAGTACATGCGCTCATAGCTGAATTATCACCTGGCCTAGGCCATAGTAGATATGTTAAGTGAATAGGAGGTAATTCAGGGGTTAAGCCAAATTCTAGTTCATGAACCTTCTTTATTAGGCAGTGATCGGACTCCAAATTTACTTCCCCAAAATGTCTTGAAGGACACTTTTCTGCCCCCCCAAAACAAACTCTACCGATGTCGTGGGATCCGAGCACAGTCAGATATGGCCGGTACCCCGCATCCGAGAGCGTTGGAATGCTGCGCCGTTGCCCAATCACCAGAGCTGCATGGGTTGTCGTTGATAACGACTTGCCTGCAGGTTGGTCTGTAATACCCGCGTTGTCTAGACCACGGGGTTGTGGCGTTGTATCTACGAAGGGATGAAGGGTTGTAACGTTGCGGGGTATATTCGTCTATTATTACGAGTTGCCAGGTAATTGTCTTGTTCGACGGCAACTCGGCCTCGGGGTTTCGCCATGTTTTAAGCCACCAAGGCGTGAACAAAGAGGATTTAATGGATAACTTCCTAACCCTGGGGTAAGAGACAAAGCTACTTGGGAATTTCTTCAGTCTCTTACTACCGTCTCTTCGGGTAGCTGTAACTAATATGGCGAAAACCGGGGAAGATGGCGGGCAATCGCCCCGAGTAGAAGGGGAAGAGAAAGCTCAACAAGAAACGCGACAGGGCGTGATCAGTAGCGAGAAGCATGATTCAGAGATGGGTCTCGGGAATGAGGGGCTGGGAGAGAGCGAGCAGTACATGCAAATTGATCCAGCCGTCGCTACTCGCATCGCGGAAAATGTCGACGATTTTATGGTGAGAATCCTGTAGCAGGCAGTTGAGAATGAGTATTAAGTTCATGGCAGACCCTCGTGAGCGAGGCAAACGAAGCGAACGAGAGGGAACGAGACATGAAACTGTCTCACGCTTTCAAGGTATACCCAAAAGCAATTGCCTGGTCCATGATCCTCTCCTCATGCATTATAATGGAAGGCTTCGGGACTGCAATCGTTGGGTCTTGTAGGTCGCACATTGCTAAGACTTGCTCGAATTCCATCACGCTAATACGCCAATAGATATTTCATTCCCCCCTTTCCGGGATAAGTTTGGCACTCAAGCCCCCAATGGAGATTATCAGATACCTGCGAGTTGGCAGAATGGCATTGCAGGCGCGACAAATGTCGGCGAAATCATTGGCCTCCAGGTATATACCTTTACTCGCTCCGTTATACAAATATGACCATACCGACTCAGAGAAATACTTAGATCGCCGGTGTGTTGTGTGAACGTTGGGGTTACCGGTATACGCTTCTGTCTGCGTTAGTCGCTGTAACTGCGTTCATATTCTTCCCCTTCTTCGCGAACAGTCTTGCCATCTTTCTCGTCGGCGAGCTATTTCAAGGGATGGCGTGGGGCGTTTTCCAGACGATGACAGTAGCTTATGCGGCCGAAGTCTGCCCCGTGCCCCTGAGACACTATCTTACAACCTATGTCAACCTCTGCTGGATTATCGGCCAGTTCATATCATCCGGCGTGCTCGTTGGGCTTGAAGGCAGGCAGGATGAATGGGGGTAAGTCTGACGCCTCTTGGGTCAATGATTTATGCCCTAAAAGTTGATTCTAGGTACAAAATCCCATTTTCTTTGCAATGGATCTGGCCGATACCCATCGGTATTGGCACATATCTTGCACCAGAATCGCCATGGTGGTGTGTTCGGCATAATCGCAAAGAACAAGCGGAAGTGTCGTTGAAAAGGCTAGCTCGCAGCTCTGGGTTTTCCCAACGGGATGCTGATGCGGCAATGGCTTGTAAGCTGAACAACCCCTCAACAGCATGGAAATGATAGCTGATTGAGTTAACTTATTCTGTAGTAATCGTATACACAGATGAGATGGAGAAACAAGTCTCCGAGGGGACCACGTACTGGGACTGCTTCAAAGGAATCGATCTTCGGCGTACCGAGATCGTCTGTTTTATCTGGCTTGCTCAGACCATGTCAGGAACTGCGGTTGGCGGTCTCTCGTCGTATTTCTTCCAACAGGCTGGCATTTCAGACGCGGATTCGTTCAAACTTAGCTGGGGCCAGAACGGTCTTAACTTCGTCGGAACTGTTGCGACTTGGTTTATTTTAAACAAGGCCGGCAGGAGGACGTTAGTCCTTTGGGGTATGATCATGATGTTTGTCTTGTTGCTGTGAGTTACCCCATGTCGATGAAGCATCCATATTACAAAATCATCTAAATCCCATGCTAAATCTCACATCAGCATTACGGGTTTCATGGGCATCCATGACCCGCCAAGCACGGCCGAAGCGTGGACAGCCGGGACGATGGTCATCCTACTGAGCGCCACGGCCAACTTCTCCATCGGTCCTGTAGTCTACACCATCGTATCCGAGATCCCGTCAACGCGATTACGAGCTAAATCCATTATTCTCGCACGGAATGCGTACAACGCCATCAACATTGCCTTCGTCAATATCGTATCGTACCGGCAGCTAAACCCCGCTGAATGGAATTGGGGGCCCAAGGCCGCATTCTTTTGGGCTGGGACCAATGCCATCTTCACGGCGTGGATTTTCTTCCGATTGCGTTAGTAACTCCTTTCCTTACCCACGACTTGATCTAGACTTGGTCGAATTTGCACGAGCGTTTGTTTGCTGACATTTATGGAACCCTAATAGCCGAGACTAAGGGCCGGACTTATGCTGAGCTTGATATTCTGTTCGAGAACAAAGTGCCCGCTCGTAAATTTGTGAGCACCAAAATCGATAATTTGGTTCATGGCACCGAGAGCGCACAAAAGGAACAGGTCGGCCATATTATTAGCACCGTAGAGAGTAGGACAGAAATACGAGAATAGGTCAAGGTAGTTAGGATAGATAGGTAGCTTTGATTGCTCCTGTCTCTTCAGTCCCATTTGACAACGATGGTGAACATTGCAAGGGGTCGAAAGGCTAGAAACGAAACCTATTGGATTGATGAGCTTTTGTCTAGCCGTTACAGAAGATAGACGTAGCGTCACTTAGTCCAGTTCCCGACAATGGGAGTTATTATTGTCGATTGAATTGACGCCCCAATATCTGGTGCTACGAATCACCGATCATCCTTATTACTACACACTATTGAGTACACGCCAAGTTGATGCTGGCCCTCGAAAAGGAGCTTGTCAACTTAGAACCTGTACTTCTTCTTTTCCTCCCTCTTCTCCTCGTCCCGCTTCAACCTCTTGCGGCTTTCGTTCGCAATCATCTCGTCAAGCCCCTCTTCTCTCCTCCAGTTAGCACCGACGCCTTCCTCACGCCGGCCTTCTTCGAATCTTCGTCGCATTTCATCCTTGCTAATGCCGTCTACCAACGCATCCGGGTCGAAAGACACGTCTACGTCGCCAGGCTTCTTGCGTTTTCGACTGCCCTCGTCATCCTGGCCAAGAACGCGCATGTCTCCACCCGCATTCTTGAGATCATACACGCGATCGCTGCCAAAGAAACCTTCGGCTCTGGCCTGCTTCTCTTGGAGGACTGTGTAAGCTGCGCGAGGATGAGTGCTGTCTTCTGTCTCGTAGCCACGGCGAGATTTTCGTAGGTCCAATTCTCCGGCTACCGATTCGGTAGCAGTACCGTACTCCGTAGGCACATTGCTAGCCAAGCCACCAGGAGTTTCCATGCCAGACGGAGTCTGCAACCCAGCGCCAACATCCTCTTCATCCTCCTCCTCTTCAGATTCCTCTTCCTCCTCTTCCTCAGACTCCTCTTCAGGCTCTTGAAGTTCACCCCATAACGTGCGTTCAATAGGCTCACCGGGCGGGGGCGCTGTTTGAGACGGTTGCATGATACCGAAAATATCACCTCCGTACAACGGCCTGTTGTATTCGTCTACGGGCGGCTTGCCATAACATCCCGGGTTGAAACCCCATTGAGCTCCGGGTGGGATAGGGGCGTTGAGTCCGGGAATGCGGAGGGACGGATAAGAAGGTGGAGGGCCGAATCTTTGCTGGTTGATGAGCCAAGGCGGAGGAGCACCGGGAGGAATGCTTAGTGCTTCCTTGAGGGGGTCGCTGATCTCTCCTGGCCGGAGATGTCGTAAATCTGTCTCATACTCCTTGCCTTCGTAATAAACCTCTCCAAAGCGCGTCAGCTGAGGTTTGCTCTGAAATCTGAAGAAAGCATCGTAAAGCTTCTGATAGTCAATATCCAATTTGCCTATTTTCGGTTGCACTCTTTCGCGCTGCTTCTGCTTCAAAGTCTGCTCTGCTTGCTTCTCTAGCACAGCATCTCTCATTTCCGCGATGCCCGTATCTGCAATAAACTTGGGTAACTTAAACGCAGGTTTTTCGATACCTCGCTTGGACGAAAGATACTCGCGCTTCAGCGACCAATGGGAAGGGACTGGAACCACGTTTCGTTGCGCCTTGATCTGCACTAACAATCGAGGATCTGACGATGATGTATCATGCCATTCCACAACCTCCGGCTTCCTCACCAACGCCTTCAGCTCTGCAATAGAAAGCTTGTTGAGCATCTTCCGCTTCTTCTTGGATAGCTTAGGCTGCGCGCCTCTCTCCTCTTCCTCGTCAGGTATATCATTATCGTCATCAAAATAAACCTCGCCCTGGTTGCCAGCGTTGGCCTCTTTTGCGATGTCGTCTTCCTCTCTCGACACGCCAAATTTGGTAAAAATATCCTTATACATGGAATAGGCGGGATCTTCACGGTCGAAACCGTAGTCTTCATCGTCATCGGCGGGTCCATCGGCGGGTCCATCGGCAGGTATCTTATCTGACGCAGTAGGTGTCTTCTTAACGTCGAGTTCTGCGGTGTCAGTCTTCTCAGACACATCAGTCGCCGGTTTCGATTGATCCTCACTCGGTTCAACCTGGGGACTGTCATCGGCTTTAGGAGTGTCCTATGTAATGTTAATATTTAATACGGTCTTGAAACATGCGTGAAGTGACTTGCCTCCGGTTTTGCCTGTTTGTCTGCCTTCTTCTTCGCCCTGCGCTTCTGATTCTTCGTCATCTTAGGAGCCGCCATCTTGTCTGTTTCCGTTGGCGGATGCCTCTTTCGCTAGAATGCGCGACGGACTTAGGCGCAGTGGCCTTGCCTTCCCTACGTAGATGAAGGACAATAAATCTAAGATATAACGTGTTTCGCCACTTCGTATAAGTAGTTGAATAGACTCGATACGATGATGGAGTCTGTGGATGAACAATGTGTAGGATAATTGTCCGTTGACAAGGCTGAGTTGAATAATTTCCACACGCGACTTCAAAAAAGCTAAGATGCTTTAGCTTAGAGCTTATCAGCCACGCAAAGCCACTTCAGTAAAATTGGAGCGTGCGAATGTTCTTATGTTCTTATCAGTGTGGCTGAATATTTAACCGGCCAAATTTAGCAAGTGCTTAAGGTCGGGCCCACCAAAGTACAACGATATGCACGTATCCCACGGTAACGTGTTAGTTGGCCACTAGCGTCTTGCTTAACTTGATAGCGTATGTACTAGGTACTATTACATATATGTATCATAACGGGACAGGATATCTGGGCATATGCGGCTGGCGGCGAAGCTGGAACCTTGGCAACTTTTTTTGTTACGAGATTCACCCATAATTTTTCCTCAATCGCGTCAGCCAACCAGTCATTTCAACAGGGGTTGCCACGCGGCAGAAGTCATTGACCCTCCTTATTACTTACATTTACTTACGTTGGACTTGGTCTTGGTCTTTTTATGGATGAATCTGATACTGTACAACCAAACCAAAACCGAACCATATCGTAACTGCCGGCCAACGAACTTGGGAATTCCATCGTTTACACGATCCGCATCGCTTCCAACTTCACAACTTACGTGTGCTGTCCGAGGCAATGGTCTTGTGAATTCCCACTTTCCTCTGAGTAATTGCGCGTTGCTCTTTGTCGCTCGTTACATTTCCACCAGCCCGCACCGCAAACTCAATAGTCAGACAACATGCCTCATTCAACGAGCTCGGGTTCCTATGCCCGAGACTCCTCCGTTCCACGATCCAACGCCAAGCATCCGGATGATCACGAAAGCGATTCTGGGTCCGGCCTCGAGAAGTTCCCAGATCATGTCGATTCTCCCGCAATGCGCGCGAATGGTGCAAGGTCCATCAGTCCTGGACTAAATGCATATGGCATCGGGTTGAGTGGAGGAGCTCATATAAATGGAGATCGCTGGCAACCAAGAAGGGACCTTTCTGCAACAAGAGGTGTGCGATGGGGTTCTCCGTTGGGACCGTCGGCTGGTCTTTCTCGAGGTCATGGACGACAGAAGAGCATTAGTGAAGCCTTCAATACTATCAGGGCAAGAAATGGCAGCGTCAGCCAGAACGCCCATGAATTAGCAGATGCGCTGCGGGCACCTATCTCCCCAAAGCTCATTGTACGTCAATTGAACATACGACTACTTGCCCCTCATGTGCTGACGTGACATCCGTAATCTAGATTCTGTGTATAATGTGGTATATGTCCTCTGCCTTGACGAATACGTCTTCCAAGTCTATCCTAAACGCCTTCGATAAACCTGCCACCTTGACTATGATCCAATTCTTTCTAGTCGCCTTCTATTGTATAACCTCTTCGTGGTTAGCGACTGTATTTCCGTCTTTGCGAAATTCGATCCCTGCATTAAAGAATCCTATACGACAGCCTTCAAGGGATGTCATTATGACTACACTCCCCCTTGCTGCGTTCCAGATAGGTGGTCATCTCCTTAGTTCGACGGCGACCTCCAAGATACCTGTCTCTATGGTCCACACCGTCAAGGGACTTTCACCACTATTCACCGTCTTCGCCTATCGATTCATCTTTGATATACGTTATCCGAGAGCGACTTATTTCTCCTTGATACCACTCACTCTTGGAGTTATGCTCGCCTGTTCTTCGAAACACACGTTCAAGGGAGAATTGCTAGGACTTATATATGCGCTCCTGGCAACTATTATCTTCGTCACCCAGAACATCTTCTCTAAGAGGCTATTTAATGAGGCTGCTAAGGCAGAGGCGGATGGTCAATCAGCAAAATCCCGCAAGCTCGACAAGTTAAATCTGTTGTGCTATTCATCCGGACTTGCCTTCCTCCTGACGTCCCCTATCTGGTTTTGGAGCGAAGGCGTTGGCCTCATCAGAGACGTGTATCATGATGGTTCAGTGGATCTCTCGTCGCACCCAAACAGTTTTGATCACGGGCGTTTGGCGATTGAGTTCCTATTCAACGGTACTTTTCACTTTGGGCAGAACATCCTAGCCTTCATTCTGCTCTCTTTAGTATCGCCTGTCACCTACTCGGTTGCGTCACTTATCAAGCGCGTGTGGGTCATCATGGTCGCGATTTTGTGGTTCCGCAACCCTACAACTCCGATTCAGGCCGTGGGTATTGCGCTGACATTTTTCGGTCTTTACTTGTACGACCGGACAAATGATAGCAACAAGGCCGATCGCCGTGCACGTCTCCTGAGCCAAAGTGCAGGAGGAAATCAACCACTACTACCACTGAACACCAGCCAAGCAGCAATTGGCTCTTCTACTCAAACTCAACAGGTCTTCGCAAGTCCGGTACCAGTTTCTAATGGATCGACACCTCATCCATATACTAATGGGTACACCTCTCAAGCCAGTTCCGGGCCAGAAGACTTAAAGAAGAGCGATGATGCCGGTAAGGGCCGGCAAAGGGGAAGCAGCAATGCAGCTTGGTTGCCGCCCGGTACTAAGCAAGAGGAGACTTGGAGGTACCAAGATAGAATTAGTGCTCGATAATTGTAGACTCCCGAGAGAGTCAACATGGCCCTAGAGGGTTACGATACATTGGATGATGCTCATAGAGGGTGACTTTTCTTTTCCTTTGCAAGGCAGGATGAAACAGTGTGCCCAAGCCATTTAAGGCCGTTGCTGCTACCGTCATCTTGTATAGGTGGATATCTTGGTGTTTATGGGCTAGGGCCAGCAAGGCATAAAGTGGATTGGAGTTATAGTGTGGTTGACCTATTTGGTCATTTGTACAAGTATCCTGCAAATCAATAGGATGCAAATTCTGCATAGAGGTCGGGTTTAGATATGCTTGCAAGGCATAGGATACCCATCACTTCATTTTCCAGTTTCATTCTGGATCGGACCGGACATATGGAAATAGACCTTAGACACGCGCACTTGATAATATTATGTTGTATGAAGAAGTGCTTTGGATGTGTGTATAATCGCATCTAACTGAATATATGTACCTAGGTAGGTAGGTACAATGTAAAGCACATGAATTCACTTATCTGATTTGCCAATTATTTTGTCGGGTAAACCTATAACAATATTTGGCCTTCCAATTGTGCGGATGTGGTACAAATCATGCTGGCTGTTTGGCATGGTGGGGTAATTTTCGGGTAGTTTCGTAAGGTCAGGTGACATCTCACGTGAATTTAGTAGAGCAGTAGTGGAGCTTCGCTCACTGGTGCAAGTTCATCCGGGACGAAATGACCGCCAGCGCCATTTTCACCTCGACCTTTGCTTCAAATTATTTCCTCCACCCCAGACTCATCACCTCCTCCACTCCACCCATTCTTTCTCGCTCTTAGGTCATCTTTCAAGATGTTCAAGAGGTAAGTCATTATGTTTTAATCAACTTTTTGGAGCTTTCCCGTCGTCAATTGAGGTCAATTGAGCTGATCAAGGATTTTTTACCCCAACTTAGCGGCCTCTCCTCTTTCGCGAGAGCTGCCCGGCCGGCCTTCGCCGCCCCTACGAGGCGCGCGTTAAAGCCTGCTACCTCTGCATTCAGATTTCCTCTAAGCAGCCGATTAGCGAGCACATCCAGCGTCGGTGATGGCAAGATTTACCAGGTGAGTTGGCGCAAGCCGCGGCTATCAAAGCTTTGCCGGATAACGGGAAACGGGAACGGAGCTAATGGATACGTCAACAGGTCATCGGTGCCGTCGTCGATGGTCAGTAAAAGCCTCAATTACTGTTAAAGAGCTCCCAGTCGCATCTCAAGCTCATTTTATTAACTTAATCTTGCCGAATAGTCAAGTTCGACACTGCAAAGCTCCCTCCCATTCTAAACGCTTTGGAGACAACGAACAACGGCCAAAAGCTTGTCCTCGAGGTCGCTGTAAGCTTAAATTCCCCGCCGTTGCATAAATCAAAATTATTTCTAACATGATGTAGCAACATCTAGGTCAAAATGTCGTCCGTTGCATTGCTATGGATGGTAGGTTACTGCATTAAAAAAATTTCGCGCGTGGATATCAACTCACATTTTCATAGGTACCGAGGGTCTTACTCGAGGCGCCAAGGCTAGCGACACTGGCGCCCCCATCACAATTCCCGTCGGCCCTGCCACTCTTGGTCGTATCATAAACGTCACTGGTGACCCCATCGACGAGCGTGGCCCCATTAAGACCGACAAATTCCTCCCTATCCACGCCGACCCTCCCGAGTTCATTGAGCAATCTACCTCTGCCGAAATTCTGGTCACCGGTATCAAGGTCGTCGACCTTTTGGCTCCCTATGCTCGTGGTGGAAAGATTGGTCTCTTCGGTGGTGCCGGTGTCGGTAAGACTGTGTTCATTCAGGAGCTTATCAACAACATCGCCAAGGCTCACGGTGGTTACTCTGTCTTCACCGGTGTCGGCGAACGAACCCGTGAGGGTAACGATCTGTACCACGAAATGCAGGAGACTTCCGTCATTCAACTCGACGGCGAATCCAAGGTCGCCCTAGTGTTCGGTCAGATGAACGAGCCCCCCGGAGCTCGTGCCCGTGTCGCTCTTACTGGATTAACAATCGCCGAGTACTTCCGAGACCAGGAAGGCCAGGATGGTAAGGATGATGATACATAACCCTTGTGCTCAACTAGTATATGGTGATTAACACTCTGCAGTGCTTCTCTTCATCGACAACATTTTCCGTTTCACCCAAGCCGGTTCCGAGGTGTCTGCCCTGCTAGGTCGTATTCCCTCTGCCGTCGGATACCAACCCACTCTCGCCATTGATATGGGTGGTATGCAAGAACGAATTACTACCACCACCAAGGGTTCCATTACCTCCGTCCAGGCCGTCTACGTCCCTGCTGACGATTTGACTGATCCTGCTCCCGCCACCACCTTCGCCCACTTGGACGCCACCACTGTGTTGTCCCGTGGTATCTCTGAATTGGGTATCTACCCCGCTGTCGACCCTCTCGACTCCAAGTCCCGTATGCTTGACCCTCGTGTCGTCGGTCAGGACCACTACGACACCGCCACCCGTGTCCAACAAATCCTCCAGGAGTACAAGTCCCTCCAAGATATCATTGCCATTTTGGGTATGGACGAACTGTCGGAAGCTGACAAGCTTACCGTCGAGCGCGCCCGAAAGATCCAGCGTTTCTTGAGCCAGCCTTTCACTGTCGCCCAGGTTTTCACTGGTATCGAGGGTAAGCTAGTCGATCTTAAGGACACCATTGCCTCCTTCAAGGCCATCTTGGCTGGTGAGGGTGATGACCTCCCCGAAGGTGCCTTCTACATGGTTGGCGACTTTGCGTCGGCTAAGGAGAAGGGTGAGAAGATCTTGGCGGAACTGGAGAAGTCATAGGGGGATAATATGGACTGCTATGAAATAGACGCTGCCGAAAAGATAGGTGGTGACCTGTGTATATCTAGAAAAGGAGCAGTGCGGTCTGATGATTTCCCTTAGCTTCAATCAAGTTCCTGCGTGAGCTGTATACCTCAAAATTCCACCCTAATTTCCTAAACGTTGGATGATCCTCGATGTATTTACGTGATTTGATACAAGCCCTGGGACAAGTCTACGGTGTATTCGTAATCCACAGACCACATGAATCCACGTTAGTTACGAGGTTAATGGCGGCTTATTTAACAGATTAACAGATTAACTATAAACCTCTCGAAGAGGCTCAAAATGAAGCAGTACATGGACAAGGGATATTCCGGGATAGGTGTTGAGCTATAAGTGCACTATTGTAACCCTTAGCCTGTCGTAAGGAAACTGCCTGACTAGTAACGTACGAGTCGCTTCCTCTGTAGCCCCCGTATTCATTAAGTTATCGTCAAGGAATGGCCTGGTCTAGTCAGGATGAACGGCAATGTTCCAAAGATGTGCGGCAAGAGACATGTGTAATATAGTAGTAAAACCAAGATATTCTTACAAAGGTAGAATGTCAAGTCAAATATCATCTTCATGGTAGAACATTATCGAGTATCAAATTCATACATTGACGGTGAGTTTAGTAAAGTTACCTATGTCATATTTCAAATATAATCCTAATGCTTGCTCCTGAACATTTGTACAGATGATAGAGTACGCAGCAGTCAAAATTATGTGTCTATATTATCTTCATATTGTCAATATTTCTCTGGCCGACCAAATATTACAAAATGGAAGAGAGTGACAACCATATACCGTCTACTATAGAGTTATAAGTACAAGAAACTGGAAATGTGAGGAAGCCGCCCTTGTCCACTGTCTACCAGAAATTAAGTACCTACAGAGCAATATTAAGGGGAAAATGTGTGAGGTTCAAGTACTGGTACTCAGTGGTTTGAATCGAAGGTCTACATTTAGATTAATGTACGGGTGCAAGCAGCCACTCATATAGCCGTATAATCGAAGCACTAGTCAGCGCTGTACGTGACTTAGTAACATAAGGTCTCTAGGGAGGTGTAAGGGGATGTTCTATTCAAAATAGCGTCATAAATTAATCTCATTTATCATAGTATATTTCGCTATTCGTTGCGCTCTATTAAGTAAGGTCACGCTTCCGTGATATGGTATAAGCATCGCCCATATCATCATACCCAACCCCATTATAACGCGCCGGAGAATCGACCATGGTATCATCCCTTCTATCCAACCCTGCACCGCATCCTTTCCGTTACGCCTTCGCATGCCCACCCCCTGACACAGCAGTAACGGTGATGATTTCGGGCTCAGCCGCCGTCCCCTCCGACGACCGAACTCCCGAGTCCACAGTCTGCGTCTCCGCGCCCTGCTGCTCAGCCCACCGGGGCGCCGCGGCGTCCGGCGCCAGACCGTACCAGGCAACGGTTATCACGCCTAGAATTCCGCAGAGAGCGCTAAATGCTAGAGCGACCTTGCCGCGAGTCGTAAATCTAGATGTTGTGTCAGCATATAGGTAAGATGAGATATAGAGGGGGTGGGGGTGGGCATAGAGTGTATAGGATCTTACCCTTCGGGTAACGGGTCCGGAGATTTCGGCTGTCCGGTTAGGTCAAGATAGTTAACCGTGTTTCCGGCCGCGTTGCCGGTAGTGGGGATGCTTTGGGCGGCGCAGGCATCCAGGTGGTTTTGCGGGATTGTGAGGTTTTTCTGCAGGTCGAGGGGTGCTTCGACGAAGGTTGCGACTGTAGTATTTGAAGTTAGAAAAATGCTATTCAGGGACCCAAGGGGTATAAACGTATACGTACTAAGGCCGGATGAGACGTGCCATTCGATATGGCAGTGGAAAAGCCAGACACCAGGGTTATCGGCCCGGAAACGCAATACAATGAAACCGGTAGGGAATAACACAAATGTGTCGCGGCGCATAGGAACATCAGGGTAATCAGCTTCTGTAATCCCGGAGTCCTCATAGGTTCCGGCGTCTTCATCGGAACGATATAATGCCTGGAAGTGATGTCCGTGGAGATGGAACGGATGACGTCCCGTATCCAGATTGTTCACGGTGATCTGAACGATTTGACCTTTCTCGAGGACAAAGGAATGCGTGTAGGAACCATACACGGTGGGGTCGGTAGCCAGGTCTCCGGCAGACAGGGCTGTGTAGAGAGTAGGTACTTTTGGCGACTTGTACGTGATATTGTTGAAGAAGGCACTGTGAAGGAACACGAATAAATAAACAGTCTAGACCTAATGTCCAAAGAAAACTTACTAGTTCGCGCCGTCGCCTAGGTTGTCCATGATCACATCAAGCTCGACAGTCTGATCAGGTTCGCCAAAGCGAGTTAAGTTGTCATATGGAACTAGAGTAATATCGTCGAAATTGTTTAACTCGTCAACAGTAGCCGGATCTGGCAAAGACTGGGCGCCATCATACACAAGCCATCCCGTGACGTTGTAGTTCAGATCATCTGGTAGGGTGTCGAATAAAGTCTAGTATTGAGCACATAGACGAATTAGTGCCAAATACTCAACGAATTGCAATACATCGAATTGTAGGTAGACGTACCGTATCCATGCTTGCCACGAATGCGTAGTTGGCTGAGGTCTCGGCCTTAGTCGTAATCAAGAAACTACAACGCTGAGCAGCAGAGAGGTAGATCATATCAGCCACTGCGGGCTGGTGGTAAACGCCGTCGACTTCAATGATGGTCATGTTGTGGCCTTCGAACCAGATATACTGGCCAGCAAAAGCCCCTATGTTGACCACGCGGAAAAGGTAAGTCGTGTTGGGCTCGACAGCAACTTGTAAATTTTGCGTGTCATTCCACAGAGCAGCATTTGGGACCGGTTCAGCTCCCGTGGGATTGCTCTTGTCAATAAACCCAGGGAGAAGATCCGCCATTTGGTCATGATACCAGTCTGACACGGTCAAAATCCTTTCATTTTCTTGTTTATAAGAAGTGTTAAGAAAAGGAGAGTTTGGATCGTGGATAATTAAGGGTCCTCTGAGTCCGTCGGGATATTGCCCATTGGTATGGGAATGATACCAATATGTTCCGGGCTGGTTTATCTGGTCAAATTATTAGCATACTGAGTAATTGGCCTATTAAAACGCGGATTCATACGGTAAAGTTGTAAGTGAAACTTGAGCCCGGAGCAATGGCGCATTGCGAGACCTGAGATGGACCGTCCATCTGCGTTGTGCCGTTCATGAATAAGCCATGAAAATGCAGAGAAGTCGACTGGTTTCCGAGACTATTCGTTGCAGTGACCACGACGTTGTCGCCAATATCTGCAACAATAGGAGGAATTGGCCATTGGCCGTTGATACCAATAGTTGGTCTGTCAAATGCGCCATCGGGATTTGAAGTGACCCATTCTATGGTGAAGTCGTATGTGACTGTCTTAGCGCTCGAGAAGCCCAAAATAGTAGCAGTCCAAGCTACGGGCAAGACGAGACGTCTGAATAGAGAGGACATTGTGAAGCCACCCCGCCTCGAGGGTGATGCGTTGTAGACAGGCGAGTAGCAAGCGAGGAGCAACAAATCGTTGAAATTTTGAAGAATACCTACGAGAAGGTAAATATTTTGAGCTGACCCGACAATCGTATCGAGTAAAAATCAGCTGCACTGTTGAGACCGGCCTAGATGGCGCAAGGACTGATGAATCGACAAGAGTCGGAGTTGTACACTGCCTAGGTCGAATTCAAGCTTGAAGTGCTTACCTACTAGGTAGGCGATGGGATCATACCTAACGCAAAGGACCTGTCACATTCATGTAGGCCCTAATTCTTACCGACTATAAATGCCAGGGGGCGAATTAATAGATTCCAGTAATCTTATCAATCAGTCCAATGCAACAGCTGGGATGTACCGTGGCATCGACCCCATGTCGAGACTCACACCTTTTTTATTATTAACCTGATGCGCTTTGCGGAAAAGTAGCAGGGTGGAGAGACAAAGTGAAGCTCAGGCCGCCTAAAGACGGACTCCTACCGCAAAAAATGGCGTAACTCGGCCGAATCTTTCGAGCGGCGCCATCGTACAACGCTATACACTGTTTAGTGTACACGCTACTACGTAAGAGACATTTTATCAATGCTTTTCTTGAGGTCCTTGAGGTCTAGGCCAGCCGAGAAAAGTATCATTGACCCCTGGGTAAACGGTCATTGTTATACTCGTGCTAGAAGGAGGGAGGTCGGTGGGTTACCTAATGATCCCTCGCCAATGACATCCCGGCATCCTGTATCTGTTTGTGGCAGAAAAGAGGAAACAAAAATAACATGGCCCCCGTATATCTCGTACCGCTCTGCGAAAATTCCTGTCTTTATTGGGTAACTCGAGAATATATATCCATGTAGCGAACTCGGTGTGTATATTATTGGTAAGTTCAGTAGCACATCAACCCACCCCATTACCCCCGGTCGGGACTAATATCAAGGTACTTATGCCGGCCCAGGATCTGATAAGATTTCTCAGGGCTATTGGCAGCAACGTGGGGTGACCCGTGCTCTCATCCGTGTAGTTAGCTAGCAATCAGCTATAGCCAATCAACGACGAAGACAAAGAAACTAGCAACTCGAAGAGGAAGGAACAAACAAATAACGGCTGACTCGAGCTGTTCGAATTAAGTCATAAATTTATCCTAAAAATTGTAAGCTTCGTTGATGAAAGCATGTACTACCCGCCTAGGCATGTAGCAAACCTTGAGATTTCCAACTTGACGTAAATCTCCGTAACTCAAGAGCCTAACCTGTCTTAGGAGGTAACCCAAACTTTATGCAGATGTTTATCCCCGCAAAAGATAAAAAAGCCAATCGGTGTCAGAAGCAGCTAGGTACTAGGGTAGTAGCCGGTTGGATTGGCAAAGGCTTGAATCGGAGTCAAAATTACCCCAGGCCCTTGACCCTGCCTAGATCCTTAGTGAAACTAACACCCATAACTGACATCCATACGAAGAGTGCGACCTTGTGCGAGTCGAGCAACTGATCAACCAATTTGAACCAAATGAACTGGTGCCACAAGGATTCCCAAAATGGAGCATTCGATTTTCTTCATTAATCAGACCATCTCTCTATCTCTCATGGCACTTGGATGATGATCCTAGGCGTTCTTTCCATCATACTTCTTTTCGTGCCCTAGCGCAGATAGTTCCGCGCTTTGGACAGCCACACGAATATTTGACGGCGTACAAGCTGAGCTAGTCTCAGCTGCTCAGATAGATCGTGGGAAGAGCTGAATAAATTGTGTTTCCATCAGGTCTTACAAGCCCTTTAGGTCTTTTCGTCTGCCCGTAATCGGCGGTCAATTCGTCCAAGCAATCACCCCTCCATGTCCACCGAGTATCATCGATTTTCAGAGTTCAACTATAAGCGAGGCGCCCTTGACTCCGATGCCCCACCCAAGATTATCTGATCCCACTTATCAGATCACCAGATAATCCGCCATTTCCTTCGCGGTCCTCGCGGGTCATACACCCATAATAGACCATCTCCTTGCAACTTCAGTAGCTTCATATTGAGAAAATCGGAAGAATTCTTACCTTCACGATGGCGGGGGATAACGTCTTCGCCGTTCCCGTATTTCTCGTCGTCTTTCGAGAAAGCCTTGAAACAGTCATCATCGTTTCCGTTCTGTTAGCCTTCCTTAAGCAAACCCTCGATGGCCCCAACCGAGACCCAACCGTATACAAAGCTCTTGTCAAGCAGGTTAGACCGCAGCATCTCGTCTTCACCCTTAATGACAAGCGCAGAGGAATTGACCATCGACATTCTAGGTATGGTTTGGTGTTGGATTAGGATTCTTTCTTTGCCTAGTCGTCGCCGGAGGCCTGATCGGCGCCTTTTACACCCTGGGCAAAGATAATTGGGAAACAAACGAGTACAATTATGAAGGGGCATTTGCGCTTGTCGCCTCTATTATCATCAGCGTCGTTGGTGCGGCTCTCCTTCGAGTTGGAAAGATGCAAGAGAAGTGGCGCGTCAAGCTAGCCAAAGCTGTCGAAGCCCCCTTATTAACAAGAGGCAACCGCCACGGTTGGCTAAAGCGCTTCGCCGAAAAATATGCCATGTTCGTCCTTCCGTTCATTACTGTCTTGAGAGAAGGTATCGAGGCCATTGTCTTTGTTGCTGGAGTTTCGTTCTCCGCACCAGCAACCGCCGTCCCACTTCCTGTAGTGGTTGGACTAGCCGCTGGAATTATCGTGGGTTATATCCTGTATAAGTGAGTTTTTCCGTACGACCATACTTATATCCTGCTAACCTATGACAGGGGAGGAGCAGGAGCAAAGTTACAATACTTCCTAATTGCTTCGACATGCCTGCTATATCTAGTGGGTGCCGGCCTTTTCTCACGTTCCGTCTGGTACTTTGAAAATCAAAAGTGGAACAACATCATCGGCGGAGATGCTGCTGAGTTGGGAGATGGTCCAGGATCTTATGATATCGACAAGAGCGTTTGGCACGTAAACGTACGTAATTGCTACCATTCATTGTAGACAAATGACTAATCATACTATGCTGTAGTGCTGCAGCCCGGAATTGAACGGTGGCGAAGGTGGTTGGGGAATATTCAACGCCATCCTTGGATGGACTAACTCGGCAACGTATGGCTCAGTCATCTCATACAACATGTATTGGATCGCTATTATGATCGCCTTCGTCGTCATGAGATATAAGGAAGTCAAGGGACACTGGCCTTTTATGAAAGCAAAGGCAGGCTCCGTGGAGACGGTCGAGAAGCCCAACGAACCTACCCAAGTAAGAAGTATGCCCGACAGAGAAATTGCTTAGGAAGGTCTAGGAGGCAGTGAGCTGCTGACTAGGGCAATGAATAAAGGTAGCCTTGGTAATCAAAAGTTCTAGTGAGCGGTGATAGTTGAGGGATCAGGTGTTCGCTTCATGCTATAGAAAGCCATATGAAGGTTTTCATATCTTAAGAGATGACTTAAGAAGTAATGGAAATGAAATATATCATGCCGAATGAGAGAACATAAATGATGATGATGGACAGGACGGGGTTGAAATTCCCCACATTTACCGAGCTGTCAGATTTGGTGGTGGTGGAAAACGTCACTGCTCTAGTACGCCAAGACTTTTATCCCTCCTCCAACTCGGCTTAGTCACAAGTATCAACCAGAGAAGGATGAAAGTTACCGACAACCTTCAACTGTATATTTCATAAAATCCAGATTGTCATTTAATAACTGGGACTCTACGTGCCTTGTCTAGGTATTCTTGAAAGAGCCTAGGAATTACGTCGATTTTTAGGACTGATGACCACTCCGGATCTCTGTATCTTTTGGGTATTGCCTCACACCGGAGACAAGCCAGATGGGCGACTCGAGCTCTGCTCCAGATAGCGAACCGCTAGACCCAAACCCCGCGGGGAAGCTCCCTGAGGTGATCAGCATCGTTAACAATGGGGACCTAATCCTAGATGTGATTTTCGAAAACTCCAAAGACACGATTCGGTCTACGCGGGTTGCCCAATCGAAACTACCAAGTCTGGAACCGCAGCTCGCGCCGAAGAAGAAGGCTCGTTTAGCTTTTCGCGTTAACCTTCAAGTACTCAAAAGCCAGTCGAAGTACTTTGAAAGGCTTCTTACCGATAGCCGCTTCAAAGAGGCGAAGGACATATCCACCGCTTTCGCCTCGCTTAAGTTGAAAAATATTAAGCCCGAAACTGCTGAGGTTAATGAGCTCCCCTGGATCGAAATCCGTGACGATGATCAAGCCACGCAATACGCACATCGTGAAGGCGCGTTATCCGACCTTCTGCGAATTCTCCATGGCAAGGAAGTAGCCACAAAACAGATCACGATGTCGTTTGTGACTACGCTGGCTGTCCTAGCCGATCGTTTCGACTGTGCGCCTGCAGTATCGAAATGTCTCGTTGGTGGCTTGAAGTTTAAGTGGCCCGTGACTAATCGCAAACCTCTGAAAGATGAGGTTTCTGTCATGAGCCGTAATAATGAAGATATCCTGCGCCAGAAGATTCTTGTATCATGGCTATTAGGTCAACCCGCTAGGCTCCAAGCCGCTACAAAGGAGATTGTTATGAATGGCTCTTGCCGATGGAGCCCTTTTGCTGAGGATGATGGGGCCTCGGATGCTACGTGGTGGTATTTACAGGATGGCCTTGAGCGTAAGTAGCCGAGATCCTGCTCATCTCTACATTTTGTGCATATTAACCCTCGGCCTAGAAGAGCTGCAGTATCGGCGACAGTGTATCTTGAACACGATAGCCTCGATTCAGAGGCATTTCCTCAAGTTATATACGTCACGTACGCGCCAATGCAAACTAGGTTACGATTCAAGTGCCGCCTGTGACTCGTATCAGCTGGGCGAGATGTTCAAGTTCCTCACGAACAAAAATCTTTTGTTCCTTGTTGATTTTTCACCCGGGTCTCTCGATTCTATCGCGGATACTTCACTGCTACAAATCGAGACCGTCATCTCCACCCTAAGACAGTGCCCGAGCTATCAGATAGACAAGAACCACACCAACTGCGGGCTTCGAACAAGGATTCTATCTATACTAGACTTCATACAAGGTCTACTATCAGCTACTTCCATTCCAATCAACAGAAATCTTTGGAAGGCCAATCGTCAGTCGGTTGCGTGGTTACCTCCTGAGGGCGAGGCCAAGAAACCGGTTGAAACAGAGCCGTTCCGCTTCACACGGTCACTAGCAGGGGACCAGCGGCTCCGTTTCGAGAATGCATTGGGTGCGGAAAAGTTTGCCAAGGACGTCTTCACAGCATCAAGTTGGGATTGGACAGCGGAAGACCAAGTACAAGACCTTCCGTCCACAACTCCACGGTGGAGCTTGAAGTAAGCTGGAAGATGTCGCAAGGTATTAAAGATGAAGGAGTATGAAGGAAAGATATTAGAATAGGTTCGAAAGGTTCGAAAGGTTCTCTCGTACCTCACCATAGGATCAGCAGTAAAGTCTATCATCCCACCGACCACCATTGTAGAAAGGACTTGGATTGATGTCTGTACCCAAATATATGGTTGCAAGGTATATCAAGATTTCCCAGGTACCGGTTCAACTATGCGTGAAGTCTATCTCGAGATAGCATTAATCCAATGGTGTCGTAATTTGTATATACGTAGGCTTCTTTAGCCGTCTGTCTTGCTTGGAAAAACTAAAAATCCTACCCAACCCAACGGTAATGATGATGATGATGACGATGACGATGATAATGACGATAATGGTCGTGATGCGATCCGGGAATGCTACTCCGCAACGCCAATACGAGCAGTAACTGCACAATTTCACTTGAAATCTAAAATCAAAGCAACCCGTCCGACCAACTAGCTTCTCAGAGCCTCCAGCCTGTTCCTCATCTGATCCATCATCGCCTCCTGGTCCTCTTCCTCCTCGTCCAGCGCCACGGGCTGTTCCTGGGGCTGCTCGGGGAGGGGCACGGGCGCCGGACCCGCCTTCTCCATCTTGCCCTTCAGGATCTCGCCCAAGACCTTATCGACCTCGCCCTCGGCCTCCTCGAGGTCGTCCTCCAGCATATCGTCATCAACAGGCAGGTTCTCGCCGACCATCTCCTCAATCACCCCGGCCTTCATCAGCTCGACGCTGAGCTCGCGCATGGTGCCGGCGAGCTGGGGCAGCTTGATGAGGGTGTTGACGTCCTTCATGACGGCGACGCTGGCGCGGATGCTGCCCTCGATCTTGCGCACGGCGAAGGCCTCGTTGACCTGCATCTGGACGGAGCTCAGCTGGGCCTTGGAGGTGACGAGGCGCGCCGAGGTGCGGCGCGCGCGGATCAGCTCCTTGGCGAAGTCGCGGGCCTCGCGCTGCGCCTGCCGCGCCTGCGCCGGGTTGCGCTGCGCCCGCCGGTCCGCCGCCACGATCAGGTTCTTCGTCTTCGTCTCGACTTGCTTGACTTGGCTGATGTCGCGGTCGAGCTTGCGGATGTTGGAGCGGATGAGGGCGTTGCATTTTCGCATCTGTTTTCGGGGACGGAGGTTTGGTACGTGAGCGAGCGAGCAATGTTTTGTAGAGATTCGAAAGCTAGGTGGTTTTACGCGCCGTTTTACGCGAAGGAAGGGAATGTGTGGATAGGGGATGGGTACAGGTATAGGTATAGGTATAGGGGAGCGGGCTGCTGACCTGAGCGTTAGGATCTGGTTTGACGAAGAGTGCCTTGAGGCCCTCCATTTTGGGAGTTTTGGGAGCCGGATGGATGGTATAGGAACTCGGCTGATGGAAATGGAAATGGGGATGGAAATGGTCTCGATATGCTAGACGGGGCAACTCCTGCCGAGGGGCGTCGAATGCGGGATCTGGCAGAACAGTCCGGGGAGCTGGATAGCTTCGTAGCTTCGTGGGTTAGGAGAGCGTGATCAGGATGATTAAGGTAGGTCAGGAGTTGTGGATCTTGATAGACGGATAGTTGGGTATGCAGGTTAATGCGATCTAATGACGTTGGTCCAAACGGATCCTAGGCTGACGAAATTCAGGAACAGATTAACCCCGCTAAGTGCTAGACGGTATTTAGCACCGTGCTAATACTAATTGATAGATTCTCATCGGTCCACTAATTAAGCCCTCGCCGTGGATTATGTAATGGAAGCTATCTCCAAATTATCATATATTGAGGTTATGCAATTATCGGATACTAATATATACACATATCAAGATCTTGAACGCTTCAATATCAACACCATGCCTTAATTAGGTATGTTCACAACACTCACTACGTATAATAGTGACATTCAAGCTGCCAGGAATATGTACCTGTATGGGAGCAAGCATATGGATGCAATCATATGCCGAATTCAGAGATAGCTCCCGGAAGTCCATGGAGGTTGCCTTGTTATGCCTAAGTTTGTATTACTTGCATAAGACTGTATCGATCAATGCAACTTCAATATTGGACATGCAGGCAGAACCAAGGCCTTGGAACCTATGCAAGGCTTCTAAAACTCCGTTTCAATGTTCTATGCAGTCATCTCGGTGTTTGCTAACTTTACCTTATATGTTCTTATTCTTCACCAAAGAACGATAGAGAACGATGTTATCGGAGAAGTTTTTGTAAACGCCGTGTTTGGAACGAGATAGATCATATTATTGAAGTATGCGGTAATTGAAGAACCCCACCTCTTTCCAGCTCATTCCTGGGGACACAAAAGGCAAATACTCTCTATAGACTATTCCTGATTAGGTTTAACTTTACAGTGTGAGCGATCTTAAATGGTCTAGGCAATTACCCCCCATGCAAATCCAGCCCTGCTGCTTCCGCCGCTTTCGTGCTGGTTCGATGTTCGACGGAGGGGTGCATCATTAAGCTTTTGGAACAGCCTCATATTTTTGCGATTTTCATTCCACCGCTCTTCTTCCATTTTCTTCTCACCATTTCGGAAAAAGTGAATACAACCGAATACTTTCGTGTTCGTCAACCTTGTTATAACATCCAAAGCTGCGAGCTCATCCCATCGCAGGTCATCAACTTACACATACTCATCACCGGTACCTAACGAACGAACTTACATACATCGCTATCAACATGTCGCAAGTTACTCCCGAAGGTAAGTTCACTTTTTCTATTATCATCATATTTAGCTTGGCGATAGAGACATTGTGCGACAAAACGGCGCTTAATAGGAATAGCGGCTATTTCATTTGCACTTTTAAGCTCTCTACTTAGGTACTTGGGCATATGCAAGCTAACAATTTATACTCATAGTTCTATGGGCTCAGCGCTCCTCCAACACCGACCCGGAGAAGAACTTCATCTACCTAACCATTTCGGTTCCTGATATCCCCAAGGAGAACCTGAAGCTTGATCTTCAGCCTACAAGCCTCACCTTCACCGGTCACTCCGACACCCTTAAGCGAACCTACCATCTCGAACTTACCTTTTACGCCGAGATCGACCCCGCAGAGAGCAAGACTCACCACACTGCTCGTAATGTTGAGCTGAAGCTACGCAAGAAGGAGCTCAACGAGGAGTACTGGCCACGACTTCTCAAGGAGTCTAAGAAGGTGCAGTTCCTCAAGACCGATTTCGACAAATGGGTCGACGAGGATGAACAGAACGAGGCCCCTGAAGATGACTTCTCGCAATTTGGTGGCGGCATGGGTATGTGAAATCTCCCTCCTCCTCCCCCTCGCATTACTCATTCTGAGCACTATGGGTTCTCCCTCGCTATATATCGAAGACACATCTTGCCTTGAGACATATCGTAGCTAACTTTTATTGCTTTAACAGGTGGCATGCCAGGCATGGGTACGTAACTTTCTCGCATCTAGTGCAGTGACCATAGGAAATTCTCAGATTAAGTCTTGGGCAACGAAACTAACGTATCAAACTCCAGGCGGCGGCGACTTCAGTGGCATCGACTTCTCCAAGCTTGGCGGAGGTGACATGCCCACCGGCGGCGAGGATGAGGAGGAAGATTCCGATGACGATGGCGACATGCCAGCGCTTGAAGGACAGGAGGATGCCAAGGAGGAGGACACGACCAAGGCGGCTGCGTAAAACAGTCTCTATGATCTGCAAAGCATCAACCCTTCCGCGGTTGCCTTGTGCAAGATCCATTTGTCCTATTTGGGTCCGAGAAAAGACGCCCCAGTGCGCATAGAGTAGGATTAGCAAGTGGCAAATGCTCTTGAGATGTTTCGGAAGCCGGCGAGCTATTGGGAAGATATGAGGTTAGGTTACCAGGTACTAAAAGCTGGAATCCGATGAATCTTATTAAGTAATCAGGCAGCTTCTTCTGCATGGTGATATCGGGAATTTATTCGAGTTCGACGGCATCACATTGAAGATGGAGCCCAAATTCACACATCGAGCTCATGCATTGAGCTACACAAACCCCTTCCGTTCCACACAATTCGATCATTGGTTGCCAAGATGCTCTTGTTCATGGCGAGTGTCTTGAACTTCGGCAAGCAGGACAGCCGCAATTCCCCATATCATACGTGATTGGTCGCGCCCGAACCCCCGGAACTGCGAGTCTCTGGTTAGTGTGACGTTGATGTTCGTTGTCAGTATTTGACCTGAGCTCCGGACGAGATGAAATGTCTGGCCATACGGTTGGTGAACCTGAGTTCAATAGTTACGTGTACCTGTCTCTCTCCGACGTTCCCTTTTTCCCATTTTCACCCCTATTCAACGCTATGTTCTATTTCTGGCTCCCTCCCGCGGATGCCGTCCGGCTTCTAGCGTTGATTCACCAAGTCGGGACTCCTGTCAATATGCGAGGCTCTGTCCTCCCACAATACCACAATACGCGTGTCCCGTTGACTTGATTCAGGAGATCGGGTGCTGCACTTTAAACTGCGAGATCCGGTACTCGCTCAGCCACATTAGATATTGAGACTAGTAGACCAATAGACTTTTGCTATAATCTGCAAGATATATGAGATGTCACTCCAGGTATGTGGATCGGTTCTGATCGCTTCAGTGTTGTGACAAGGGGGGGTGCTGTAAAACGGAAGGAGGAACCAGTCTACCGGATCCCTCTCCCGTGAATCACAGTATTGCAACACGGAAGTAACTACGTAGGTATGGTTCTTTACACCTGGCGTGCTTGCCTAGTACGTTGCCCCGCGATATAGAGGAAAACTCTAAACTTATACGGAAGGAGCCATCTGCTTTAGCCCATTATTCTGATACTTACTAGCTAGAGCATTAAAGTATAAAACTATCCCATCTCCTCGCTTCTCTAGTTCTCAGAGTTCCGCAAATCCTACAACACTCGCCTCTTCAGACACACGTTATAGGAATCACGGTTCACGCTCTATTTCAGCAACTTTGAAGACTATCACCACCTTCTCTCACATAAATTCCTCTGCTACGCAGATTCCACAAGTAGAGCAGAATAGCCATTGTATTCACGATGCCCCATGCAACAAAGACGAAGAAGCAATCCCGCCCACGGGTCAACACTGCCGTCTCGGCCCCGGTTCCATACCCGGTTCGGTCACAGCAGCAGAGCCAAGTTTCTTCCGGCTCATCTTCAGCGGCCTCGTCGGGTTCTTCTTCCTACGCCTGGACAGCAGCAGACGCAGCTAGAGCCTCGCGAGACGGCGCGTTTCTGACGGCTTGGCCACCTGAGGAGACTTACCACGCCCCGCCAATCCATCTTCTGGACCAGAATTACCAGGCACAGCGTCAGGCTCAGAACCAGGGACAAGGTCAGGGTACTCAGAATCACTATTCGTCGACTCATGTACCTCCTACGACGTTGAACCAGGGAGGTAGCACCGGCGGCAACTAGATTAGTCTCGAAAAGCTGAAAGCTGCCCATGACCATGGCGTCCTTCTATGGACGTGCCTTGGTGGAAAGAAGGAAAAACAAACCTTGTGTTTACTGAAAAGTTATGGTGTGGATTGCTCGGAATCTAGTGGGCATTCATCAAAGATGGAAAAAAAAGTATGGCATCTTGCTAAATTCAACTAGGGAATTCACGGGTTCGGGGATGTATGAAGGGATTCCGAGGAAAATGAGAAAATGATGTCGATAAATCATTCACGATACGTTTACTATGATAGCACATATTTGCAGTCGAATAGGGGTTGGGGGAGAGGCAGAGCATGTTGTTTAGTCCACATATAGGGGAAAGGGGTTCATCGCTAGAGCTGGAATGGCTGCTCAATAGACTACGTTTATGTGATAAAGAACTTATACATAGCTACAATGACTAAGTTATCTCGACTTTGAAACTAGTATGTCTTCAAGAATAAAATGAATATCGAGTGGGTAGTGACTGTATGTACTTTACGTCGTCTGTTTGTTCGCTGAGAAGCTTAACAGTCGAAATTGTGACCAACACTTGTCAAGCTTTGAGTGAGCTACCACGTAAAAACATCAAGTGCACCGAAATAGTAATCTTGAAGTATAGGTCAGGTCATAAAAGCGACAACCAATCGATTAGATCGGAACCTGCTCTCACGATCCAAGCGAAGATGGAGAAATTGTACAAAACTCCAAGCAACATGACAGTTTTACATAGGTCCTATATTGAGTCCGTATTCTTCGTGTCATTCAACTCCTTAGCCTCGCGTAGATCTCTTTAGTCGACTTAAGTCCACCACATTCTGTGAATATATTCCACCTAACGTCGTAGACCAGTCGATATTCGCAAAGCCATGCTCTATTCATATGGCGGTGTGAATATCCAACCCAAGGAGATAATCACTCCGACTTTTCAGGCTCAAGTATCTTGTTGTGGATGAAAGACACCCAAACTTCATATTACATGGTTTCCAGATTTCGACATGAAGAGAAATTTACGATGGATTGATTTGTCCTTGTGTAGCTTTAACATTCAATCTATTTATAGCGACAGAAACTACATCGAGGCTGTATTCTTATCACGCATATCTTTTCGCCAGACTTTCTTATGAATTGCATCTATTTCTCTTCAAGTTTTTGGCTCCTATTACAGACGACTCGCTCAACGATAGATCTATACCTAATAATGGCTGTTTAGTAAAACATTGACACCATGTCTTACATTGTAGAATAGGCTAATGAAGTCAGCTATATAAAAATTGTCTATCCATGGATGTATCATCAATTTATCAGCATTGATATCAGAGTAGAATGGGTGAATTAATATGGGCGTGGTCGGATTCAAACCCCTGAGGTTCCCTTTCTAATTACCCTTCTTGCAGAAATAAGCTTGATACAAATCTCTAGTTTCGTTGGAACTCTGAAAGAGCATCCTAGGAAACAGACTAAGCGCGTCGTATGGCATTGATCTATGTAATCAATACTTATATCCCTAGTGGAGGGTCCCAAAGTTAGTAATATGGTACCTTGTGGGCATCATGGTATTCCATCACAATATCATCCCAATAAGTTCTCGGTCAGCTCCCCAATCCCAATTGTATTGACCATGGTCAGAATACGGTCGTAATACGCTTTCAATGAAGAGAATCCACACCTGTGTTCCTACCCTTGCCGACAAGACAAATGCAAGGATCTGAGTCTTCCTGCTGACAGTCACTCATATGTTTAAGATAGGCCAGGCGATTATCTCGATATTGGGATGACGAGTATCTTGCAATTGGTCGGTTGAGGATTACACTAGTCATCCTTCAGCATGGGAAATACCATCTAGATATCAACATAAGGAATGTACTCTCAAAGCTATGCTATAGTTGGCTTAGGGGAGTTACTTCGAAGTTTGTGATCATACGCAATCACTCTTCGTGATATTTAAAGAACATAGTTCAGGAGTTATATAATAAATAGTGTAAGTCTTCTTCCAGGTGACCGTATTGAGTTGGAAAATCCCTGTCCTTATCAATGCTTGATATTCAGGTACCGTAAAGTCTTAGGTGACGATCACATATGTCACATCGTCCGAGTCATGGGAAACGATTGACAACTGCAACTTAGCCTAGCACGTACACATGAAGCTATTGAATGATCCTCAGGGCACGGAAACGATCATAGGTTTCCGTTGGCTAGCCTAGAGGATGCAAGGCTGAAAGTTAGTGCTAGGCTGTCACAGTCAGCTTCCTTATCACATCGTCGTACTAATGCAAGGAGGTTATAATACGATAGTTCGAACCCTGTGAAAATCCAGGCGCGTAACGTTCCCTTTAGGTTTAATTCGTCATCACGTAATCTAAGCTTAACAAGCCGCACTCGAGCCGTCGAGTGATCTCTTAGTAGTCCAATCTTGGAGTAACCATCGCTATAATAACCTATAATATGATTGCTGATAAGTCCACCCAGCAGCCACATGGGGAAAGAAGCTCGGCCTCGAGTGGAGTAGCACGATAATGTCTCTGCGGCTCGGCGGACCGCAAGGGTTATGGGTGGTCTTGACGGTCATGTGCCGGACCTTAGCAAGCCCTCGTCACATCCCATCACACTCTCGGAGTTAAGACGTACTAGGTAGGTTAGTAGCTGGGCATTTCTGGCCAACGGGATGGCGGATCGAGCCCATTACTCGCATATGTCGGCCCCGAGCATATAAGCATAACGTTGGAATTGGTATGGGTGGAAGCTTTCGTCACCCGGGACGTTTCAATTCCGAGATGTGATAGCGGCGCAACTTGTTGCCATTACTTTATCACCTACTAATCTATCACAATCATTCTATCGATATCGACTTTGCGAAAACGTCCTCCGCACTCGGCACATTCGCGATTTGCTCGACGGGCTCATTGGTCAATGGCTACGTCTACTTACTTGGCTTACCTTCAGGGCAGGCGAACGTATTTCCGAAGAGTGTGATTCATTCAGTTACGTCGCATGCCGCCGACTGCTACTGCGAAAGAAAAAAGGGCTTCCGCATGCGTCTCGCGCAAATGAGCGCCAGCGCTTGAAGCCATCGTGGCAGCGGACGTCCTGCCACGATAGTCCCGGCTGCAGCGGTTACCGGGTTTAAAGCATGAGGGATCATGAACTATGATATAAGACCGCAGGTCCCGCTGCGTCAGAAGCGCCATAGCGGCCATACGCAAGAAAAAAGCAGGACGGACAGAGTATGGCGGTCAACCATTCATAGCTGTAAAAATTTCCGCCTTTGGTTTGAGGTAGATGCATAGGTATATAAGTGCGCATATGAACCTGTAGTCTGAGAGGCGTCCACGACAACAGTCGGCCGTGCGTTGTGGAACAGGGGGGCCCGTGGACAGCGAACGCTCATGGAACGCGGCCCCTGTCCTCGACGACAATTGGGCTTCAATGCCTTTAGAGGCGCTGCGGGGATGTTCCAGTGCATCCTGCAACGCTTCGACTGTACGGTTTTCCTCCGAGTCGCAGGTCGTAATGCACATGGGATAAATTTTTTTTCTTCTTTTTCCTTCTTTCTTTTCTGAAGTTGAAACTCGCAACGAGAAGCCCTCGCTTCGAAAAAAGCTTGCTAGCGAACAACACCTCGGCGGTGGCAGCGATGCGAGGGGAGCAACAAATATTGCACCCTCCCATACCAGCTTTCGTCGTTATTATCGCCCACTCTGGAATGTGCTCTGTGCTACCTCCATCCACGATGTATCGTCGCGGAATCTAGACTTTGCTAATAGAGACCAATCCGGTCGACTTCAGCGCATATAACAGGTAAGGGCTTGGTATATCAGAGGTGTGATTCGGCTACGCTTAGTTTGCGTTGATGCTTGGCGTAGATCGTTTGAAAGCTGCCAGGGACGCGAGGGTGTGAAGGACATTTGATGGGGCTGAGATCGCCTCTCAGATTGGCGACGCCTCAACACTTTGCTATCTGAGCGTTTAGGGCTAGCGAGGTGGTGTACGATCAACGTGCAATATCTCGATGCCGGCTGTGCGCCGAATACCATAGACGAAGATAGGGGAATGTTCTCAAAGGCCGCTCTGCGGTAAATATTGCCCACGTTAGATGACGTGCGCGTCGCTTTCTCCCGAACAAAATGTGCCGGCCGGCATTGGGTTCCTTAGAATCCGATAACAGAATCCCATCCTCATTAAACTGTTTTCGCGTGAAGTAGCAGTATTGGAGACGTGGCTACAAGAAAATTGAGTACCGTGTCAACGTACTCCTCCTTCTCCAAGCTGATGTGACACGACGAGAACTCCAAGACTTCTCCCCAGACTAAACAGTAGCAATGTCGTAAATCGCAATATAATGTTGGAGAAGCTCCCTCGGGACTTGAAGAACAGAAATCCGGGGAACACTTAACTCTAATCTACAGCTACAGCAAAGCGGTATAACGTTGTGGCGAATTTCAATATATAAGAAGCGAGGTCACAGATGTGTTACCTGCCTTCGCGAACGCTGGCGAACGCTACATCGGACTTACGGAGTATGCGCCATAAAGCAGATGGGATTTTGAAATGCCTCTCTATTCTCTCTCGTCTAATAATCACATACTATGTAAACTATATACGACGCTTTACTTTGCCATAGTCGGCTACCTACGGGTCCTTGCCGTAAGGGCCGATTTCTGAATCTCTCCCACAGGACAATCAAGACAATTAACGTAGGTGTACTGTAGTATATTGGCCAAGGAAACGAAACGAAACGAAACACGGGGGCACAAAACAATGACGTAGTCGTTTCATTGCTGCTTCGGCACTTTCATACATATTATAAAGTGTTTTAGCTGCCGGCGATGCTTAATTTCATGAGAGTCCGACGTATCCGGAGCGCATACCGCGTCAACACGAAAGCAGCCCCTTTTATCGATGGAAAGATTTCGAGAATTCTCCCCGATTCTCCCGCGAAATCTCGGTATTCACGATATCAGTCTCCGGCCTGCTAAATCCGGTACTCCTTCTGACTAAGGTAAGATTGCCATTGGGGGTTGCACAGAAACTCCGGCGTGGGGCTATCGTCGCTGACCCCCATCTTCCTCCTCCTCGTCCGAGTGGGGGATTGGGGACAGGGTAGCTAAAAACGTGTGGCAATGTACTATGATATTAATAATAACTCTATTTCAGGAGCCTGAAGGAATCATAAGCCTGCGAGTCACCACCTGCTGAACTAGGTCAAGGATAGCCATATGGGAATCCTTCGAGATGTGAGACAACGGTTGAAGATGCGGAGACCAGGGGGCCATTCGCTTGTAAGGCTTATCTCTATTGTTAGCTTGGCGGCGTGGTGGCATAGCCTTAATACCTAGACAACTTCCACAGTAGGATATATGATGATTTGATTGCCCTGATTCCTTGACGATAGCAAGCCTTTCCGTGCCCTTCCTGCTACGCCCGTGATAGAAAGTGCCAGTAGCCTGAAGATTGATAGATAACTACATCCAATACATACCTCTCGGCTTGGTCGGTTAGGCAACATAGATGAGCCTATTCGTTAAAAAGTGCTATATCCGGGGGCAGAGACGAGTTCACATGTTCACCTTTTAAGAGTCATCTGAATATACCGAGGGCTCTCGCAGCTTGCCACCGCAACCACTCAATCTGAATAAGTGACAATTAGTAAGTTGATCGCCGTGCCGCATCCAAGTCTCATAAGTGCCTTATGATTAGCGTTACACATGGTAGGCATCTAAGATTTCCTCGTGAATCAGGATGGCGGTGCGCAGGCGGCAGCGTGGCTTCTCGTGACGAAGGATCGGGTGCATGCGGGCTTTAATGGTTGAAGGGCTCCGACAACTTCCTGCTCCCGTCTAACCGTTCTCCTGTCTCGCCCTTGTGTTCATGACACATACCATCGTAGCGCGGTGAATGGCTCGTCTTGGTCGCCAATAAATCTCAGGCATCGCCAATAGTTTCGGTTATTCCACGGCGCGATTCATAGGTAGCGAACCGAAGGGATATACTATAAGCCTCGGGAGCGAATGTTCGCTTTGCCGCATCTTATTCGCTATCCTCGGCCAAATACTCGGCCAACCATTCCCACGAATCCTCGCGCGGTCGCGTAGTCTCAACGCGAAACGGCGCAAACTCACGAGTCAGATGAGAACCTTGAATCCGGCGAAGATCTACGAGCGTCGAGTTTCCCAAACCAACTTCTAGGCTTTCTATAGTACGGCAGGATAACCAATTAGTATCCCAGGTGTGTTAACTATACCGCATCCGGATACCTTCGGTCGCGGTGTGGTTGACGCCGTCTTGTCTAGACTTTCCGGATCAACCACAGAATCTGGGGGTGGCCAAAATGCTACGTAGGTACACATTGTTGGGACCTCGTTTCGGAATTCTGGAGCGACGTAGCGACATAAAGACGTGAGCAATTAGAAACTCCAGATTTTCCCCTAATGGGTACCGGCAGCTGCAATACGAGGCGGTCAACGTGGATCCGGAGCGTTCGCTCTTTTCTTTCTAGAACAATGTCGCTGCAACCCTATCTACCTATTGACTTTGTTTGTGTGCTTGTTACCCAGGCTTTGGTAGGGAGATCCCTTTATGTCGAATCGGTCGAACCGGTAACACGCATACACCACGCCTACGAGCAGTTGTCCACTATCCACAGATGTGTATATCCACAGATGTGTACCTACGTACGACACCGCCTAACGTATATGCATATGTTGACTGCCTATCGAGGCACTGTCCCGATTTTACCATCGCCCCTTACCCTTGAAGGGAGGTTGATAGGATACATGTAACAGTATGTAGAATTGCGTACGCAACCTTCAACACCGAAACCACAACTAGAACCGGATATTGTCGTGGAAAAAGGAAGCTCAACAACATGATCGCGAAATGGTAACAAACATCATCCCCATGTCGAGCAAGTAATCTCCTTTGTAAGCATAAGATGCACAATCAAAGCCCGAATTACATTGGTTGTATAGGTTGTAGTAGGAATAGAAAATTGAGTAAGCGGTACTTTTGATGGATGAGATTATGAGATTATGGACGAGACACAAACACAAACACACATTTGCGCGCACACACACATACACATATGTACCTATTATTACATGATTCGAAAGCATCCTACGGGCGGTGTCAAATCCGACGTTGTGTTGCGTCTGAGTCAGGATCAGGATCGATAAAACGGTCTCCCCATGGGCCATGATTACGGGACCTTGCTTGCCTTCTGGGGATTTCGAGAATTTTGGGAATTTCTTACGCACATACACATTGTACGCGCATATTTTTAGGCAGAAAATCAAACGCCGAAAATACCTTAAGTGTGTGTAATCTGGCGACGGTTGGACCGCAAAATCCCACCTATACGAGGACGCGCTTTGGGTAAGCGGTCAGGGAGAAGTGCCGGTATTGGCTAACACAACGAGACTGCGGTCAGCCAACTCACCTTTGAATCGTCTTTGCATCGTTCTGTCTCTCCGTTGGACCAACTGGACCAACTGGACCAACTAGCCGTTAGACATGTCATTGCCGTCATCGCCCGGTCGCCCATTGCTCAGCTCGCCGAAAGCCCTGCTGACGGCCACCGTGGCGCGAAGGGAAGCCAATTGCGAGAAATTGTAATTACCTATACGACCAGCATGGTCGTCATCCATCATCCATACATCAATATTCAGGGAATTGTGAGTCGTAGAGGCAAGCCCAAGACGTGATGTAACGGTAGACTATTGCCTTACGTCCGCCCAACCATTCCAAACAATTCGCAAGAAATTGATCTTTTTCTTGATTTTTCGAATCCCGAGAAACGAGGGACCGTGCTGGTGCCGTCGCTGCTTTTTCCAAAAAAGCCGAGGCGGCGGGACGATGCAATGACGCTCGGACGGCCACAAAAGGGGGAAAGAAAATAAAAAAGGGAAAAAAATTAGTAAAAATTAGGGGGGGACAGATAGTAAAAAAATAAAAATTACATTGGCTATTATTGAATATTTGGAGGCTTCCCAAATGCAAATGAAGCAATCAATGCAAGCCAGCGGAACGGGCGTGGGAACCTCCCCCATTTTAACTCGTGTGCCGGGCGCCCGAGGTGAATTGGCTGGCCGAGGACCAACCGAAGGAACGCCTCCTTCGTCATTGGTATCCATTATCATGTGCGTAACGAAATAGTAAGAAACCATTAGGCCTGGTAACAGATCGTGACGGATCAACAAACCAATCTTCCAGATACACTACACCAAGAACCAACAACCGACGGTCAACCGACGACGAAATGAATAGCTCGGCAAGCAGGATTCCAAAGTGTACAATTAAACCCCGTAGCCGTTTAGGATATGGATTAAACTGCGAGTTTCGGCACCTGTCCGCTCTGCCCGCTTCAATACCATCCTTATTACAACGCCGTGATTGCTGTTGTATCGACGGAAGCCAAGAGATTTTGCATCCTGCTGCATTGGGGAGTTTCGTTATTGTATGTAGTAGATTACTTTACTCTCCAGTAATCAACCAGACAGAAGGTTGCTACGCGGTACAACTGTACCATATTAACATATTAACCTCCGGCTCTCAATATCTACGATGCCATCGTAAAATACAACCCCCAGTATTTCCCCCAGCTTCCCAGAACCGCGAACGGGTCACGGAGCTTACTAAATAGTACTGTAACCTGGAAACCAATTTCCAGATATATACGTACCTCCCTAGCTAGTAGGTATGTACATAGCACACGCACACGGGCACACGGGCACACGGGCTGACGGGACACAGACCTTTGTAACCAGGACACGGACCTAAGCCCATCATAGGACGGGAGATAGACCCGGCCGCGGCAGTCGGATAAGACAGTCCAAGGTGGGACCTGTTGAACCCTGATCGTCATCGCTTTTCCCACGGACCCATGGGCCTTGTTCGATGGGGCCCCTCATGCATGGGCAATCCCGCGGTCTGGCATTTTTTCCATTTTCTTTCGCCAGCCCGTCTGCCCCAGCACCTGCCCTAAGTTGATCTTCCTCTGATTCTTTCCCCGAAGGTTGGCTGCGGTGCCTATTTCGGCGCGGTGGAGATCTGCAAACGAAGCTTGCCGGTGGAAGAATGGAAGGAAACGAGAGGGTAAGGGAAGCCCAACGATGCGCTGCCAGCAAATGTTGTACATACCGTGGACGTACATACACATACACACACATACATACATTACATTAGGTACATACTAGATTCCGTGCTTTCATCGAGTTGGGTCCAGTAGAGAGTCTACGATACGTCCGTTAGCTTCCTTTTTTTTTGGGGAGCACCAGGAAACCAGGAAAAAGTAGGCCCTTTTTGCTTTTTCCTTTTTCTGGTCCGTTTTGGCGGTGTCTATCCGCTAACATGGTTTACTTATTTTTGGCTCGATCTGATTGGTAGGGAGCAGGCTCGGGGAATGGACGGGCTGCTGGAAGATGGGATTGGGAATGGGATTTGGGGGTTTCAAAAGCTGACTCCGTTAAGGCGGTCTAGGCTGACTTGGTGTGTAGACTTGTATAGACAGCCAGAACAAGCCAGGACACCCTTCTTCCCTACTATGTACGTCCCGGGCCCAAATACCCACACCCCCTTTTCCGCGCCCGCATCCTGACAGGCGGTCTGCTAGGATTATTTGCAACGTGGGGGATGTACTAGAAACTGGAAAATAGGGCATGTAACACTCAGGAAGTAGCAAAGTAGCAGCAGTGCCCTGTTGTTGCCTCCGTGCGGCGGCGATGATTCACGAGTACCTCCCACACACACACACACACGCGCACGGCACGGGCACACCCTCTCCCTAGTATATATTTGTTCTCATGGCCATCCCATGCGCTCCCGTCCCATGCCTCCGTTTCCCTTGCTTAATACCCCAGATAATCTTCGATAGCCATAGAGCAGTAATACATAATCCATCAACCCCATCGTCATCCAAGCTAGAGATCACTACTAGCTTTCCTCAACTATACTACTGCTACGCGAATATCGTCGATTCCGCTATATACGCAACTGACTCTACACGCGAACTCAAACAGCTTCCTCCTCTCCTGAGACGCCACAAAGCTCAGCCATATACAACTCCTATATACCGAGAAGCAAACTATTTTGCTTGCCCCACGAAAGTCGAAACTTCGAAAAAAATGTACAGCCCGTACGGCTCCTACAGCTCGATGAGCTCGGCCTCGCAGCCGATGGACATCCCCACCAGCAGCTACCTCTCGTACAACTACAACGGGTCCTACAGCTCGCGCTGCGCGTTCCCGTCGTGGCCGCAGCGCTCGTCGCTGACGGACGAGCACGACCAGCAGAGGGCGACCTCCTACCTCTCCGACGACGACCTGTTCCCGTGCGACGACTCCGACGACGCGCACAGCGTGTCCAGCGCCGGCAGCACGACGCCTACGTCACCCGTCGCCGCCGCCACCGAGGCCGACATGCTGCGCATGCAGCGCGAGCAGATGGCCATGCAGCGCGAAGCCATCAAGTTCCTGCTCGGCGAAAAGGAGCGCCGGAAGCAGCAACAGCAACTACAGCAGGCGTCTAAGAAGCAACGGCGCAGCTCGTCGGGCTCGAAGAGGAGCAGCCCGAAGACGAAGCAGGCGCACCTGGACGCCATCGCCGAGGCCGGTGAATGAAGAGGCCCCCCACTCTTTTGCCATGACGATACGATTTTTTAATGGTGAGTTTCATTCTTTCCCTATACCCTGCTTTTCGGGACAAGGTCCCGGCAAAAGCGCTTGAAATCCATGAGAATAGACCAGTTTGCTGACCGCTATACACTAGAACAATTTGGATCTTTTTTTACTAGCGAATCTTAACGAATGGATATGATTATGACGACTTAACGCCCCCCCAATATGATACCCCCCAAATTATACCCCCGATGAGTCACCACCAAAGCACCCATCAGCATTTGCATTAGCATCAGCATCAGCACCAGCACCACCGGATGGCCGAACACCAGCGTCGCGGATGCCTATTCCCGCGCCACGCAAGGCGGAATCCGGAATCGCGGTGAATGATGAAAGCGTTCATTATTACACCACCCACACAGACTTGTGTTTGTGTACAACACCACGGCTCGCGAGGAAATAAAAAATTCATTACACCCACAATGAATGCAATTTATTCCAGCGCCTGGTTTGACACAAACCCTCCCTTACCTAGTACCTTGACGCCACCCCACCACCCCCCCCTTTTACCTACAGTTTGGATATATCATTTTCAATGTCGCGGAAGGGGGTTCGCGCCTCCCCGCCGTTATTTCTCCGGACCACGGATTTTCTGTCTCAGCGCCACTACATCTAAAGGCATGTGCGCGCATCCCGCGAAGGGATCTGCGCTTTGCTATTACCGTTCGGTAGAAAGGGGGGGCTAGAAAAAGTGAGGGGATGGTAAAGGGAAAATCAGGAAGAGGAGGAAACAAGTTCCGCACACCCAGAGGCTTTTCCGAAGCAGGGTTGCGGGTTTGTGGGTTCCTTTTTTTTTGTTACTTGTGTTTTTTAGTTTTACTGTTTTCGCATATGGCATATTCCGGCGGTGAGAGGAAGGAATTAGGAATACCTATGGATGGAGACTTTTTTTTACCTAGGAAGGGAAAGAGAACACACACAATGGCTTGTTTGGGAAAGAGGAGAAGTAACCGGGCCAGTGAGGAAGATGGGAAATTCTGGAGCGAGTCACATAATGCGGATGACCCGGGCTTTCGGGTGTCGCTGACGCGATTGGACAACAATGGAAACTATTTCGGTCGCACGAAAATTCCCGGGTCGAAAGCTTATTGGCTGACGCTTGTTTTTTGTACTGGTGGTGGGCTACGCGCGATGGATATGGTTGCGGTTGGGAGGACGAGGAGAAGAAGATGGAGTACAGGACCTCGTAATGAGGATTATGGAATACCTAGCTCGATGGAGGATGAAATGAAACAAAATCACCAAAAATAACTTCACTATCCGTGCTTCTCTAATAACTCGTATGAAGTTGTGAAATGTCTTTGAAAGCCCAACTTACCCTAACTCTCTAGCCCTTTCTCGTAGGTACCTGACCCAAGTGTGGCGACGGCACGGTTTACGATATATGTGGCTTGTGTACTATGAAAGCCACCGGATGTAAGGAGACTGGTTCCAGCTATCCGGATTTGCTCTTTGGGAATAGCGTCATGGTACTTGCTTATATAGATGTTTGTTATTTCCAATCAGTTTACGAGGATTTAAAGTAGTGTTTAGGGTTGTGATGATCGGTTGTGATTGTTGATCTCTGCAGACGGGACTGCCGTTGACGGACATGGGGTATGCTTATTACGCATAGGACGCATATAGGGCACAGGCCGATGCCCCCAACGATTACACCAACGTACATAGTGAACGGAACTGCTCGCCTATCCTTTTAAAGCGCTTTAATGTGTGTCTTAAGTGCGGTTGACAGGGGATGGGATACCCGACCATAGAGAAGCCCTTGCCCTAAGTTGCTAAAACTTGCCGTGGGCATACAATATCACGTCGCTCTAGCTTGTGATTGCTTCGAAGGTGGGGTTGAGAGACACAGCTTATGTAGGTAGGTATCTAGCACATCGACGGTTTGCATTTGCATGTGTCTAGCGTAGTCGGTGTACGAATGCCTGATCGATAGTTGCCCTAAAGTGGATTCCGCGAAGCACCAGAACCAGGTAGGTGGTGGCTATCATTCGGTTGCGAATCGGAAAGCGCATAACCCGCCTGGTGGAATTTTTGGCAATTGTTGAGCTTCTGAAAAGTCGTCGGAAGAATATCGTCAATCAGATGGCCAAGCCAGTGATGTCGATGTGGGGGAACGACCTCGTGGGATAGTTGTGGTCACCAATCAAGGAGATATATTTCCTTGACCGACTGCCATTTGTCCCTCGCCGATTCGGCTTGGTTGGCTCCTGACCGCCAGCGATGCCAGAGAAGCCAGCGAAGCCGTTGACTCACGGAGGTGTTAACGCTCACTTATTCCTTCAAGACAGGGTTCTGTGGGTATGAGTTGGGCAGGAGGAAGACACGGTGACGATGGCGAGCCAAGACAAAGCTCGACAACCGATCGTAACAGCTTCGGAACATCTTTTTGAGTGAAGTGCTAAGTGTCAAGTACAGAATAGACAGACAACGGAACATGTACCCCACATACAGCTAGGTCCTGGGTACGGTATTAAGGGCATTGTACAGTACTTCGTCACCTCGTCTTAATATCGTCTTACTAGGATTGTCAGCGTGTCGACGGCGTGGCGCCCATTATCCCACGCTAATTAGGAGCTTGATCGGAATCACAACCTATTACACGATGAAGCTTGCCCTTCACCAGATCAGCACAAGGTCATCCGACTCAGCCTCCATATATGAGATTCCTAAAGGAAGATATGGTCGGAGTAAACGCGGAGTCTAGTGCCATAGTCTGAAGTGCCCAAGTGTGATGAGATAAGATGTGCGATGCGATATTCGTGATGACTTCTCGGAGCTCCCCCCGCATGAAATATTCAAAGGCAAGGTTGCAATTTATTGCACATCTTATCGAATTCCAGGGGAGAGCGGGTGGTGGCGGTCAATGCTCTTCAACTTGATTAATTTTGACAGTCCGTGCACTGCAGATGAGGGGGATTAAGTCGTCAGCGAGGTTTGAGATAATTGCTTGGATATGCTCCTAATTGCGGCTGCACCCCTAGCTATACCTAGCTCAATACGGGCTACTATGTAGGTATCTAATTTTCAATCTACCTATATCCTATGTAGTCGATTCCCTAGGTGGAGAACCCGTTCAGCCCGTCTAGACTATCTTTTATTACCTAGTCGATGGAGCGGAACGTAGCCCGAAGCAAGATTCCCGTCCTGCAGTCCCTTTGCCTTCCCGTCGTCTACTTGGATGCTAAGAGAAATGGCTTATTTTTTTATGACTGTCATCCTAGGTCCGCCAATGAGAAATGCCGTGCTTAGTGTTTCACATACCATGGCGTTGATCATAACTGCAATCCTAGGAACTAGTAGCCAACGGTTGAAGTTGAAGCGTCTTTACTGTAAAGCATTGTGGGGTTGTAGTTGTAGTTGGTTGCTAGTCGTTGCTAGTCAAGGTGACAATGTTGGATGGGAATAATTCACTTATATGTACAAATCACGTTAGAGATCTCAGGCTGAGAAGAGTTTGCAGCGGGTTTGCAGCCTTGCAATGATGTAGCGTAGTATCTGTCATTTCGCTTCTAAAGCTCTTGGTTACGTTATTGACAATTCGATGTGGAGGGTTGATGGTATCTTAACGTCGATGGAGCAGGGGGAAAGGGGGGAGGGAACGGGGAGAACATTCGATAAGTATCCGGGTTGCCCCTGGCTGACATCGTATCGAATGTATCTTGGGGTATGACAATATTATGCAAGGGACTGGAAGGTGAGGAGAATGCGTAATCGGCAAGCTTTGGAAATGAGGCTGCTATTCGATACCAGGTAGTTCGCAAGACTACTACCAATACAGCTTCTTTTGCTTCTATGTACCTAGGCCGTTGTCGTTGCGGCCTGCGGGGCCGACATGAGGAAAAAAAGTTCCTAATGCGCGACAGCTGCAACCCCCGAACCGATCCTGGGCATTGGGTTGTACAGAGTGCTTTGGAATACGATCTCACTAATTGTGAGGCATTTCACATATAGTATCGAGGGATTCGTGCGAGTTTGGGAGCCGTAGTACAAAGAGCCCCGGCGTCGTCGGTGAGTGTCGGTTGAAGACCTACGCATTGGAACCGCCAGGCTGATGAAGATCTACCCAAGCTTCCGAGAGCTGGTTGGGGTGACTGGGTGATAAGAAGTTTGATGCTGTCCCTCGTCGGAACATGTACTGGTGACAACGCCATAGGCCAGAATCTGGCGGTTTCCAGTGTATTTTATATCATACTCCACCAACGACACATGTGAGTACCTAGGTATGTATGCCATCCGCATTGCTTAAGGCGTGTCTGAGATCATGCTTGAACCTACCTATTCAAGTATGTTTGGTATGCGTGTTCAATCGCAACGAGGTAATATGCATACTTAGATCTGACTATTCTTTCCTAATCGAGCCGAAGCTCTAGATGCTCCCAGCCTCAACTTTCCCCATTTCTCCATCTTTTTGCTACTACGCTCCTGAACAACCAATCCTGACATGCCCTCGTACCCATTCCTATTTCAACGACATATACATATCGTCAGTCAGCAACTAGCATCGGCGGCACTGCATTGTACGCCGTCTTCCCCTGGCTGATTAGTTCAAGGTTGAGCGCACAGGAAGAAAGAAGAGCGCGTGCTACAGGCGAGGTAACGTAGATAGGCAGATAGGATGCTGGCACCCATCGGTGAGGAAGCGAGAGCCACGACGTCCATGTGCGCCGTGCGTGGGATGATCGTCTTAGTGGGGTAGACGATGGCTTTATGGTCAGTTCTGTCAGTTCAAGCCTTAGAGCGCCCTACGAACGACCCTATGAATAGTCCTTGAAGGGAAGGATTAATGTCCGATGGAGAACGGAAAGTGGAGAGAGATATGGGGAAGAAAAAGGACGAATGCCTAGGTATTCATACTATATTGTGTGGAATGATATCCATGTACGCGAAATCTTGGTATTGTGCTGGTACTGAATGGCATTGTACAGTACTTGACTCGGTTGTCGTCGTCGTCCTCTTTCTTCTTCTCTCTTCAGGGGAGAAACTGGGGAGAAACTGGGATAAGTAAAAAGAAGAAGGCTGTTATGTCGAATCGCTGTGGGCGACCCTTGCATCTCTCTACCAACGAACTTCCTCGTCACTCTCTTTTGCCGCCGCGCCGAGCTTTAGCAAATGCGTTATAGCCAATCATCCTCCCCGGCTTCGAACCCCCTTGCCGTCAACGGGCCAATCCTAGCCTGTAACCGCCCTTCCACCACAGTCGGCGCTACTGCGAGGAACGACGTTCGTCAACATCCATTCTCACTTGTCCATGCTAATCCACTTACGGATTACCTTTTTACCCAACCACATCTCACAGCTACCATTCTCCTCAGTGCTCTAAAAGATAGCCAAATGAATCTCCTATCTACATACATGCCTCACTCTTCACCATTTCACTAGAGAGATGAGCCAATTCATGCTTCCAAACAACGCTGTCCAACGAAGGGCTAGTGGCCATTCTTAAACAGTCTCATGCTACGCAATCATCTTCCCCCCGCCGTGGTATGCTCTACCAGTCTACCAGTCATGCCGCCTCATTCAGGTGCTAGCTGCGCCTTAAACCTCAAACCGCCCCCGAGCTTCCTTTGGAGAAGCCTGGGGCCCAAAAATCCGACGATGGGAATTCCTGGAATAACCATAATCATGGGTTCTACCAACATACATGCTCTTGATACCTGGCAAACCGGTGTAGCACCTAGGTACTCAAAATGCCGCAGAGCTCATGCGACTGACGTTTTTGGTGTTCACTCGGATATCTCATGTATATATCTATTTCTAGCTATCCTGCCCAGTGGCGAAGCTAGAGGAGCCTCAATGCACCACGCAAAGAGGAAGAAATAGAAGTGACGCTAATTATACCAATGATACCAATACCAATACCAATGCCAATATCAATTCCCAGAGCCGTGTACATCGCTCATGATGTACTATACCCTTCCGGTTCTCTCCCCTTGTCTTGCATGATCCATCGCACTACTGTATTGAGGACGATTCGATCACCTTGCTACCTTGCTACCCTGAACTGTACCCTGTCCACTCGGCAGGCGATGGCTGATCAGACCCCTGCGAGATGCTGCCAATGTATGTAGACCTGGGCTTAGCCGGACCCGTATCCGCTCTAGATATGGCCGCTCGGTTCTTTACTACGTAGTATATGCGATCTGGGCCATTGAGAGCTCAGAACAACTCCTCTTTAGGCGCTGGACTTCTTGACAGGCGATACACGTCTTATTTGCTCTCGCACACCCCCCAAGCTCGACCGAGAGCGCCTTTCTTTTTACTCCCTCGCCTCTTATTCATCGACGCAGTCGTCCCTCTCTTGTATACACGGCCCCAGGACATTTATGCAGCAGACAGGCATCTCCCAGGCCATTCTGATTCAAATATAGTGACACTGCCGCTACCGTAGCACGCTTCCACGAGGAAATAATCGGATTAACACGCCTCTGTGCTACATACCCGATTCTCTCTCTCCACCTTCTGAACCTCCTTCTCAAATTTCTAACCTCTACAACCCGCTCTCCTCCCAACTTTAGGGTCTACAAAGAAGTCAGGAGCCCATCAGTACCCTTCCGAGCCGGCGCAACCATAGCAGCGTGCTATCGTGGAACCCGACACCGTCCCTCGAGCTAATTGCGCATCTAGTTCTCGTAGAAATCGAAACCCCCATAGCTCTGGCACGAGGGAAAAACGAGGAAAGAAGGCGACTCATCCGGGAACGGGCAGGTTTTAGGTGTTGCGTGTGATGTTCGGGGGCCGAATTGTGTAGCGCCCCCGCTTGCTTGGAAACTGGGAGTATTATCTCGCGGATATACACGCAAGTCGAGGTTAGTTTAGTTGTCCAGCTTTTTTGTTCAGTTGGATTCTCGTCTTTTCGCACCGACATGATCTACAAGAGCCACCTCCACCCAATTCGCTCTCGTCTTGGGCGATACTGCCATGATATTAATACTCTGCTAGGTGAATAGTACTACGATGTCGTCCTCGAGCTACCAGACGATGCCCCGGCATCGCAATGCCTCCACCAGCTCGGCCGGGCGCTCTTCAAGAAAAGGAAAGGTTCCCGCCGAGCCGAGAGACTTCACATCGCCGACTACTTTGGTCAGATACTTTGAGCCGACAGCAGCAACAGCCTCAATGTTGCTGTATGGACGTGAGTAGAGGACATCGCCTCAAAATCAACATTGGAAGCTAACCTTTGGGGAACAGAGGGTAGCTCAGTAGTCGTAGCGCATCACGACAGCCTGACGATCGAGAGGCGCTTCTCACGCCATTCCGCAGAAATTCATCTCCTGGCCGTGGACACGCAAAGCGAGATTGGAGCGGGACGATTGGTAGTGAGTTACGATGCGGACATGACCGCAATCGTTTGGGACTTAATGACAGGTGACGAAGTGGCTCGTTTTGCTTCGTATGAAACTCTTACGTGCGCAGCTTGGATGCGGAACGGAAACGTCGCATTCGGTACGTCTCACTCTCAATGAAGCTATCGTCGACCCCGGGCTAATATCATGGGCACAGGCAACACGCAAGGAAACGTCATTCTTTTTGAACCGACTACGTCTGAACATATTTCCGCACGAACCATTGACCAAATACCAATAACAGGTCTTGCTCCTGCGGCTGATTGTAGGACCTTTGCTATTGGGTAAGTTCTTTAACTGTCTTAACTCCCTGAGTCTAGCCTCGTGTAACTCTTAGAACGCCTCATAACTAACGCCCTTCAAGATATCAAAATGGTTCCCTCCTTATTGCTACCCTCCAGCCACGATTTACGATCCTGCATAATTTGAGCACGTCGAGAGCACCGTCGCCAATCGTAAACCTGGCCTGGCATGCCTCGTCTTCTCGGCAGAAGTCGGACATGCTGGCTGTGCAGACCAACGATGGCGACCTCAGGGTTTGGAGCGTGGCGAAGTCGTTCAACAGCGACGATCCTGCAAAGGTGGTCAGGATCTTAAAACGCACGGAGAATTACCAGAACGGACCCAACTGGATGGGCTGGTCTAAGAATGGTCGCATTATCCAGTATTCTGAAGGGTGAGTACCCACACCATGCATGATCACAGCTACGCGCGCGCCAAGTCTATACAATGCTGATGATATCATTGGCTATAGGGAGACCCTCTCGTGGGATGTTCGAACAAAACATGTCACTAAGGACAGCATCCCGACTCTGGAGCATGTCCGCGGCCTCGCCGTGTATGGGCCGGCCGCGACCCTGTTCACGCTTGGTGCCAATAACACCGTCCAACAGTTCGACTTGAACACGCCATCTATGATGGTTGCTAACGTCCAGCATCCGGCAAATCTTTTGCCACCGTCTCCTCCAGTCTCGATCGAGGAGCAGCCCGAGCAGGGTGTCGTTATCATCGGTACATCTGAGTCGGACTCGTCGATCCCTATCAACCCTGAAATATCCGAAAGTGACGATGATCACATGTCGCCATTTGCGAGGCTCACTCGCGGGGCCGACTCGACCACTGACCCGACTGAACAGGAGAGGTACATGACGCAAAGCCCGGTTTCTTCGAGGAGCCAGTCGACTATTTCTAAGTCGTCCAATGGCTCCGGCACACGAGGTCGATATCCAGCTTCGGTCATGTCACGTGGAATGACTGAGAATACTTACATCTCTGCTGGCTCATCCCTTAGGTCTTCGGCGATGCCGCCATATGGGGACAAGGATGCTTACTCGATCAGCAGCATCAGCTCCACTTCGATAACTTCGTCTTCGCGTTCCCATCGCCGGCCGTCGCGGCTAAGGAACGAAGTTCTGCCCAGCCCCGAGGAGTCCAAGGTTCATGACCTATTCAAGTTTACGAGGAGCCGTCTTCATGACATCCCATACAAGCACGTTCCTCTGGCTGACCAATCCCGCCTTACTAATGATGATCTTCGTCGACAGATGCTTAGCATTATATTTGGGTGGAATGGTGAGATTGAAGACCTGATTCGCGATGAGATGTCACGACATCCTCTAGGCTCACCGGGCCGTATCCTTCTCTCAAAATGGCTCGGCGATATCGACGCGGATGTGATGACAGCCACTTCGGAGAACATGACTTCCTCGGACTGGATGTTGCTCGCTCTAAGCGGAATTGGCGGTCAAGCCTCTCAGCATAAGCTTGGACGTGCGTATGTGCAGCGTCTCTTGGAGAACGGCGATGTGCACGCGGCAGCAACCATTATGATTGGAATGGGAGATCAGAACGATGCTATCGAGATTTACGTATCGCACAAGAAGTACATGGAAGCTCTCATTTTGCTTTGCCTCTTCTTCCCCGGCGTGTGGGAGCGACAATCCCAGATCATCAAGAAATGGGGAGAATTTGCTATCCAGCATGGCCAACAGCAGCTGGCAATCCGATGGTAAGTCCGATATAGAGCTCCAATATTATCTATGTAACACCGTACTAACAGTTTTGAACAGCTTCGCTTGCACAGGCGTGGAGTCCACTGAGCCATGGACGTCGCCATCTGCCTCGCAGCTAACTTTCCAATCCATGAACCCAAGCATTCCAGAGGTCCTGAGCCCGCCCCTATCTCCTCCAGGCTTGAACCGTGGACCACAGCGTAGCATTGCAAAGACCTCAGCACTCAAGCTTATCACCTCCTTTGGCGACCAAGGAAAGAAGTCGAAATTCTTCGCGAGTGGTGGCGACGGAGGCCAGACTCCTATTGCTGCGGGTGTCACGCCGATAGCTGAGTCCGCCGTTTCTCCTGGTGTGCATGATCCCAACACCGCCTTCCTCCGTCCCTCGCAGCGAAGCGCCTTCAACACCCCTGCCACTGCGAAGCCGACTACTCCTGGTGGATTCGGACGACAGCGTCTTCCCTCGATAGGAGAGATCCCGCATGATGCTCTTCCACGCAACCTGAAGAGTGGAGATCTGCCAACTCCCCCAAGCGACCAGGTTCCTGAAATGATCCAGGCTCAACGTGCTCACCATGCTCACAAGACCTCTACTGACGAACGGTATGATACTGGTCTATCCGTACCAAGGGCTTCGACAGCAAGCCCTATGATGATGAAGGATAGCCACCGACGTAGAGATGCGCCTCCACCGTCGCCATCCCCGCAGTCCCTCGCTGCACTAATGCAACAGGGCCGTTCGAGCCGCAATGGAGCTCGAGAGCGTAAGCCCGAAGGCATGGAATTGAGGATCCACTCCATCGAAGCCGCCATGAGCGATGTAACCTCTCCAGAACAATCCGTGGCGTCGTCTACTCGTTTCCATTGGCCAAGCCGTCGTCGCGGACCGGGTTCGATCGCGGGTTCCGTCACCTCAAACTCCAGCGCAGGCCGAAGCTACCGGACCAACCAGACGGGCCACGGAGGCCGCGGCTTGAACGAGTACATCCACAGCTTGGACACCGCGTCTCATTACTCCAAGAAGCAACGAAGCCGCGAGAGCAGCCGCCATCGTGAGGACAAGCACGGCCGAAGCCGTGAGAGTAGCCGTAACCGCCAAGGTGGTGCGCGTGAGAGCTCGGAGGACAGAGGTAGGGGTATCTCCCGAAACTGGACACCCAAGCCAGCTAAGCGTTCTCCCACTTCCCCCGTGCCCATGTCTCCCGAAGATCTCATCAACCTGAGCACACCGGGACGCAACGAAACTGGATCCAACGAAGAATTCGAGTCCGGTGAGCCTGCTACTGTTCGCAAGTCCAGCCAAGTCAGACGAACCTCGCCTCGGAGCACCCGCATGTCTAGCCGTGCCTCGAGCCGCACCGGTCGCCAAAGGAGCTTGGAGCGGAGGCCTCCGGCGCTGACCTTAGAGCCTCGTGGCAGAAGCAAGAGCCGCGGTGACGGTTCCCTGATGAGGTCTCCTTCATCGCCATTGCCAATGTCGGCCCCTATGAAGTTCTACGGGTCGGACGACGAGGAGGACTACCGAGCTGCCCTAGAAGCGCAGGAACAGTTCAGGAACAGGCACAACCGCAGCGGCAGCCAGAAGGACCCCTCTTCTCCCGCCGTCTCCCGAGCCCGGGACCGGTCGCAGAGCCGTAGAAGGAACAAGACGCCGGCAGATCAAGAGCAGGAGCCCCTACCCCCGGCTCCGCCAGTGCCCAAGCAGCAGGTGCAGCTACAGCTACAAATCCAACAGCCGCAGCAGCAAGCAAGCGCACCCCGAGCCGGAGATCTCAAGTTGATCTCGGCCGAGAGACAGCGGAAGAAGGAGCAGGCAGCCCGCGAACTAGAGGAACGCCGCAAGTCTCTCGCGCGTCGTCCCTCAGCACCGCCGATTCCTCACCCGGATGAGCTGTCCCCGATCGTGTCTCGCCCGCCGAGCGCGTTCGAGCTGCCTCAGACGACCTTCGTGCCTCCGAAGGACGTTCCCGCCAGGAGCCACACCGCGGACCCTCACAGGAGCTCGCACACGCGCAGCGGAACCGTTCCCATGATCGGCCTCCCAGCAACGCCCAAGGCCATGCGTCTTCAGTTCCATTCCCACAAGCTCGACGTCCCGGCGATCCCAGCCGCTTACAAGTCATCGTCCGGGTCTTCGGGACAGCCGTCGCCCGACCGACCAATCACCGGCAACAGCTCGCCTACCAAGTCGCCCAAGAAATCGCCAGGAAAGGCGCCCGAGAAGGAGTCGTCGCCGCCCCTGACCCTCCTCCCTTCGACCGTCTACTCGCCTCCCGCGCGCCCCAACATCCCGCGGTGCATGTCCGCCCCTATCCCCGAGGAGCACCCGCCTCACGTCTCGCACTCGGCTCACCAGGGGATGCAGGCCAACAACCAACCACCTCGACGGGGGTCCATTTCGGCGAGGAAGATGAGCGGTGACGCCAGCGCGGGATTGCCCGGTATCCAGGAGACCTTGGGAGCCGGTAGACACGCGAGGAGACCTTCGCGAGACGACCAGATCCCGCCCCCGCCTCCGCCACCTCCGGTCCTGAAGGAATTGCAGCATCTGGCTACTCCTCCCCCGCCGCCTCCCGCGCCTCTCCCTGGCGCTAGGTCCAACGTGTACACGCAGCCGTCGGGCTCCGGAACCATCGAGATCGTGATGGACGAGGAGGAGCAGTCCGCAGTGCCGGCCCCGCTCACGATCCCCGAGCAGCCGCCCATGCAGACCTCCAGTCCACCTGTCGTATCTCCCGTCCGCGGCCACAGCCGCGGCGCAAGCTTCACCGACAACAGCCTCGCGGGGCGAATCGGCCGCGTGACCGAGAAGATGCGGTCCGCGAGCCGCGGGCGAACGAGCTCCATCCTCGGCAACAGGACCAAGTCGCCCGACACCGCCAACATCCCGTACGAGAGCGTCCCGCCGCCGGTGAGCATGCACAACAACGGGTTCACGTCGCCCGTGAGCCAGCAGTCCGTCGAGCGCCACCCCCGCGAGGTCCGCGCCGCTTACCAGGAGCGCGAGTTCGGCAGCGGTCTGCACGCGAGCGAGATGATCTAACGCAGTACCGTCTTGATCTCTACCTACCTATTATTCACTCTCCCATCAATCCACCACCAATTTGCATTACCCTACTCAACCCTATCCTACCAGACAGGCCTTGCCTTGTTGCTTGACATTTTCGAATTATATACGAACCGCATTATCCTTGGTATTCTTCTGCATCTCAGCATCGCTTTTTTGCATGGCGCCGGCGTTTTTATATCTCATCTTCTTCCTCTTCTCGTCATCATTCATCTTCATCTTCATATCTCCTCAATTGATACCACTTCTTACTCTTTTTCGGAGTCCTCTTTTTTATAACGCCCGCCATTTTTATTTTGCGCATGCGAACGAATTGTTCGAAACAAGCTTGTATGGATGTATGGATGGGAGGTTGTAAAACTAACCTAATGGCATTCGCGGGCAAAGAATTGACGACAGACATAATACCAATACCCTCAATACCCCCAACACCCACCTCCCTTTTTCTCTCCATATCAAGCAACAACCAATTCTTCTCTTCTGCAACGACAACTTTGTACACTTCTTCTAAACCGGGAAAAGACTCGTCGAAACCCATTGTTCTATCTAACCTGCGACGTGCGCGAGCACCGTCGAGGACACACCTCTTTCGGAATTTTTTTTACCTTTAACGATTTATGACACCATCTACATTCGGGGGAAAGACGGGAAACAGAAAAACGGAAACCGTGAAAGAACAAATACCCTTTAGCTTAGCTCACTTGTTTGGATTTTTGGGAGGAAGGGAAGAGAAAAAAACCCGAACAGTCCCCTCCCCTTTCCGTGGTGAGACGGAAGGGCTGGAGGGGATATAAAAGGTTTTTTTGTTTTATTGTATACAGAAACAAGGCAGCAGCTGTTATAGTTGTGCACGCGAAACTTTGACGATGATGACACCCCTTTTGGACGAGGAGGCGGGAAGAGAGGCCAGGAAAATGGGTAACGAGACAAAGTGCCCAGAAGAGAAAAGTCGTAACGACAAGAATGGTGCTGCCTCACGGCATCTTTGTTCTTCGCTTCTTAAACTTTACCTATTGTTTTGGTTTGAAATGGCGATTAGGCCAAGCCCAATTGTTTTTGGTGGCTTGGTTACACCTTTTTGACGAGTCTGTTATTATAGTATACCTTAGTCTTTGCGCATAGTCAATTAGGAGTTTATGTGGGCTTGATATTATCTTGATGTATTTGATATTGAATATGATTGTTGTGAACAATGCGATGTTGAAAGTAGAAGGCTTGAGAACTATTAGAATGTGGTAGTGTAGATATATGGGTGAAATATGTGGATGAATGTGGTAGTGTAGCTCGATTCTTGTGAAACCCTCAAAACAATATCCTTAAGGTAGTGGATTCAACTGTAACCAGAAAACGTCTTTTACGACCTCGGGAAGCAATGTAAGCAGAGTAATTTTTATATGTATGATATGAGAAAACAATTCAAATATAAAAACTTTTTTAAAAAAGAGAAAAAATAAAGCGGAGTTGACAATCTCCATCTTCTTCTGCTAGCCCAAATCCCCAAGCCAACGTTATCCACCACACCACGCGACGGGGGAGATACTCTGCAGAGTGAAACCTCCCTGAAGGTTACTCTCCATTTCCTAAGATCACCTAATCAACACTGGTTACCCAAGTGGATAGGTGGTCACCGCGGCGTTTGCAGTGGGCGCGGCTCGAGGGTTCTTATGGAATTGGGATTAGTGGAAGAAGAATTTCAAGCGCCTTCGCCAAATGACCATTACAGTCGAAGTAAGAATTTGAAATGATTAATTATAAGGGAACTAGCGGTAAAACTTCGGGTCACATAGAATCGGCACTTACAACCCCCGATTGCAACTACGTACCTACCTACCGTAACGCAGAGGCACATCGCGACGTAGCGTATTAAGGTTCACAGATGGCTTCAAAGTTTCCAAACCATCACATCGTCGAACTTTGTAGAGCAGATGACAAGCCCAATTGTTACAATCAACCGATGTCTTTAATATCCAATGCTTATCATGACTTTCCCATTTCCAAAATTCCCAATTGACATCAGACGATATCTCCATATCTCATTCACATGCTACTCATAACCAACCATTGCTATTCATTTCCTAACCAGCAATAGCAACCATGTTAACGACGGCGCCATACCTGCGCGTACGACGACCCTCCCCTACTACGGCCGAGTTCGTCGTATCGACGCTGCCTCCACCGACGCTACCGCTGCGCATCACCCTCGCGGCCATCTACTTCTTACGTCTCGTGCTTAGCCTCGGCGTGTTACTGCTCCTATACTCGGTCTGGGCTCAAAGCCCGTACTCGACTTCGACGACGCCTCTCGAGCAGCTTTCGTCACCAGCTCCTCTATCACATTCGCCACTCGATATCTCTACGTCTTCTGACGCCACTGTAACTACAGCGGCTAGCCACAGTGACAGCAACGATGACTCTACATTCCTAGCCATCATCCAGCAAACCCTCCAAACCCTCCTCCATTCCCGCATCGGGCAGCTCTGCAGCTCCCTCGCCGCCTCCCTACCTCCGTGGATCATAGTCCCCTGCTCCTTCGCGACACTGTACCTGTTATCCCTACGCATCGGGGTCGAAGAGCGGCTCCTAGTCCTGCGGGGGCTAGGGATCCAGACGAGCTCGAGCGGCGAGACCATCTTCTCTCCCCTGAAAACGCGCTTCATCCCGACCGACAAGATCCAGGACGTCCTGATCAACGAAGCCTTCCGCGGCTTCGAGGTTCGGCACATACTAGTCGTGATTGTGGAGGACGAGGAGCATGTCGTCGTCGTATTCCCCAAACTCTTGCCACGCCCGTGCATCTTGGAGAAGGTTTGGAGGGGCGTGAGAGGGTGCTTGTACGAGCAGGAAGGGCACAAGGCGGACGGCAAATTCTAGAAGGATGTGACGTCGCTGCGTGACCCGGGAGAAAGAAATGTTCATTGGAAGTCGACATAGAAAGGCGTTTGGCGTAGAGTTCACTCTTGAAATATGATACCCCCGAAGGTGTTTTGTAGCTTAATTATTCACAAGGCACTAATGAATTATGCTATTTTTACTCCCTATCCAACTGCTTCCTCTAGTGCTACTTCTTCTATCGGCGGCGCGCAGATCTCCGGCGCCGCTTGTGCTCTCTTCTCTGCTATCTTTCTCGAATCCGCTTCTCTCTTCTCCGCCGCGTTGGCATAACCTTTCCTCCTAGCTTCCTTGTCGAAAAACTCTTCCGGCGTCGACAGTCTTGGTTTTTGCAGTAGAGGTTGATACTTGCCTACTGGGCGGTCCTTATCACCACCTTCGAACGTCCTCGTGGTAGCTGGGAGCTGCGTTGTTGCCTTTGGGCATTTGCGGAGGCTGGTATCAGCCTGAGATGATATTATGTTGAACAACTGGCTCGCGAGTAACTCTTCCATCTTTTTCTCGCGCCAATACGTCCACATGATAGTCGCGAGACCCGTCACCCCGTGCTGGCTTGTCGGGGTGTCTTCACCGATGTACACCCAATTTAGAGCGTTCTCCGGCTTGTCAGGCCTAGGAAAGATGCAATCCCACAACACCAACGGTGTTTCCTCCGCAAGTACGTAATTCGGTCTCCTGGGTTCGGCCTCGATGTCCAGAAGCCTGTCTACTACCGATGGATCTTCCAACCCCTGACCCACTAAGAATATCACTGCCGCCATGCACCGTATCTGATGCCACAGGAACGCCGAACCTCGGACGTGTAGATAATATATCTTCGGTAATTTTCCTTGTAGATCGAGTCCCGAGCTTGGGTCAGGCCTAAACTCATCGCCATCTAGAAACGGCAAAGCAGTTCCAGAGTCTTCGACTTCCACTATATCGCTCTCGAACACTTTCCTCTCAAAGTTGATATTTGCTTTGCATGGGTCGATTTTGCAAAAGTTGCGGAAATCATGAGTACCTTCAAATTTCTTAGCTGCCGCCCGCATGGCCTCGATGTCCAGCCAGCCACCCTTTATCTTCGTAGTTTTCGCAATCTGTGGGTTCTCCATACTCTGCGGCGCCGGATAAAACGCGGGTTGCGTGAAGAAGTATCGGTACTGTCTCTCTCGACAATCATGTCTCGCAGAGAAGTCCGCAGGCGTCGTAGGACACCACGCCAGTATTCGAATATCCGGTGGTAGAAGTCTATTCAGCATCTTGCAATATTGCAACTCATCCGCGAAATCATTGAATTCGCGCTGTTCTTCTGCCGACACCTCGTTCCCCTCCTCTCCTCCATCCTCCTGCATAGGCTTCCCCTTCTTTAGCAAAGGTCTATTACTCCTAACCCTAACAACGATGACCTGGCCGAACGCACTCACACCCCTATCCGTGCGCCCACACTTAGAGTACTCCCAGGCATCCCAGTTCACCTCATCCGGCTTCTCGGGGGATATCAGACAGGCCTTGACAAACGCCTTCCAGAGCTCTTCCTCGATCGACGGCAGATTACCGTGCGCCGAAAATTCGAAGCCGCCGTACCGCTTCCCCAAGTACGCCAGCTTGAAAGCGACAAGCCTTGTCGAGTACTTGGATGGATCAATCTTGCGCTCGGCTTTTTTCTTCTGTGGCGGGCTCTCGGGCGGTGCGCCACCTGCGTCAAGACCACTGGCTGCCTCTAGGAGTTGTATGCGTTGTATAAGCGCATCTCTGGTCCATCTCTGATACATGGACCTCTTGCTGTCCATCTCAGCTCCGAGCGTAACAAGTCCTGTGGGAAATCCCCGTCGGGCCGCCCGACGGGAAGAAGCAAAGAGGAATCCTAGCGATGCTGGAAGACGCTGGGTATTGCATCTGCTGCTGAAGAATTTCATTCAATCCCCACTGCCGACTTTATATCCGGGCAGGTTGTTTCAGTCGAAAGCCTGAGGTTGTATATGTTCCTGGAATAACCCAAATAACAGATGAATAAAAGTTGAATGTCAGTAAAAATGGTGCTTATCGATAGCGGCAGTCACTAAAAAGCCGCTGTATGTCGCCCCAATCCAACCTATAGCTGGAGACCAATCCTACATCTCCCTCAGTTCATATCAAGTCTACTTTGATTATAAAACGACTTAGTTTAATGAACAACGATATTCTTTGATGGATGATGTGACAGTCAGAGTCCTCCTACTTGGGGATGACAAAGTAGGAAAAACAACATTTTTATCGTGTGTGAATTTCACTACTTTGTCTGCGGAGAATACCATTTTACTGATGACCAGCTTAGACGAATTAGTCGTGGCAGCAGTGGCCTTGAGGGCCATAATGATATCACACTCTTACGAGACGTAGACCAGCCTTTCATTTTCGAAATCCGGAACCGCCGGCGCACGTATCGTCTTGAATTCTACGATACATCCAGTCCTGAAGATTGGCGACTGCTCGAGCCAGACTTGATCTTAATTTGCTATGATATCAGCCAGAGACTGAGCCTCATCAACATGCAAAGATTTGTGAGCATAACTAATCCCGTCATAACTCTTCTGTCTCTAATATGGCTACCCCTTTAGTGGATCAAGCAAGTCCACAGCAACTTCCAAACAAGTGACAATCTCCCAATCATAGTCGTCGGCCTGAAGAGAGATCTGAGGTCTGAAACTGATCCCAACGGTATTATATACCCTCAAGAAGGGTACAAAGTGTCGCAAGAGATGAGGGTAGATAAATACGTCGAGTGTTCGGCCGTCACGGGTGAGCTTCTTAAGCTTGCCTTCGAAGAGATCTGTAATACTGCAGCGAAGACAGTGACTGCTGAGGGCGGACAAAGTGAAGGTGGATGTGTAGTACTGTAAATAACAGTTCGAATTAATGGCATCCTCCAATTATTTTCGGCCTTGAACAAGGATAATGAGGACTGCCATGTCGCATACGACCGTTTGTGATACCGTAGACACCTTAGACGATATAGGTGGGTTCTCCGGGCCCTTTGACGACCTCTAAAACCCTAACGAAATGTGTTCCAAGACCATTTGTCTGCCCGAGAGTGGCACATCCTGATCTTAGGATGCTTGGTATCTCACATTGGGTTTGTTGTATTTTCATGTTTATCCCTATCCATTATACCAAATAATAACTTATTCGGTCGTTTCAAAGCAGAATCCAGCAGATTCGGTTGGTGACTTCGTCGCTATTGGCGCTAAGTGGTCTGCATAACGGCATCCGATTCTGGCTCCTCAGGAAACTGGCCAAGAATTTCAACGACAATATCGAGAATTTCTTGTTGTTGGTCGGCATTGAAGCGGTCTTCCATGTTCTCAATGATCACATTGAGGACTGCGATGTTGGTGGGGCGAATGTTCAAGATCATGATGCATTCGCCCTTAGAGATCTCATATGGGCTTAATCTTTTTATGACCTTGGGGATTGCCGTTGTGTCATAGGGTAGAGGCTTCTGGCTCAAAGGAGCTGGCGAAGACTCGAAATACTGAAGAACCTATACTATTTATTAGAGATGTGTTGACATAGATTGCCGATATATGGTGTTATAATGAATCTTACCTCCTTGCGAATTGTCTCCAGGTTTGCTGGTCCCTTGCGCTTTTGATCATGGTACTGCTTTGCTTGGTTGGTCAGAAAAGTGTAGACCTCAACGTTCGTCAGCACGGCCTCCTGGGTATTTAAGATCTTCATTGTGAATGCCCCAAACTGTAATAATCCGATGTGAGAGATTTGAAATTTTGATGGCAAACTAGAAATGATCGGATGAAAGGTGAATTTTGAGAAGAGTCGAAGGGCTTGTCAACCAAATTTTTATAGTCAGGTACTATAGGTTATGATATGCAATTGATGTACAAGGCATCCATGATTACACAGTATAAAAATTAGGTTAGCATCGATGTGGGGGTTCCAGATCGTGGGAAAGCACCAAAATACCATACCCCACCAGCCCACCAGCCCATCTGTACCTAGCACGCAGGATGAACTTAAAATCTCTCACTACTAAGGTATAAACCGTACTTTAGTACGCAAATCATGATTCTAATTCAGCTTCTACACACCAGAGTATGCTACTTGGACAAGTGTGCTTCATAGTAGTCAATTATATTCATTGGCCACTTCCTTGATCATTGTGCCTCGATTGTCCCGCTTTTTCAAAACTACTAGTCCAAGACTCAAGCTCAGTTTTTACTTCCTTCTCCCTATCCCTCGGCGTTGCTGGTTTCTGGTTGCTAATTACTCTCTCGATCGTGGACGCTGGTGGTTGTCGTAGATATTCTTCCAGGCCATATGAAGGATATGTAGTTTTAGGCGTTCTATCAAAGCATAGTTAGTGTCTAGAACAGCTGAATTATAAATCCATCAATTTTGATTCTCGTATAAGCTAAGGCTTGCTTACCTGCCACCACTAGACACCATAACTGAGAACTTGGATCTCATTGACATCGGATATGATCGTGTAGAGTATCAAGATCTTGGTCATCAATATCGTTCAGCCAAGCCGCATCCTATCATCCTTCACCGCTCTTCGATTATATACTGTTAGAAAATTCGTCATATTTCTAGCGGAAGCACAATAATTGTACGTTTGACGGTTAGCTGGATGACTAGATTGATGTGGGAGTCAATCATAATGATTGAAACATAAGACTTGGCACAATGGTGGTTTGAACAAGCGAGATGTATTCTTGATACCAGCGTCGCGTTTGCAAATGTTAAAATATCGTAGCTCACTTGTTTCAAATATAACCGACCTTAAACCACAAATGCGCTCTCTCATTGAGACATAAATTAGAGCAGCAATAAGCTACTTTGGATGATAACTTACCCGTCAAGGTAGCTAGGCTTACCAAGAACACCATTGTGCTCTCAAAAAACACCAACCCATGATGATATCTACAAAGCCAAGGAAAATAACAACCGTGTTTGGACATGAGATATAAGATTTTAGAGAAGTCAGTGGAATTGCTTAATAGCTGGACGCAAAGTGTTTGCAGTAATAGATCAAGCACGCCAAGGCGAAAATTCTCTAGAGGGACATTCTTGTCCGGGTTTATATGAAAAATCCACAAACAGCTGTTAGTCACGACCATACGGTTTCTAGTAGTCGATCGACCTTCCATTGACTCATTATAGGCCCGCCCGGAGCCTCTGTAACTGACTCATTATTCCATAAAGTGGTTTGCTCTCCATGCCTCCTGCATCTGGGCTAGTAGCAGCTTTTCTGGAATGACTATCCAAGTCTGCCTTTCCATCACGTCGTCCGTTTTGTTCCACTTCACGCAACAATTCTTTATGTCTATCCTCGACCATTTTGGCAAGGCTATCGATAAACTTCGTCCTTCCTTTCTCTTCTGCTGTTCCTTTCCACACTTTCGTTAACTCCTTAAGCTCCTCTATGCGATGCGCCGCCTTTTCAATCCCCTCAACAGGATCAGCACTCTTCGTGAGAAAAGCAGATATATCTTCTTTGAGCTGCTTGAGCACTTGCTGCCCCTTTTCTTCTGTACTATGCGCTTCCTTTCCAGGCTCCGGCGCAGAAACGGACAGAAAAGAAGAACTGACAGAAAGCTCCGAAGGCGGAAACACAAATTCCATAGCTTCACCAAACGTCTTAACGACAGTATCCAGCCGCGAACGTACTAATGTCAAGGTTTGAAGTTGACTTATGTACGGCGGTTCTTGGTTGTTGCCATCCGACAGAATAGGCTCCAGATTTGTGGGAGCTATAGCTTCGGACGCACGTCTGGAGCTAGCTTGATTGGCCCCGTTCGCTTTGGAAGCTTGCTGTTCTTGTATGCCATTCGGGATGAATTTTGCAATATCTTCATGTAGACCCTCTGACAACGCCTCCGATAGACTTAATGTCTCGCCCCGTAGGAGTTCGACCTCATAAGCCAATCGACTTCCGCTTCGTAGGATATCGTCGGTCAATTGCGTCAATGTGTTCGTTAACCTCGTCGTGTGGGCATTCAACTGGGATAATTGTGTCTGAGCATGAGTAGATAGCTCTGCTAAAGGAACCGCGCCGTCGGTCGAACGCGATGATGTTTGGAGTGGCGGGAGCGAGGCATTGAGGTATTCAGCAGCGTTGAACGATGGGGAGAGGAAGCTTTCGAGAGAAGGGTCAGTAACATGATGGGACCTGGGTTGTGTTGGTTGCTTCGATAGCTGTCGTGTGTGATGCGGCAGTGCTTTAGAAGAGCTGAGAGAGCTGTTCTGACGGCGCCTCGTGACAGATTTAGAATCCCAGGACATTATTAGTCCTATTTAGTTTTCAATAGAGCAGTGAAATCTATAAAGGGCGTTACGTATATGGATAGGCAGGAGAGGTACATCTAATGAATGTTGCAGCTACTAGGTATTTCGTAATGATGCTCACTATCGATAGTTGTTTGTTTGCGCCGGGGTGGAAATTTTAGCGTACCTAGGTACATAGGTACCTACCTTTCATATACCGTAGTACCCCGCCCTAAAAGGTCCAAATCCCCTGATTCCTCGCTACGTACCTGATTATCCGCTGGATCCACATATCCCGTCCTGCCGGGTTCTCCAAGGTTTGCTAATCCCCGTCCATTCTTCACGGTTAGCCACATACTAATAACCGCTTTCTCAACGACGTCACCTCTTTCCATTTGAAATAGCACGTAGCACACTAAATATACCTTAATACGGCCAGTATTATTCATGTCCACCAAAACGAACAATCTATAAGATCACAGTTATACCTAGATACTCGATTTATCAGGTATCTAAGAACCAGGGACTCAATAAACAGCTCACAATGGCTGATAAGGGTTTGAACTGCTCGGGTGTTTGTGCTTGCACCTATATAAACGTGCCTAACTTTAAATTTCATGCTTTGGTACGACATACCAGGTACACAAGTATGTACCTGCGTTTTGCGAGACGAGGGAACCCGGTATTGTCCAGCACCTCAGGTACGTGCACCTGATTAGGCAGCCTATAGGGCTGAAGTACAAAATTAGGTTTGCAACTACTAAGCCGCAGCCTCGCGACACATGTTGCGCCTTCCTCACCTACATGCACTGGGCACTATGTGTCAACCTAGAGCTGCCCGGACCAGCTATGGGAAGGTGGCACAGGTGCCTATGCATACCTACTTACCTACCTGGGTGCTATTCGGCGGTCGTTTTTGATATTTTACTTCATTCGTCCCAATTTGACCAACACGCCGACTTCATATTGATAGGCAGGCATCCGTCAAAATCAGGCAAGACTCATCAGGTATTGTGATTTCTCAGTATTAACCAACGCCCCGCATGTTCCCTGGCAACCACATTCATGAATGTGTTGCGGTTGAGGTCAAGTCAAGTTCACTGCCTCGATCAGGAGACACATAAGTATTCGTCTGCTTTCCACAAGGTAAATACAAGGCACCTTGGTAGATCGTATTCTGCCTGAGGATTTCATACGATATTTGAAACCATACTTATTTTTCACTTCTCGGTTTCCTCCTTCCCACCAACTCATTCCAGTTTCTACATGACCCGTCAGATTGCAGTTGTCACTTCCATTAAATCAAGGAAGGTAAGCTCATTTTCCCTTTCCATTTTTATCTGGATGTCACGAAGACAAAACAGTCTACGCGCTATCGTCTCATGTATTTGATTCACACCATCTACCAAATATTCACCGTACCCTGTAGTATTCATCTCTATTACTGATTCCAGACTGACCGATTACATAGAATACCTACTAGCAAGAGAATTTTCATGCAGAGGCTACTTTTTATTCGACGTATTTGACATCCTTCCCCCTTCTTTCTATCCGTTAAAAGGAAGATCATCATGGCACCGTCAAAGGCAATGCTGCGCTTTCGAGCAGACTTGAAATTGGCGACTGAAAAAGATTACATTAACATCACCAATGTTCGTAAAGGCGAGGCTGAAGACGAAATCACATTTGTGTTCAGTCATCCCGGCCTGCCTCATCCTTCTCAATTTGAGGTGATTGCTCAGCCACAAGGTTAGTGTTATCATTTTACTGGCCTACACCGATGCTGGTTGCTCTCCTCTCTATAGCATATGCAGTTTCTAGCGAGCTAACAATACGGCTATCCAGACGTACGGAGCTACCCAAACGACAACAGTTTTCTTGTTTATACCAACGACGACATATCGCCGGAAGTCGCACATGTCTTAGAGGAGTCCATGTTTGAGACAATGGGCATGAAAGTTGACAACATGCTCACTGATCTCTCACGAAGACTTCGAGCTGCTTTAGAGATCAACGAGCCTGGCGACGCAGGTGATGTTACAATGACTGATGCAGGTGCAGACGAAGACACTTCTGATCTCGACATGGAAGACGCATATAGCGATAGCGAGGAGGACATATCATTTGAGTACAACGACGACGGTTATGGCAGTGGTAGCAACATTGAACTAGGATCGATACTCGCGGACCGGGCTATTCCTGGATCCTCAACATCAACAACGCTGTCGCTTCCAGCCTTAAAACGATTCCGACGAGATCTTCGATCGGTGCTTTGCGCAGGGTTCCATACAGGAATAGTACATGGGCTTAGAGATGGTGAACCTAACGGCATTGTCTCTATTTCTATTCGAGTGAACAAACTTTGCCTCCCTAAAGAGACACGCGAAGCATGGGGTCTTGTGCCGTCGGAATACATTGTCCTACTTATCAAATACGACGGGTTTTACAGCGACTTTGAGAACGCTATTGACAGACCAGTTGAGCTCAATCAAATGAGTTTTCGCTTGCGAAAGTGCTCGAAGCAAAAGCCATCGTCTCAGCAGGCTAGCATGGCTTTCAAATCTGGAGCAGTCGTTGCACCTACTAGCGAGGAAGAAACAGAACCACATGAATTATCAAACCTCTGGATTAGCAAGTCGATGGACGATTTCATGAACAGCGAATTTATATCGGTATTGAAAATAAGGTACCTAAACAACATCTCCTGGGAGAAAGCGAAGGAGAAATTGCGGTCTCAAATAATCCAATCGGTTGACGAACTCGAAGGCACCCAAAACGTGGGCAACGAAGGAGAACCTACCCAATTGCCACATCTTCTTGCTGACGATCACTTCTCGAGTACGGGGGAGCGTTCCTTACCACTGATTGCTATGCAATTCGCCTTGCGTTACCTAGTCAGATGCACCGATTATTGTACAGTCTGTCATCGAAAGGTGAAGGGCAATTTCGCTGCCCTGATGCCATATGTCTGCAGCTCACCCCTCTGCCTCCACCAGTATATAAATCTAGGCTTTGGTCCAAGTATAGACCACCAGATCATAAACCATCCTGATGTTATTGATCTCTTGATTAGCTTCTCCTACGCCGCCCTGAGTCTGACAGTTAAGGCGCAGAACACGGTAGGCATGCGGCACTTTCCCACAGGACTTGGCTTACGAGTACCGAGAATCCGGACGAGTTCACCCTTAAGTGCTGTGGGTATAGATCGGCTACACGAACCCTACCTTATGGATCCTATTGACATATCCTTCAACTTGAGAGAGTCTGTCGCAACAATAACTAGAGATGACAGGAAAGATATTGTGGGAGTAGGCCAATGGGTTATTGTCTCAACACAAGTCAGGAGGCCTACCACCATAACGAGCGAACCGGTTACCATGCTACATCATGCTCGTGTCGAGGCAATATCCGACAAAGATATGCTGTTAAACGTTGTATCGCGACATTCAATGCCTGACCTGTACAACAATTTATACCCTTTCCCAGATGAGGCGTACCAGGAGCGCAACCAGCCTGATGTTGTCTCGGGCCATCTCGTGTCATGCGACTACGAGTTTGACGATCTTGATGAAGTACTCGAAAAGGCATTCTCTATGGTTATTCTACTCGCGAGTATGCCACCAGTTGCGGACATGAGATCTTACTTGATGAGTAGTCGACAGCCATTAGCCAAATGGGGCCGGATGTCACCAGCGAGTGTGGATCTACTAAGGTGGATCATAACTTCAAACCGGTCGCATATCGTAAAAGTTGACGATGGACTTATGGACAGCAAGCTCACTCGACATCCTGAGCGGATTAATGGCGTTGACGGCTGGATCCAGTTTAGATTCACCCAGGGATCTCCGGAGAAGGAGAACCTCTTTTACCAGGCTCTGGAGCAAGTCAGGGGTCCGCAAAAGACTCTGCTCGCCTGGCATGGAAGTAAACTCGAAAATTGGCACAGCATTATTCGCGAAGGCTTAGACTATAACAACGTCGTAAATGGTCGTTCCTATGGCAACGGGATCTACTTTGCTAGAGATTTTAATACGAGCTACGGCTACGCGGCAAGCAGCGGCGTCGAGGTTAGTATAGGGCTCCCTAGTTGATGGTACTGGAATGCTATATTAACGTACTTCTTAGAGAATGATATGGCCCCAATCCCGGTTAAGGGTACAAGGTGTCATTAGCTTAAACGAACTTGTTAATATGCCCCACGATTTCCAAAGTACCGTACCATACTTCGTAGTGCAACATTGCCACTGGACTCAGTGCAGGTATCTGTTCGTCAAACCCACAGACAAAGTCTGGGGGGTGGACAATACCAAGCTTATATTTGCCGACAACAACACCACCCAATCTGACGGCGCTGGTGAACCGCAACATGAAAAGATCGAAGAATTTGAGCAAGACCGGCAATGGATGGCGACAGGACCGAATGGAGCTCTGCTGTTCATCCCCAAAAATGCGATCCCCTCTGCGCGCAAAACTGGAAAAGGATTACTTGAAGCGGAGGTAAAAGAATCCGAACTGGATAGTAGCGACGAAGACGAATACGACAGCGAGTTCATCTGGCACGAAGAAAAAGTGGCACAAACGAGCCTAATATCCGACACCGACTTCCGCCCTGGGACGCTCGATTTCTCTTCCTTGCCACAGCTAGCTCCTCCATCATACGCAACCAATATCGCTCAAAAAGCTCTCGGACAAGAGATCAAGAAGCTAGAAAAAATCCAGTCTTCAACGCCTCTTCATTTACTTGGGTGGTATATCGATTTCGAGAGGCTTAACAACCTGTTTCAGTGGATAGTTGAGCTCCATTCGTTTGACTCTAAACTGCCACTCGCGAAAGATATGAAGAAGGCCGGCTTGACCAGTATTGTCATAGAGATACGGTTCCTGCGTGGATTCCCAATGTCACCGCCATTTGTGCGAGTGATTTGTCCTCGGTTTCTCCCTTTTATGAGCGGCGGAGGCGGTCATGTCACATCGGGTGGAGCCTTGTGCATGGAACTTCTAACAAATTCAGGTTGGTCACCGGCCAACAGTTTGGAGAGCGTTCTACTACAAGTTCGAATGGCGATTTGCAGCGAGGAACCTCGGCCGGCACGCCTACAGAGTACAGGACGACAACAGGGGCAATATGGTGTAATGGAGGCAGTTGAGGCATACAAACGAGCCGCCGCAACCCATGGGTGGGAGGTTCCCGCTGATTTAGCTGACGCGTCACTGTCTGATTAGGTAGTTACCAACCAAGTTATCAGCCAAAAGTCAGTACCTATCAAACTAACACCCCAGCTGTACTTTACGATCTTGATCCTCTTCGAGAACAGGAGATGCATCATGTGAGTAGCCCTATGCCATTCAAAGATCGATCTTCTATCTTCGATGGGTTATTACACATGGAGGGGGGGTTAGATAGCTGTTACAGATGCGTGTGATTTCATTGCGAATCGCACTGCGTGTAGATATAATAATGAATTGAACGCACCGAGTTTTATCATGATTAATATTGAATCACTTTAGTATGTCATAGCGCTATAGGCCAAGGTCTCAAGAGACAATGCACTTAAGACATACGCTTTGACTCTGGCTGGTTGCCGGTCAGCCGCAGGGATACGCCTTCAAGAAATATCCTCTATCCCTTCCATTGTTCCTTTCCAATCTGCTGCTCTGACATTGGAAGAAACAATAATAATTCGCACTTAGATCTTGCCTCACTACTAAAGCGAGCTTGAAATATCATACAAGCTCTACTTTGTCGTTTGGTCTCGGTGCTAGATCCTATCTGTTATCTTAATGTCTCACCTATCCCAGACTTTGCTGCCTAAGTTTGTCGACGGCGATGAATACCGACGTAAATCCTTATGGCATAGCATATTCTTACGACAAGCAATAATCTTGATACTGATGGTGTTCTCACTGGCCAGCTTTCTTGCCATACATCGTTGGAAGGTGAGCGATACCAAGGTCCCTCTATTTCTCGGCGTGTTCGTTAAGAGAGGCTGATAATAACTCGACTAGTTACTCGAATATAAACTGCAGTACGTCATAATGCCGTCGAACATATTCACGGGTCTGGAACAACAGGATGGGGCCAGTTCTGTAATGCAATCGGTTTCAGCGGATTTGTCTGGAATCATGGAGAGCAACTTGTTCAGTAACTAGAGATGGAATCGACACGAATTTCAAGGCCCATGTCCTCAGCGTCTATATGCAAGAGAAACATGTCAATAGAGCCTAAGAGAGCTCTCCAGGGAAGGTTGTTATGTATCTTGTAGGATGGTACGGAGGACTGATGTTGGGGACCGGCGTTCCGCGGGGAAATGGGATCAAAGATATTACATCGACCAGGTGAGAGTCGATTGTATACGGAAAATCCAATATGATACCAAATGAATAGACCAAACTTGGATTGAACCTCTTCAAAGCCCTGTTCCAATCGGAGAACCCACACGTCAGAAGTTAATTTGCATATTAGTGATGAGACGTAGTTGTTAGAAAGGGAATGGTTCCAACATGCACATGTGCATCCAAGGCAATCAGGTAACCTCGTACCTAAGTGGGGGTGGGTCTGCCCTCCGTCCCTGCAGAGGCTCCCTGCCCAGCCCTGCACGGGGAAGATGGAGTGGAAAGTGCGTCCCGCACTGGGCGGGGTATACATAGTACACGATCCTGCTCAAGGCTTTTCTCAATCTCTACAATACAACACTTTGTTGGTACTGAGCAGGTAGGTATCTAGATACATATCCGTACCACGACCCCCTATAAGATAGATCCGGGGACGTCACCAATTCATAATTTGGTGACGTCCCCGGACCTATCATCCTTCCAACCCTCAAGCCAAAGCAAACCGTCTCTCCCCGCCCCCCTTAAAAAACGCCCGAGCACAGGATGACGAGTCAGCCCACCGCGGCAGACGCACCAGGCAAGGGCGGCCCCGCAACCCCAGCAGACGACCCCTCCAACGTCGCCCGTCTGCTGTCGTTCTGGTTCGACCACGACCATCCCGAGGGGCTGGCGAAATGGTTCAAGCCGTCGCCCGCCGCGGACGCCGAGTGTGAGCCGTGGATACCGCTCGTAGAGGCGGCGCGAGCAGGGGCGCTCGACGCGTGGGCGCGGACGCCGGACGGGACGCTGGCGCTGCTGCTGTTGCTGGACCAGGTGCCGCGGAACGTGTACAGGGGGACGTCGGCGGCGTACGCGTCGGAGGGCGCGGCGTTCGACCGCCAGATGTTCTTCTACCTGCCGCTCATGCATGCCGCCGAGGCCATGCTCGCGTAGGTCGGCTGCCTCGGCCTGTACCAGGGCTTGGCAGCGCGAGCCGAGCCGGGATCCGCTGTGCGCGAGATGCTCGACGGCGTCCTCGGCATGTGCCAGGTCCACGTCGACATCGTCCGCCGCTTCCCGGGCCGTAATGCGGCGCTCGGGCGCGAGAGCACCGGTGAGGAACTAGTGTTCTTGCGGCCGACGGGTTTTTATGGTGAGTTTTCAATGACATACTAAAACGGCGATGGAGAGCCAATCATCGGTGTCGAATCTCATCCGGCAGCTGAGCCGTGAAGCAAGGCGGAGTCAATAGTGAGACCAATGAAAGATGATACGGCAGCAATTACACTCTGACCTTTATTCTCATAGGAAGTAGCCTCCTACTCAGGTGTCAAAGGCGTAGGTCCCGCTGACATGGTCATGGAGTTTTTCAGAAGGAAAAGGGGGACGGGGCTATCACTTGGCGGGAGGCCCCCTTACTGCATAGATGACAGAGAACTCGCTTAAGTAGAGAATAATATTCCATAACGTAGAGCAGCTGCTCAAGGCCGAGCATTCAGAGTTTCACGTTAAATATGATTAAATGACATAAGCAGACTGTTGGAGAAATGGCGAGCATAGCAGTGTTTGAAAGATAGGGTTACCGTGTAGCGCCTGTTGGTAGTTATAGGTAAATCTACATACTAACAACTGTAACCTATTTATATTCCCCCTTCCAACGAGCCAATGACCTCGAAGCTGACATTCCCTTCACAGCTGGTACGCTAAGCGGTCGTCAGGCTGGTCCTGACCTAGATGTCGATTTTAAAGGTGAAGCTGGGTATATTAGAATTTGGCGGCGACGTTAACTTCTTTTAAGGGGCCAACGGCGCCTCCCTTTTTCCCTTCCCTTTCCTTTTGTTATTATTTTTATTTTTTGGACTCTAAACATACTACTTACAAACTGCTTCCTTCCCTTCCTCTGCCTACATTGCAATTATAGTGCGATCATGACTACAAAGCCGTCAGATGCCTTATGGGTCGATGGGCCCTTTCCTCTAGTTCCAACCCCAGTGAAGCGGCCAGGCCTGAAAGTGCGTCTTACCAAGCCTGACGGTGTCACTCAGGAGTTTACAGGCTGACTGATGCTGTTCAGAACCCCGATCACTTCTACATTGAAGCCGCCACCGACATGGCACAAGCTCACAACGTCATAATTCGGGGACTGAACGCCATTATTCTACAAGCGCCAAATGTGCCCAACTCGAGTGAAGAAGGCTACAAACCGAAAGACGTGAAAGACCTCCTCTCATTTGTCCAGTCGTGGACCAAGATGGTGCATCACCATCACGACGTCGAAGAAACGTATATATTCCCGGAGATGGCCAAGTTTAGCGGAGACCCTGAGCTTATGGAGGGCCCGTGGCATGAACATCGTCTATTCCAAGGCGGTTTGGAAAAACTCTTGGCTTATGCGACAGCTACGCAACCTGATGAGTATCGATGGGTTGGCGGCATGAAAGAGATCATCGATTCGTTCAGCAAGCATCTTACCGACCACCTCTATGCCGAAATCGACGTCTTGCTTAGTTTCGGGCACTTTGACAGCGAGGGATACAGGAAGCTTTGGATTGGAACCCACGCTGTGGCCAGTTCAGCGGGTAACCTCCGCCAGAAGCTCAATATGCTGGTATAGAAGCTCACGTCATCAAAATTGTTAAGTTCTAGCTGACAAATCCTAGTCTGACGTCTTCCCTTGCGTCTATGGATGTAACGACAAGACTTACGAGGGCGGGCACTCCTGGCCTGAACTACCTTGGATAATGCCCTACCTCATCAAGTACTGGTTTGCTATCGGTAATGGAGCTTGGAGGTTTTGTCCGTCTGATTGGTGGTGTAACCCTAGGCCGTTGACATTCGCGCCGCGGGCAAAGGGGCAGAATGGGAGGGCGGATAGGGCATAGGGAATATATTAGAAACCCCCAGTAGCCGGCCTTGATTCTTGAACTCATGCTGGTTTCCGCCGTGGACCGTCATCGTATTATGGGTTTGAGGCAAATTGTTACAAGATATAGCTAGTATAACACGCTTTATACGGGATTCAAGGGTAATGATTATGTTTTTCTCAGCACGAATAAACTCACACTGGCGTTTTAATGAAAATTATATTATCATGGGCTATCTAAGCATACCTATTTTTGTTAAACGGCGTTGAGTTCTTAAGGGTCATTACGTCTACATATTTCTGTAAAGAAAAAAGAAGTAGGTAGCTACCTAGTGTATACAAAATAGCACAGACTGTAGCTTCGTCTCGACTGGAGATGACAATGCAAGGGATCAAACCATTCCTCCATGTTGGTGCTATTTCCGCATGATACATACGTACCTATATCTTTGCAAGGAAAATTGTGATATTACCATAAACCGTTGCTACCTTTGGTATCTTCCGCCATAGACTGGCTGTATGATGATAATGAACGTTAGAATAGTTAAGGGATCTAACAAAACTGATACTATATGCCTAGCATAAGAATACCGCAGAACAAATCGATGGGGGGGCCTCAACTGGCCGGTATAACCTAAATTGCGAGCGAGCTGATATATAACGGCTCACGATTTGTTATTGGAACATCGTAGTCGGCGAGTAGGATGTACGTAGTTGAAGAAGTCAACGGGATCCTGATCGGTGCGGTATTATCTTCTCCCGTCAATTAAGCCCCTTAAACAAGCCACACCATGCTGAACTTCGAAACTTTCATAACTTTATGGCTTAGTCACGTGGCAATTGCAGTGGCTGAGCCTGTAAATATCATAAGCAGGGGTATTATACACGCTATACCCGATTAGCCGGCTACCCCACAGCTATGCAATAGGTAGGTACGTACCTGAACCTAGTAACCTTGGGAGTGGTACAGATCTGTAAGTGAAATCAGCTTGCGACTTTCACCTTCATTTTCAAACTTCATCGCACCAATTCTTTACTTGACAACTTCACACAATCCGTACACTGATGGGTTTTACTTGACACTCCCCGAATTTCTTTATGAAGAAACCCAAATTTCCCTTCCAACCTTTTTTTTTCAACCTCTTACTTTTACATGCTTGTCACTAACCAAGCAAATCCTGATCTTTGAAAGGACTTTATTCCTACGTACTTTATTTTCCAACTTCTCTCCAACTACCATTGATCCGAACTTCTTTTCTACCTTACCTCTAAACTTTTCCTCTGACTACCCTATCTCGTTCTCTCTCTCTCTTTTTAAATTTACTTCCAACTTTACCGCCACTATCCAATCCACAACCCAAACTTACTTTCCACTTCCTGTGTCAAATTTCTGTATATGAAATTCGCATTTGAAGTATCAAATTGTTCGAGACCCAAATATCGAACATCATAAATTCCCACTTACTAGAACACGACCTTGATTCATTACCTTCTCACTCTACCTTAACCTTTTACCGTAACCTCTTTACTATGGCCGCTCCCGATCCCGCCCAGTCGTTAGCTTTGGCGACGACTACTAACAAAACCACCCGCCTCTCTCCTCCACCCCAGTCGAAGCGCGATAAGAAGCGACAGAACTTAAATGATCGTTTAGCGGTTCTGCAAGACAAATTCGGTCGCGACAAGGATAAACATTATAGGGATGAGCTCCATAAGGTCCAGATCGATGTCAACCTCGTCGGCCGAGTCGACCCTTATGCCGACCGTCCTCTAGACGTGATCGATCGCGAGTATAGAGACATTCAACAATCCGCAAATGCGCAACTGAATGCGAGCGCCAGCAGCAATGGGAGTCCTAAGCGGAGCCTCCTTGAGATGGCAGGCCCTACATTCTCCGAATGGGTTCATCAGGTAGAGGACCTAGTTGAGCATCGCGACTACGAGATGACCTGTCAGAAGGTACGGTTTTCCCCTCTTCTCTTGTATATACCCTTAAGAAAGCTTTATGAGTACTGACTCGACCTTTATAGCTGGAGTATGAGAGGAAGACTAGTGAATACGAGAAGGTTCGCGCTTATAAGCTCGAACTAGCCAAGCGAGAGCACAATACCCTATCGAGCACTCTCCGAGATCGCCTTATTAATGCTATTTCGGCGAAGAAGTTCCGATTGGGCAAAGAGAAAGAAGCCTTGGACATCTCTGACAGCTCGGCGCTTTTACTACACCCCAACCAATTCAGCCTTACCAACCCCGCGAGCCCTGGCGGAACGCACGGCAAGCGGAACACCCGACTACGAAGAGAGATGGAGGAAATGCCAGGCTTCTCCGAGAACAAGAAGAGAAAGAGGAACGGAGCAGATGACGAAGGATCACCTGCCCCCAAGAGAGGAGCTCTAGACAGCTCTAATACCACGCCTTTCTGGTCGAGCGAGAGACTCCGAAGCGGCGCCTTACGCAAGGAGGCAGGCCCCATCTACAGCGTCGACAAGCTCTTTACCGATAAAGAGCTGGTCATGACCTACAACGTCTCTGCACTAGCGGCTCACAAGCATCTCTTGGTCCGCCGTGACACAAACGGCAACATCATCACTCCCGATGAGAATAGCTCTGGTAATGGGGATGTCAATGACGAGGAGGACCCAACTGCGGTCACTATGGAACGACAACCGTCGCATACTACACGAAGCACTCGAGGCGGCCACGGCCAGCAAAACTTCCATGATGACCAGCTAGTCGGAATAGAGGCTTTGGTAAATTTCGAGATCCCGGGTAATCTCGACAAGATGGTTACATTAGAACCTAAGCTACCCCCGATGACCCAGGCTCAATACTCCAAGGCATACAGACGTGATGAGTCTAACACACCTCAGAGTCTGTGTGACGCGGATCGAGACAGGGACTTGACAGCGATGAAATTGCTTCGAGCGTATCAGAACAAGCATGGTGTGGGTTCTAACCTCAACGCTAACAGCGGAGGTCGCCGATTGCTTGAAGCTATGACGGCTCCGTTACCCAGTTCGAAGTATTTCGCTTATCTTCAGGGACAACGAGCTTCCGCTGAGGAGTTGTCGGAATCTTTAGGCATACAAGAGAGTGATTTGAGAGGCAACGGCCCAGGCACCGGGTCGGACGCCGCGGGAAACACGGCAGGAGCCAAGGATCCTGCCACGGATATACCGATGAGTAGACAGAGCAGCCTCGGCGGTGTTACGATGAGTCGTTCGGGAAGCGCTCGTGGTAAACGAAAGGCATGATCTGGACATTATCTGGTGTTTAGGGGTGGTTTAAGGGATGCATTCTAAAGCGAAGGATGGTGCAAGTGCCACAAAACAAAGTGGCCGGACGCATCAATTTTGCGCGAGGTATTTGGTTTATTTGATTTTTTTATGGATGTGCTCATAGCACTTAGCGGATTTTGACATGGTATAATGCCGTACTAGCAAGCGTTGGGGGTCATCGATTTTGCATTTTATGGTCGCTCAGATATCCAGGACAGTGGTATCGACAGGTATATCAAACAATGATACAATTACTAAATATTCATTCTGTTCGTAAGAAAGCATAAGCTATAACGTGACGCGTCTAGGATATTATTTCATCTTTATCATCCGCCTTCACGGCCCGAAAACTAGAGCCCGGACTTCGATGCTCTCCCTCCCCTCGGCATCCGGCCTCGACCTAGGGTCCTCAAACGCGGTGTGAGGTACCCGTCCGCCAGCCACACCGGTCCCCTCCTTCGCACCCTCGCTGTCGTAGCACTCGAGCAGCAGGCGCTCGTCGCCCGTCATCCCGCTTAGATAGTACCACCTCTGGTCCGGGTTATACGCGATGGCGGCGGTCTGGCCGACGTAGCCCTCCGGGTACCTGTGCTCGACGGGGACGACGTCCTTGTCGTCGAGCGAGGCACTCGAGGCGAAGGCCAGGGGCATGGATTCGACGGGGGTTTTGTTTAGCGTGCGCCACACGTTGACGATGCGGTAGCGCCCGCGCAGAAGGGCGTCGGCGTCGACACCCATATGTCGGTGTACGCGCTTCGCGGCCGAGAAGGCCGTCTGGTCGATGTGCACGTTCTGCACGGCCTTGCGGCGCGCGCCCGCGTCCGCGCGCCGGATCGTGTGGTCGAAGATGTAGATTTGGTTGCTCCCCGGGATCGCGGAGAGCAGTAGCTGCTCTACCTCCGGGTAGTAGTGTGCCGCGATGGACGCGTCGTCGCGGAAGTTCGAGGCGGAAGGCGCGGTCTCTTCGGCGGAGGGCGCGACGTTGCGGATTACTTGGAAGGCGTCCCGGTCGAGACTGAAGTCTGCTTCGTGACCCCGGATGTCGGTGATGTTGACCGAGCGCGGGTCCGGGACTAGGTTTCGCTGCGGCTGGCCTGCGGGCGGCGTGTCTACGTAGTTGAAGGCTGTGACGCCGGGTGGGGGTGGGTGTGAGAAGTTGAGCTTGGCGGTTACCGGGCCCCGGGGAACGGGGGAGGCGGATTGGGTTATGGCCATTGTGGGGAGTATGAATAGGGGTAGGGGGTTACACGCTATGTAACTGGAAGTATGATACGGAAGAGATCGAAATAGGAAATAGGTGGTGTTGAGATATTCTCAGTAAACTTAACTATATCGGACTATGAGGAAGCTTGGTGCTTGATGATGATATCAACACTTCGACATCGACTTCGACGTCGAAGTAGTTACACTTATATAGACATCATGGCTCTACATTTCTCCTACCGCGCCCGCGCCTCTTTGTAAGTTGTATTTCAAATCAAACCGAGCTTAGACACAGACTCCAAATCACGTCATTCTTGGTCGAACGAGGTTGGATTAGTAGGTTTGGTATTAGTAGGACCGGATACTTCGACGATTGGACTCCACGGTTCTGTCTGCATGCGCTATGTAAGCAGCGGGTAGACTTTGGGGAATTTCTCCCGAACTTTATGCGATGACATGTCGTCTTTAAGGCGTAGAATGCGACTCAACGTGACTTGAGATTGACTTCGTCGAGGGCAAGTTGGGGTTGATGGTCTACATGCCTTTGATATCGGGAATGTATCGGGAGTAATGACGTAGTATGAAGTCAATTCTCCAATAGCTGTTCGACCTTTCGCCAGAGTTTTGCCATAGTTTTGCCATACAATGGGATCGATTAGAAATCCCCGCTTAGCTAATACATAAAATCTTCAACCGTTTCGTTGGCGGGATTGAAGAATTCATATGGGCATTTTGATTGGTAGACGCGTGTAACTCTATTTCAGACACCCCACTAGTACCTAGATACATACACGTGTAAAGTGCTACTGAAAAGCGCCACTTCATCCCAGCCTTGTCAGCCTCAGGCTCCAACCTATCAGATTGCTTGGGCTCGGACCAATTTAATGTAAACAAACTGCTACTTTTGGGACTTCGGTAGGGTTTGGGTAGCTTTCTGCGGCGCGTCCCCCCTGCATGCAACTTTACACAACCTAGTGTGTACCAGAGCAAATATCGATGTGCTAGTTGTATTGAATACCCAGGTACTTCTATTTGCAATTGTCGTCTTTCTAAGCATCCGTCAATTATCTAGAGGCTATACTTATTGCTTGGTTGCTTAGTTGGCTATGGACGACCCGCCGTCGTCACCCGACCCGCTTGGGGACGACCCTCCCAGCTCGGCGCAATCCACGCGACTAACCGGGGAAAGTAAGTTCGCGAACCACGACCTATCCGCGATATCTATCCCTAGGTCACAACTACGAAGGACATCGCCCGCGAGACAATCCCCTAGGAAACGGATCTTCGAGCTCGACGTTGGCGATAGACGCTCACCGCAAAAGATTCTCGTAACCGTCGAAGCAGAAGAGGCCATGAAGCGGGGTATCAATCGCAGACTATTCCAATCGTCCTCCCCGACTCGAAGCGACTATCGTAGAGAAGCTATTACCACTACCACGGTGCCGCTCAATGATGAGATAGTGAACGAAGCCACACCGCGACGACGCGGCCGGCCGCGGCGGACGAGCAATGGCACACCACTGCCAAAGGGGAAGAAGAGGGCTGGAACACCTATTGAACAGAGCTCTAAGCGGACGCGACAAAAGGGCGACCCAGAATCTGAAATTAGTATAATGAACGACGATACGCCAAAGGCGACAGATGCGGGATCTACACCGAAGGCAAAGACTAGAGTTCGGAAGACGCCTAAGCACGTGTCCACGACTCAGGCCGTACCGTCATCACAACTATCTAATGCGACAAGGAGGAAACGAGGCCGACCGCGAAAAGCGCTCATGCCGGAGGATGTCGCTGAGTTGGCAGGTATGGGCGACCAATCGAATAGTAATGTGGCGAATAATAGCACCGTTCAGCCATCACAAGAAAATTCAAAAATGGACATAAGTAGGAATGAGCGAAGTCGACGAGATGTGGCCATGGATGATACATTGACCCTCATCGACGAAATAGCAAGAGGCGACGACGATGGGACACCGACACCACCGGACAGATCAAACTCGCGCATGTCAGGAAGCATCAGGCAAGAGACAGGATCGCCGAGGACGTCACACCAAGGTGAAGGATTATATAGCGAAGACTTACCTACAGCGGATGCTTATCCACCACTAATGGAGCATCACAGCGACGCTGGGTCGGAGTTCGACAATAACGAGGGCGAACCCTACAGCGGACAAGACACGCTGACGCATGCCTCTGATTTTAGCATGATAGCTGTGGAATCGCTCCCATCATTCCAAGCGAACAGAAGCGCATTTCCTACCGACCCTCCGGATATGGGCTCTGAGACAAATATGATAATCAACGAGACCCTCGAATCATTACGAAATAGTATGCAGGCGGACGCGGTTCAGCAATCACTAATGCGCTTAGACGGTGATAACTTAATGGCAGAAGAGGATCGAACAATGGTACCAAACAGTTCACTGGCAAATGTTGGTGAACATAGTTTATTAGGGCGGCCAAAGAGTCCGAGGAGACAGAAACAAGTTCCCCTAAGCCGTCAAGTCCTTACAGGAAAGGCGCCTCATGTGGATGACTCTTTCTCGAGTATTCCGGATAGTATTCTCAAAGCTGCAACACCGGGGCGTCTGCCTATGAAGCCGATCTCCGCAAACCACCAGCACGATGATACTGGCGATTATGATGATTCCTTTTCCGAAATACCGGAAGCAGTTCTCGAAGCTGCTACCCCTAAGCCGGCAACTCGCACATTGCCACCTGCTGAGGAAAGTCATAGGGAGACTCATCAATCCGGTTCCGTAAGTAGAAACTCGGGATCGAGTTTTGGGTCAAACAGACTACCCACTCCAGATGATACGTCGTCTTCAAATGCCGGTTCTAAGAGAGCGCAAGAGGATGAGATTGGCGAATCCTCAAGAGCTCCAACCCTTGCTGTCCCTGATTCTAACTCGGGCATTCATTCTTCACCTCCTACAATGAATCGACCACGTTCAATGGACAATGGACCGTCTCAATTAGATCGAGAGATTACCAACACACCAGAACCACATCGTTCTTCTCCCCAATTACCACCCTCCGCAAAAGAAATAACTGAGCCCCCTAAAGCGCTAGAACCTCCTATCATCAATAGACCTTCGCTGTCACCAATTGTACGAGTCGGGAGAACTCTACAAAATGTAATGTCTGATAGATCATCCCCTGAAGTTCGCGAAGGCAGTCTAGGGAGCCCCTTTAGGGGGTCCGCCAATGAGTCAACGCGACCAATTCCCTTCGATCCCTCCAATCAATCACATATGTCTAGATCACCAAATCGAACTAACCACGATATATCAGCCTCATTCGCTCGGGCTTCGTTTAATCCTTCTGGTACATTTATTCATACTATAAGATCTAATTTTCCTCCCGGCCACCCACTTGCGCAAGGCGAAATCATTGGTAATTTGTCGGATCCGTTTGTATCAGATAGAAACGACCACTCGCAGACAAATACCTCGAGGAAAGCTGGCTTTAACACTAATGAGCGGGTATCACAGTATGACCATTCTACATTGAATTCATCAGTAGTTGGTTCAACTAAAGCAATACCGCCACACGAGCGCGAGGGAAGCCGGGTTGCAAACGATAATAACCACCAGGAGGAAGCAGGCCATTATCCAGACTCACGGACGTTGAGTTCTCATAATTCAGGTGTTTTTGCCGCACATGACTCAAATGCGGGCCATGCAACAGCCAGGAATGTTAATGTCGACGAGCCTGAGGCAGAAAGGGAGCAGGAGCGAAGACACGAGGAAGAGAACAATGGCGACACAACGGGATATGAAGCGGACAACACTGATCTCTGGGACTTTGAGGCTTCAAGGCCGACTCCCAGGAGACCAGAGTCAAAACGACGTGCATCACAGCTATTTGATCCGCCCCCTCGACGGAGCAAGATCCTAAGCCCTTGGAGGAGATCAACAAGACGTCTCATCTATAGGGAGGAAATTGCGAGTCCTTCTCAAATAGAGATTGAGGAGAACCCACAGAGCGAGGCGGAAGAACCCCCAGTAACACGTATTAAACCACCGCGACCGTCGAATGCACATTCGATACTAATGGAGATGGCACCTTCTCCTGATCCCGAGCCCGCCGAGGTCAACGAGCAGTCATTTCATTCCCCTTCGCCTGAGCAGCAAGATCCAAGGTCTGAATATGAATTCGAGGAACGGGAACAAGGGCAAGATCGATACCAATCCCGATATCAAACCCAATATCAAGATCAGTACCAAAATCAGTATCAGGACCAGTATCAAGACCAGTATCAAGACCAGTATCAAGAGCAAGATGACGAGCAAGAAGATCAAGACCGATATCAGGAGCAGGAGGGGGAGCAAGATCACTACCATGACCAATATCAAGATCACTATCAAGACCACGATGAAGATGAAGATCACTATCAAGACCATGATCAAGGGCAAGATCAAGGGCAAGGGCAAGAAGAGAGACAGGGACAGGAACCGCCAGCAAAACAGACGGCAGAGCCTGTAGACGCTTCTGAGTATTCGATGCTTGCTCAGCAAGAGAATGCGCCGTCTACTCAAAAGAAGCCTACGCCTGCCAAATCCGGTATATTTGGCGGGTTTAATCTCTTGTCTTTCTTTTCGTCGCCCGCTACACTGCCCACAAAGGTCCCCGAAGCAGGGCAAGAGAACACAACTCGGAATACCCAAAATGTCTCACAACCCAGCTTCCAGAAGCCAGCGACCAGGGAAATAGAACAAGCACCTAAAGAACCACAGAAACCCCTCTGGTCTACGGGATTGTTTGGGTCCATTACTCAGAAGAATTTTCAACCAAGCCCAGAGCGACGTTCTGATTTATTCTCACCGGCACCGCCTTCGCAAGCAAAATCAAATAATACCATTCAGGATACCTATGAATCCCCTTCGCCCGCTCCGTCTCCATCGCCTGCAGCGTCACCTTCGCCAGCGCCATCGCTTTCTCCCGAACCTGCTTCTCCAGATTCGTCACAACAATCCCCTGAGCTGTCCCCCGAGCCAACTCCTGAACCATCGCCTGAACTAACTCCCGAACCGTCACCCGAGAGATCGCCCGAAGTGTTGCCCGAAAGGTCTCCTGAAGTATCGCCTCAACCCTCGACCCCCGATCAACAGATGTATCCACCAATCGCGCAGAAGCAAAATTTCACGCCACGGCCAGGATCTAGTCAGTCTCTTTTCAGAACCGGCCCCTCGGCCAGCCGAAACGAGCATCAAGACGATGACCTACTTCTTCCGACAAGCGATGAGGATGAGGATGAAGATGAAGATGAACAACAGGAGACATCCTTCATGACAGACGGGACAGAGTACGAGCGCGTGCCGCCTAGGGAAAAGCCATCTCGATGGGATAGAACCCTTTCGCCATCCAAATCCTGCTTCCGTTCACCCCTAAAGCCAACCACACCTGGGCGCGTTGTAGCCTTTAAGGGTAGCGTACCATCTCCTGTCACTCAACCAGAGACCCACGTTGAAAAGCAGATGAATGGTGGTGACAGAAGCAACGGGATACTATTCCAGGGCCCACCTCTCCGTCAACTTGCTCCTGCGCCAGTGGCCGCACCTATTCCCGCTCCTGCTCCCGCTCCTGCTCCTGCAGCCACAGCGAACCAACAGGCGAATCAGACTTCCTCCCGTGTCTTTACTCAGGGCAATACCGCCCCTATCGCTCCCGCAACAAACATCAATGCCTCCTATCCATCCTATCCCGCCTTACCAGCGCATAAAAACAATACCTTCAGTCCAGCCAAGAATTCCGCCTTGTCAACCTCCAAGAGTAATGCCCTCAACCCGGCTCCGCCGCCGCCACCATTGCAGCAACAGCAGCGGCAGCAACAACAGCAACAACAGCAACAACAACCTCGCTCTTTCACCTCCACCTCCACCTCAGCCAGACCAACCAGCAGCGCCAAAAGCAACCTGTCGCAGACGGAGTGGACGCGCAACCACTGGCTGCGGCTGGACGAGATGCTGCACCTGCGGCGCCGCGACCCTCTCGCGTTCCAGCAGCGCGTGCCGCTGCCTCCCCGCGCCCAGCGCCGCTCGCTCGCCACCCTGCTCGGCAAGGAGATCCGCGCCCAGGGCGAGTGCGTGCCGCTCGAGACCTGGCACCTCGACGTCGTCGAGGCTTTTAGGCTCGAGGTCGGCGGCTGGGACGAAAGGTCCCTTGCTAAGAGGGTGTTCGCGCTTATTATTGGGGAGCAGCGGAGGAGGAAGGCTAGGGAGGCGAGGATGGGAATGGGGACGGGGAGGGGGGCTGCTTGAGTTCTTTAGAGCTGGGGAGAGAGGAAGGATTTGGGAAGTTGATTAAGGGGAAGGGGAAGGGGCTTGATATGCTGTTTTGAGGATAGTGCGCGTCTATCCCTCGGGGTTCACTGTTGGGTTGATGGACTAGTCCTATTGGTATTGTCGAGAGGGGCAAGTGCTTTCTACGGTCTCTTATATACTTACCTACCAGAGGTACACATGCATGCATAACGACCGGCGTTGTTTGGTAATGGGCAAGCGGACTGGGAAGGGGAAAGGCACGGCTTGCATTGAGATTGTTTCGATTCATGGAATGGTCGATCGGGTGGCTAATCAGCTAACTAATACCTCTCCGAGAGGTCTTGTATAGCACATCCATGTACTTTGTCCATGAACCAAGTTGTGCCCAGGTCATTGGATCGGAGTCGAGGCGTTACGGCGAACAAAAGGAATCATCTAGGGAGGGAGGGAGCTAGCTAGTTAGTCGTTCAGCCAGCCTAGGTTACCTACAAGTTTAAAACAAGTCATTAATTGAACGAGACGAGACGGTAATACTGGGTGTGCATGTATACTCTCTTAGACGAGATAATCAACATCCTGACGATGCCAAAGCCGTAGCATATGCAATGTGTTACTACCTATCGTGTCGTAGAAGCTCACAAAGCCCTTTTTCTTCATCTTGGTTGAATTAGCGAACTAGCACCTGACGGCTCCTAGCTCCCAAGCTCTCTCTGACTATGCAGTAGTAGTAATATTACACCAGAGGGCATCATCCCGTTTCTATCCCATCTAAGCTTAAGCTTAAAAACCCGTAATCAGCCCAGGCCATCTTGAGATCTACCCTCATCACCACCACCACCACCGCCACCCTCCATCCTTTTTTTTACTCCTTTTGGGGACTCACAGAGTAAAAAAATATTAAACTCTTTACTCCAACATCGAAGCCTGGTTCGTGTACAGGACGTCCACGACGTTGCTCAGCTTCTCGATGGTCTGAAGCGCGGCGTCGTAGGACTCGTCGCGCTGAGTCTCGTCGAAGATGATGAGGCAGCCGGCGCCCTGGTCGAGGACGCCGATGATGACCTTGTCGAGGATCATCTGCGAGAGCTTGCGCTCGACCTGCTGGGTGTCGAGGCCGACCATCTTCGCGATGTGGGCGATCTCGACCCGGCTGAAGGGCTCGATGACCTTGATCAGGTTCTGCTCGAGCATAGCGTCGTAGAGGCGGGCCAGGTGGCCGCGGACGAACTTGTCGGAGCCTAACTCGTATCGGTAGACGCCGAGGGCGCGCTCGTACTCCTCGAGGGAGCGGTTGGAGTGGGCGCGGGCGATGGCCTTCATCGCCTCGAGGTTCTGGCCTGCGTACTTCTGCGCCTGCTTCGAGGTCATCAGGTTATTGACGTCGTCGACGAGGTTGAGCATGATTTTGCACAGCAGCATGTACTGCAGCGCAGCGGTAGCCTTGGCCGGCTCGTCCTGCGTGTGGTATCCGTCGAGCGCCTCAATGAAGTACGAGAAAGCCGTGTTGAAATCCTGATCCATCGTGTGCAGCATGCCCGACTGCATATCCAGGTTTGCCTGCAGCAGCGGAGGTGTGTATACGGAAGCCGCGCTCGTCCGCGCGCTGGTCAAGGCCGCGCGAGCCTTAGAGTTGTTACCTAAGGCGTGGTATACCCTGGACTCCAGCAGCTGGACCTCGACAAGGACCAACTTGTCATCGAGACGCTTGAGCTCCCGAAGGAGTCCGTTGATGAGCGTTAGGGCATCGTAGTATGACTGCTTCTTCATATACAAAGCGACGAGTCGCGTCTCGAGGTTCTGGCGCAGGAAGCTCCGCCTTTCAGAAGTGGCCCATTCTATGCACGACTTGGTTACGGCGATCTGGATGTCGGTTGTGTTCGGGATGGCGTCGAAGAGATCGAGGAGTTGACGGACTGTTTGGACAAATGGTTAGATGTTTTCTATCAGTGCAAGCAAGCAAGGACGGAGCTGAAGTATACCCAATTTGGCCGTTTTCGCCTTCGCAAAGCTGGATAAGACAGTTCTGCTCGTAGTAACGAGGTTGACAAGCTCCGACGGTTTCCTAAACACACAAACGTCAGATATGAGGCGCTAGAAAAGAAGTTCCGAGGTCTTTCTCACTTCTCGTCCCGGTATAACTCTCCCAAACTTATCAAAGCGGTCTCGTATTCCTTAATAGCAGCATCCGACGTGACTGCAGGCGGCTTGGATATGATCTCCTTATACGTGGCCTCCGCCTTTCGCGGATCGGTGCTGGCGAGCGCTTGCGCCTCCTTCACAGACGGCTTCTTCGAAGCCATATTGATGGATTCGTTCTCGGAGATGGGTAAACGGTGTTAGGGACCGGTATTTGGGAGGAAAAGAGATTTTTGAGTAGTAGATCGATCTATGAGACCGAATTGGTGTAAAAGAGTTAATCTGGGGATAGCTTCGAAGAGCAAGAATTACCGGATAGATGTCGATTGTATCGACGGTGGTAGCTTCCAGTGTTGCAGCTCCAGCCTAGCGATTACCTAAAGTAATAAAGTGGGTAGCCCGCTACTGACGCAGCTCAACCTGCCTAAACTAGCGGCGGAGCAACCCATAATTCCGTTCCGTCCTGTACTAGTACCTCGGTACTTAGTGATGTACCAGTTTGTAGTCCCAATTCACATCCTTTAACTTATCAGGTATAGGTACCTAGTATACCAACTACAAGATTCTATATCATCTTTAACCATCTTAAAAAAGCTATAGGACGTTTACATTTATTGTGGAAGTTAACAATAATATTCGGAATTACCAAGGTAAACTATTCGTTCTCAAGTTAAGCATATGCTGTGTATCAAGTCTAAACCCATTATAACATGTGGCGTTGATCGTCAATAGTGTTCTCGATGCCTTAATCTAGATTCATCTTAGGTACATTCTCCTTAAAATAAAACGAATAGGCATATGGCCATTCACCCATACTACCTAGTAACTTAGTTGTGTGATATATCAAGTAGAGAGTGCCCTTCTCCTTTCACCTCCCCCTTTAACAGGAGTATAATCGCAAGTTACCACCAATATTTTCGCCGATACTGAATCGAATATTCCCACAACTCCTATACCCTATTTACTGGTAGATGGCCTTCCAACTTTTTATGTCCTCCCAATGCCCAAGATTATCCAAAACTTGTCGTTTCTGTCATCATTACGCCAGGACGTCAGTGCTCCCTCTACGTCAGATTAGTATGTGGGAAACCGTCGTTATTACCTGCGTATATGTGAGCCTGCCAATTGCGCACCTTGTTTACTCGAGCGTTTTGCAAAGCCTGTGAACCACTACCGCTAGCCATATCCCTCTCTTGTATAGAGCTACTGCTCAGTGGTCGGTAGGACCCAGATCCTAGTCGCGAGTTCGGTCTCGCTGAACCACTCTGTCGTCGTGTCGAGATATTAAAACCATCGCCTCCTCTGCTGATGTTCAAATTACTAAACCCAAAGTCCCACCCGCCATATTGGTGGACACAGTGTGGCTCTGCAATCTGGCAGTTCTCCGTCAGGATCTTGTACGTGCTTTGCTCAACCTCCTGGGCCGTAGGCCTGTCTTGCGGGACAACCGAGAGCATTCGCGCAACTACCTGCAGCATGGGCCCCACGCCACGAAACACCTGGTCATCCTTCTTCGATGCGTCCTTTGCGAGACCAACCATCCAGGATTCAACCTGCCCGATGTTTTTATGAAACGAAGAATCTAAGACTGCTCCTCCACGGCCGGCTTGCTTATGCTTCGCTGCTCGGTGTGACGCGAAGTTCCGAGTCTGACGTTTCATTAGAAAACTAAGTAGCTCGAGTATCACGCAACCTAGTGAGAAGATGTCGACTGCTTGAGGGTTGAGAGAGGGAGTTGGCGAATGTAGCATCGCGGCGGGGTTCATGCTATCCGAACCTCCCCGGTTGATAGAGAACGTCGAGTTATCCGATGATGTTGATGTTGATGTCGAAGAGCCAACAAGAGTGCTCCTTCGTTGTGAGCCGGAGTGTGAAGTTGACGGGCGATACCATTGTTCAGGGGCCGCGTAATCGTAAGCCTCCTTGTCAAACGTCGACTTGTCTTGGGTACTTGCTATTGCCTCCACGCTTAAACGGCTTACGTCTGCGTAGAAAATGTGGTTGTCGGCATTGTAAAGCACAGTCGAGGGCTTGATATTGCCATGCGATAGACCTCGTATGTGAAGATAGCAAAGAGCGTCAACGAGGCAATGGATCCAGTTCATGATGAGACGGCGCCGGTCTTGCTTGGCCAACGATTTTACCGAACTTGGCTGGGTTACCAGAAGAGATTTGAGACTGAAGTCACTTGGAAGCGAGAAGAGGACGTAAGCGAAGCCTTGATGGACATATGAGCCATAGTAAGACGCGAGGTGGATGTTCTCGATATTCTTCGCTCTGTTCATTTCGTAGAGAAATTCCTCTCCCGTCAAAAACCCTGGTCCGGTCCCAACAGGAATGCGACGTCGTGAAAAAACCTCACCAGGTCTATTTGGCAATTCAACTCTGTCGACAGCAGTACCGAGACTTAATCCAGTGCGTTTATCTACGTTAAGTGGTGGTACCTCGGGATCTTCGTAGACTATATAGTCTCCTTTCTCGATGAACTTGAGTAAGTAGTGGAACTGGCGGGAATAGAATCTCTTCTCGATTTTATCATCCCTCGTAGGTGTAAGCGCCAGTCGTTCGATTTGGTCCAGTGGGATAGGGAGGTCATCATCGTCCCAACTATCGTCAATGAGTCCAAAAATCTGATCTGGCACGCCTAGGTCTGCAAGGATGAGGAATATGCGTTTGGCCTTTTCGTCAATCCATTCCCAGTAAGTACCGTCGGTCAACCCATCACCAAAGCCCAATGGTAAGTCCAATCGCTTTATCTCGTCGGGCAGGAGGTGTGAGCAGACAAAGTGACGAGTGACAGTCGCTTCAATCCGAGATGGATCCCACCACATTACCGTCGACATAGCAAGGGTAGCATTACACCATAGATCCACCCTAGAAGGTCTGGTTTAGTCACGCGACTCGAGCGCCGCATGTAATTATGATTTGAGAAAAATTGCGACAGATCCAAGGAGGCATAAGGCTGGGAATGTCAGCAATTCAGGGCGCAGACCGTTTATAGGATCTGCGAATTGGATGTGACTACCGACCGAGGCGGCGTGTCCGCCAGGTGCAACATATGTCAGATATGTCAGTCAGCACAAAACAATACAAATGCTGCCTGGGAGGCAAGAGAGGCAATCTTTCTTGTATAGGCATTCGAAGAGTATGTTCCCCGACAGCTCTCCATGGCTCGCGTAGTAAAGGCAGTCGGTCCCAGCAGGAGCATGGTATATGATAGATAGGATTCCTTCGCAGCGATGCTGGATCCTGATTACCTGGTACACTTAGCAAATCATGTATGATGTTGGTGACCATTTAGAGTCAATCTCTATTCGAACTGGAGGGTGTGATTGGTCAACTGAGGCAATAGATAAGAGATATCTTGGGGTGTCTGGATCGACCCTAGAGTCGATAAATACCCTTGTCAGTGCCACTAATGCAGAATGTGCTTTAGAGGCTCTCGTGGGTTCGATATCGACGCATGGCGAGCCGTTTAATAAGACCGAAAACCACTTAGCTCGCGCTTGTCAAAAGCGCCGTTCACGCCGCCAGCGAGCAGCAATTTATCCCCGCCGAAATTTTCTGACAGGTTCCGAGTTTGCCATTTTTTTTCTTCTCGCTGAGATATGATTAGAGACATTTAGGATTCGCACATGATCATTTTAGAGGCTTGACGAGTACGTCGGCCACGTTGTTCGGGGACCCCTTGTAGAACGAGGAGTGATCGCGGGCACCCCCGGTCCCCCACGCACCGATTTCCTTGTCCACCTGGGCAAATTCATGGGGCATCAAGGACACCTCAGGGGTCTAGTACAGCCTGGTAACCGTTAGGCTCTGGGGGACTTGGGTGAACCTGGAAGCACCCTAGCCCGGTTCCAAGCAGGCGGTACAGAGTACAAGACCATACGATGATTCCCGATATTGAAAGATGGTCATCTTCCGCCTATCCGATACGCCAATACTTCCCCAGAGCTTTTAAAAGAGGATCGAACTTGATAGTTGGTGGCCTACGTAATTGGTGGTGACGATGAAGCCCATAGGGCCACACGATGCATGAGAGGTGCTTGGCAACGATCGAGAAGGGTTATAAAAGCAGTACAGTAATCACCATTTGGGATATCCTTATCATCTAACAGCGCTGTTATTTCCCTTTAACGGAATGGAAAGATAATGGTACGGCTAGTGAATTGGAGTAGTGTTAGGTTAGGTATGGATGTTTAAAATCGGTTCATGTCTTCGTCATCTGAACTACTAGTAGTTTTATGGTTTAAGTTATGATAAGCCTCAAAGCCAAAGTTAAGACAGCGGGGGGTAATGGAAGTTGTGGGTCTCGACGGATACTCGATAGCTACGACTGCCCTTTCAGCTCCTTTTTAGTAACTTCTTTCTCTACTTATCTCTTCACCAGGCGCAATTATCCATGTACATATTACACGTATTCCGCAGATGTTATTAAGTTCATTCCTTCCCTTCTAGGCTACTACGTAATTTCAATTTACATGGAACGATACTACTGTCCCTTTTCAGCTCTTCACACTAAAGAGACCCTGAGAAGAAGTCTTGTTTTTCAGGGGACCCATTCAGGGAAAAACTCTCCTTAGCACGCCAAGTGCCTTCGCCCTGCGAGGCAGATTTGAACCGGCAGGTATATACCATGTGAAGATGCTTAAAATAGAGTCCGAAGTCTAGCATGTGGGAAATATGGATTACTACAAATGCGGAATATGCGTACATGTCTTGGTGTTCACTCCTCGCCTAGCTATAACTTACAACAGCTATACGCAAGCACACTCTTGTCGAGGAACACCCTCATGTTGTATCACCATCGGTTATGGGAAGTGAAATCAAAGAACATTCTCGGGTTGGGGGCTATAACCGAGGTGTATTCCATATGTTGTTTACTCAAAATCGCGCAGGGCTAGTAGTTTCATGCTCAAAGATCAAGCTAAAGAGCTTGTTATCTTAGAGATCTAGGAGCTAAGTATGTAAGGTACCTATGGCGTTATGCATAAAAGCCTCTGTTATTATTCTGGGTCTGGGCGACTAGTAAAGAAGCTATTCTGATATTCCGCGGTAGCATCAGTGTCGACCATAGAGCCAGATCTACGCTTCCAGGTCGTGGTGGTATCCGATATGAGAGAGCTGGCTACGTTGAACTACGTAGGTATACAATGTATCTTTGAACATCCCCCCCCTTTCTGCGTTAGCTTCATGTCATAAGTCTTAGATCACTTCGCAGCTTTAGCTAGGTAGGTAATGTCTAAGCACCTAAAATACTAGGTGAGCACCTAGGCAGGTATACGTCTATAAGCCGAGTTTCAAGCTTGAATATCACATCTCAGATCTACTCACAAAGTTCCATTAGGAAAATTTTCGAAAGCTATGCCAATGTATAAAACCACACCGTCCACCTCTCCGGAATGACGTCGTGGGCTTGTGGGATGGCTCACCGCGGAAGGGGGCGCGACCAGGAGCTGCGAACGTGATAAGCCAGCTATACTACGCAGCTCCCTGCAGGTTGCCGCGCGTGGGCAAACCCCAAGACCTCGGTGACATAAGCGACGGACTCGGCCCGACCTATCCACTCGGAGTATAATATTGAGACATCTAGTATATCGTATGCAGTGGAACATCCCTCATGAACAAAGATCAGAACTTAGGAACGTTGAGTGGTTGGCTCGGACGGTCGGGTTTGTGACTGGTAACTTTCGGTCATCTTCTCCTGATCAGGACGGGATACAGCTTTTGATAGACGGCTTTGATCCGGGCAGCGGGCAGGTGCTTTTTAGGGACGCGGAGGGTTGAACTGCAGGCCGGATGGCAAGTTACACAGATGGCCACAAATATTCCTGCACAGCCTCAACACCAATGGGAGACCTCTTTGCATGATTGGAAATCTCATTGAAGATTAGTTTGAAGTGGGAGCGTATGTACAAGCTTGTCATATACTATACCACATATACCTTACACATTACATCTCCACAGACCTGTGAACGCCAGCGCTCTCCTATCTGCGGTATAGCATTATCGTGAATATATATTCCATTAACTAGCCCTCTAAGCCGATCTCAACCGAGCCGTCGCGTATTCTAGATTAAGCTTCCGTTCTTCTCACTTAACTCCGTCCCCCTTCGGCCGACAAACGTCGTCATGCCGTTATCTATGCCAGACAGCTTGCGGGCGATCTTCTGAAGACCAACTGGTAACACGTTGTACCAATCAACCCAGCGCGCGTAAAGAGGCATACCAATGTGGTCGCTAAGTCCGAGATCGATGGCCTTGATGACTTCTTTAGCCACTTCTATAGGTTCGACCACTGGTGCGATGAATGTGTTGGGGGTCTTAACGCCGTAAAAGAGTGGTGTGCTCAATTGACCCGGCGTAACAAGAATGGTCTTGATCTCGGGGTACTCTTGCAGCTCGGCAGCGAGGGACTTGTGCAAGGCTGTTACTCCCGCCTTAGCAGCGGCGTAGTCGGCAAGTCGAGCAGCACCGAGGTGACCAATGACACTTGAGACGGTTACAATGGTGCCACCGGTGTCGTTACGAATCATCCCCGGTAGAAATGTCTTGATCATATAGAAATGTGCCAAGAGATTCGTTGTGATACTCTTATCGACTTCATCCAGTTCCATATCAAGCAATTTCTTGCCGATAACGACACCTGCGTTGTTGATTAGGACGGTAGGGGTTCCGAGCTAAAGCAATATTGTTAGCTTTTGTTGTGCCGTGGACACTGCAAGATAATACATACATCTCGCTCTATCTCCGCTGCGACTCTGGCGATCTGGGCCTTGTCACGTACGTCGCACTTGTAGTAGGTGATGCCCCGGGCATCTGTACTCTCGAGGTCGGCGGTATCCAAAACCGCAACGGTAGCACCTCGCATTCCGTATACCTCAGCAATTAACAGGCCAAGGCCGCTGGCTCCTCCCGTTATTACAATGACCTCCTCGCTCAAGTCGACCTCTCGGTGCATGCCATAAGCGATCTTATGGCTTAACACATTCCCCATCCATAAAAGAGTAACAAACACTGCCCACGTAATGCTGACTATCATCGGCTTCGTAGTCATCGCCTGGTGCTCGGCGCGGAAGCATAGAGGAATGATCCATGCGACGAACGGGTGTAGCAGCGTGACATTGAGAACCTTGAGGAAGAGGTCGACAGAAAGAGGCGCAAACCACGAGTTGCGCATCGGCGGTTGAGGATGATTCATGATGTCGGATAATTTGATCGTATGATTGAGGACACGAATGCTGGCCAGCAAGCACTGAGAACGACGGAGGGAAAGGAACTTCGGATGCCTTCAAAATGAGGTTTTCAAGAAACGAAAGAATTTATTTGAATAGGTAATTCAAGAAGAAGTTAATAGAGGAAAGGAAGCTTGTTGGTCCAGCCTACGTGGTAGTAGTGTCCGTACTCGCAAGCTCAGGATCGCGACTTCACTCTTCGCCTAGGTTTCTAAAAGCTTTCGGACCCTTGAAACAAATGGCCCAAGCGCTGAAGGTTTCGACTAAAGCAGGTTCCTACCGAACTTGACCAATCGGCAGCTACCGATCTAGCAGGGATATCCGTTAAGACTTACCCTAAGCGCCTTTTGGATGTATTTGGGTTGTAGGCAATTATTCCCATCTGATTATCACCGTGATTGTTTCAAACGACTTCAACTACCTAGGTTAGGCAGAGCTTCATTTTCTTAACAGCCAGTCATTCTCATGAGAGTATATAGACATAGTCTACCGAAGCCTTATCTGGTATCTGAATTTTCCCATTCCTTTAACGCCTCATAAATGCAGTTCATGAATGCTTAAGACAGCCAACTCCTCCGGAATGTCATCAAACATAGACGTTACTTTTCTCTTGCCAGAATAACCTTGTCCCGTTCACTCTTCCTCTTCTCGAATTGTTTCCTGGTGTGCTTCCTCTCATTCTCTTCTCGTCGCTTGATGGCCTTCAGTTCTTCCTTCTTGATCTCACCCGCCTTCTTCACAACCTTTGGAAGATGTCTATGGCGTTTGATGCGCCTAATCTCAGGCTATAGTTTTCTATGTCAGCACACCATTCTATAATAACAGAGTTACGAGGAAGATGGAAGAGGGTGATCATACCATGTGACTGTATCTCTCGGATAATGCCTCATTGTATTCGAGTGACTGCCGCTGTCGCGCAGACTTGATACCCTCTCGCTGGGATGCATTAGCCCTCCAAAGGCGAATGTTTCCGTCATCCGATCCGCTCAATAGATATTTGGAGTCTGGAGTCCATCGTGCGCAGAAAACTCTCTGCATTCGCTTCGTATGGTAGACATCCCTAGAATGTCCCCCATCTCGGCTAAACAGCCTAATTGTACGATCGTAGGAAGCTGTCACAAGCTCCTGTCCGGTAGGCGAGAATTCCACATCCATGACTGCTGCCACATGATCTTTGAGAATGTTGAGTGCTCGGTCGAACTTGCGCATATCAAATATGTACACGTTGTGATCTTCGCTCGCCGCAGCAAAGTTCATCGGCTCCACCGGGTTCCAGGACAACTTGTTGCAGCTAAAGTTGAGGTATGTACGGGCGAGGGGCGAAGATGTTCGGAGATCATATAGGATAATCGACCGATCTGTAGAGCAAGATGCGAGCACGGATGTTTCGCTTTGGTTGAAAGACACTGAGGTAATCGTTTCGCCGGACGATGGCCAACGAAGAACTTCTGGCGCAGCCGTGTAGCGATCAAGATCGTAAACAGATATAACATCGGAGGCTGCTGCGAAAGCGTTCTTCGACCTATGCACACTTAAGCTTGTATAGGCATTCGTTCCAAGCCAAGAGTGTAGAGGTGGCGAATCATCGCGAGTATTGTACGGGTCGTGGATTTTGATCGATCTATCAGATGCACACGTGAGAAGCTTTTGATCGGTTGTCCATGCCATTCCTTTTACGATATTCTCATGAGCCGTCGTTTTCCAGACTTGATCCCGGCCAGTCAAGCTCCAGCACTTCACAACACCATCGCCCGAGCCGGATGCAAATCTGTCGAGGGAATTGGGATCCTTCGCTAGTGAATAAACACCGTCGACATGTCCGTTTCCGAGTTGCGCGATGAACGGCTGAGCGAACATGCGTTCCAGTTTCACCGCATTGAGTGCGCGCGTATACTCTCGTGCTCTCTCGAACGGATGAATCGCTGGATCTAGATTACGGGGCGCCTTGAAAATAGTAAGAAATCTAGTTAAGCAACTGTAGATAAGTTCGGTCTGGGAAGCATACCTTTGGAACATCAGACCCAGGCGGCTGGTAGGCCGCAACTGAGCGGCTTAAAGCTTTTATCTTCTATGAAATATATTAGCATGCTGAAAGTACGATCCAGAACCATATGCGACTTACCATGATTGCGGAGCACGATGGTATTGCAATATTGAAGATTTGGTGTTCTCTCCCATTGAATAATATCAAGAAAAAAGTTCAAGTTTAGGTCCCCACATTGGCAGCTGGCATCGTTTGTCGAATTTCGATAGTCTTATCTGCCTATCAAGAGATTGAATATTCTTATCGATAGACAGTATCCACTATCATACTATGTACCTATGTACATAATATATGCAGTGCCCACACAATTACTGCGTAACTCGGCGCCGTTCACAACTTTCCAATTCCATGGGTTCAACTAGGACCGTAGGATTGTAGTACATCATCCTATGATTGCACCTCAAGCTCAGATGAAACGAGAAAAGTAACAAGTGTAACATATGTCAGCATTGGCAATTGGTTTCCAAGTTGTGTAAAACGATGTGTTAAAAGTTATCTCGAAGATTGTCTACGTGCGTAGGCGCCTAGTCAACTATTTGCGCCTACTGCAGCTACTGCAGTCTGCAGGTATCGCCAAAGAGATCTACAAACGAGTTACTATAACTGGAGTAAACATACTAGCAGCAATTGGGGAAAACGATGTAGTTCATCCTTAAACTACGTCATTGATGTATCGAAAAGGCAAGCTTTCAGACGAGCATCCACTTTGTTGAACAAATGAGAGTGTTGGGCCAAAAGCTGGCAACGTCTGCAGATGGACACGAAGTTTTGTTTTTGAACAACCGGTCAAGTTTCTATGCTGCTAAGATCTATGGATACTCCCGAGTCTTTGGCTGATGAGGGACCCAAGATTCGGATCTAACCGTACGTTGCTAAGAAATACCAAGAGCTTTTGTAGCAGTTGAATTAGGTATATTGAGGCAGAGCTTATTGTCCCCTTAACCCATTCTGCCCATCCTCCACACCTCACCGAACATTAAATTCGTCACATCCATACCCCTGGTATACTACCTGGGTACAAATCCATACTACAATGTACAGTACTGTATCTGAAATATCTGTCAAAGCCGTTGATCACATCTAAATGAAAAGTCTGAAACACGGATCCCCACGATAGGATTAACCAATAGTGATGTAAGACAACAAGTCTGCTTGCGGCACCACCAGATCGTTCAAGCCAATGTCTCTGTTGCCCGCATTCTATATACGCGTCACAACTCTAACAGGCCTCACTAAGTCGCTAAGAAATTTTTCTTTTGCCGGGACTGTTCCCAGGGGGCCCTTGTCGATCCTTGCTTGTTCTTTCACCTCGACCGTAGAAAAGCCCCAATCTTATCTCAGTTGTGATGCCAAGATCTAGCTCCGTCAAGGAGTTCAGAGCCGTTGGTGGGATTCCCCGGAGCTTCTAGTCCAATCGTCCAATCGGCCTATGAGGATCGAAGCCTTTGTCGAGCTTCCCCAATTCAAGGTAAATAATCTTTTTTATATTACTAGGATTGTTTGGAGCGAGGTCCCGCTTCATTTAGTTACCGTCGTAGTGCGTTTGATATGTAGGTACAACCCGGGATTGCGGTTGTGCTTTTTGTGAGACTTACACCACAACACCTCCATATTTCTTCTCCAGACTCTTCATTCTTTCCTCTATCTGCCTCTTGTGTTGTTTAGCTCGTTCGCGGAGGAGCAGAGTATGTACCGGACGTAGTCGAGTCAACGCGAAGAAGATTGTAAACATTCGTTTATCTGTTTGACAACAGGCCAGCCACTGTGCCACTCTGCGCATTCGTTTGACAACTTTGGGCACTGGTCCTCTTTGCATTCGCTAATTACCTAGTACTCATTCCAATCTCGAACTCCTGAGGTCATTCGTTACTCGACCGTCGTTTCGACTCAAGCTTCCGAGCGATCATACAACTGCAAGGGATTCGACAAAGAGTTCTACAACTATTCTAGTTGTCTTATCCGCATTGCTTTGGTATCGTCCCTTCTGAACCATTGCCATGCGTTCTTCCACACTGTTAGCGCTCACTGGCGCCACTCTATCATACGCATTACCGACAATCGAGGCAGTTGGCGGCAAGTTCTTCACGAGCGATGGTGACCAGTTTTTCATAAAGGGAGTTGCTTATCAGCTCACCGAGAGTAAGCTTGGAACTAAAATATTCGCTACCTGACGATGTGTGTTCTAATATCGTTCTGTGTTTAGAGGATCCGTTGGTTGATACCGAGCAATGTACTCGAGATGCTTCGCTCATGAAGAAGCTAGGTGCCAACACTATCCGTGTCTACCATGTCGATGCGAATGAGGACCACTCCGGTTGTATGTCGGCTTTCTCCGACGCCGGCATCTACACCTTGGTAGATATGGATACCTTCGATACCTACATCTTACCTGTAAGTTTCAAGGCCTAGAAATCCTCATGTTTTGCCGAATTTATGCTGAACTAAATATCTATAGAACGATCCTTGGTGGAACCAAACGCAATTTGACAGCTACTCGAAGGTCATGGACACATTTCAGCAGTATGACAACCTTCTAGGTTTATTCGTGGGCAATGAGATCATTGCTATTAACAACCAGTCGAACGCTGCCCCCTTCATCAAATCTGCTTGCCGGGATCTGAAGGCATACAGAGATTCCAAGGGCTATCGCAAAATCCCAATTGGATATTCCGCAACGGATATTGCGGAACTTCGACCATGGCTGCAGGACTACCTCACGTGCGGAGGGAACGCATCAGAGAACATCGACTTCTATGGCCTCAACTCGTACCAATGGTGTGATCCTACCGACTACCAGACTTCCGGATACGCCAATCTCGAGTCACAGGCCAAGGACTTCCCTGTCCCTATTTTCTTTTCGGAGACCGGATGCAACAAGCCCGGTCCACGACTATTCGACGACCAAGATGCTATCTTCGGGGATGAGATGGTGAATGATTGGAGCGGAGCTATCGTGTATGAATGGATTGAGGAGGCTAATAATTATGGTCTTATTTCGTATGGTCCTAAGGTCGATGCAACTGCTACAGGCTCGAACATCGTTGGAGGCTACACGGTTGCAGGCACTCCGACCCCTGTCTCGCCCGACTTCGACAACCTCAGCAAGCACTGGGCGACACTCACTCCGAAGGGAGTTGCTAAGTCCAACTACGATACGACGTCAGTTTCGACACGTGCGTGCCCGACGTCAACGGCTAGTGGATGGCTTGTCAATGGCAATGTCGCTCTCCCAAGCTTGGGAGAAACCTTAACTGGTAGCTATTCTTCAGTGCCTAGTGCTACCGGCACGGCCGCTAGCCCTAGCGCATCAGAGACGAAGAACTCCGTCTCTGGATCCAAGGAGGTTGCTGGTATGGGCGCAGGTCTTGTGGGTGTGATGATGGTGTTCACTGTCTGGTTTTGATCCCACCATGAGTCAGGAGGATCACAACTTTCTTTTCTACCCCAGGCGGTTTACGCCGTTACGATTCGAGAAACGTTGGAGGTTTATGCCGGTTTTTCCCGTCGACCACCTAATTCTTCCTTTCGACTACACCGCCCGGGAACTTCATTAGAGCACCTGTAAGGCATCGTATACGGCGTTTATTGCCTTTCGTCGGATGGCTCTAGTGCCATCGCCTAATGATTGACGTCCATCACGGACGTTCGTACATACTTGGATGAGAGACCTCAAGAGATGACCGAAGAGAAAATGATTCGGCTTGCATATGAAGAGAACGCGTTAAGGATACTCGGGCAGACGACGGTAATGATTGTCATGAAGCAACAATTCCATAGATAGGGAACTTGGGATTCTCTCACAAATAAAGAAAACGCCGTTGGCAATAACACCCGAATTTGACTTCAACTAGCAATTATAACGTGATTAAAAATGACTTTTACTTGGTAAGTAGATCAGGCAAGCAAGGAATCAAGGGGTTCCAACTTCCATATAATCATAGCTTCGGAAGACATGTCGTTCTTCCCACGAGTAGTGCTTATACATCCAAAAGGAAGCCGCATTCTTACTTAATCATTGATAGGACCTCAACTTATTAAATATTTTCGGTCGTAAACCTAACGTTCATTTCTTACTTCTATCAATACTTCCGGGTATTGTCCTAGAAGCCTACCTCCGACGCGAACAAAACCACCTATGACCATATCATATCTATATACCATTCATAGCCGTAATCCTATACTATATACCTAATCTTTAACTCAAACTCCACCAGTCCTATTTACCAAGACATACCTAAACATGCCCCAAAACACCCCTCAACCACCCGCCCGAACCCCCACCGATTCTCACTGCGCAACCCACAACCGCAGGCCCTGGAAGGCAGGCGAGAAGAAGGGTATAAAGGCTTGGTTCGACTGGCACCGGTAGTGTCCGTTCCAGGATCGGCCGAAACTGCGCTGGGCCTTTCTGATAGGGCTCGTCGTCCTCGTCGTCGCCGTGCTGATCGTCGGCGTCGTGTTCACGGTCTATTACGACGCCATGTACTACTCCAGCGGCGCCTTTCTGCTCCACGATAAGACCGGCAACACGTTGGTGGAGCGACAAGATATCTCGCTGGCTGGGGTAGGAAGAGATGCGAACTTGTGTGGTAGCGATACCGGAGGCGGATGTGAAGCTTTCGGTCGTCCGGTTCGTGATTCTTCGTATTCTACTACCTTTACTCTAGTTTCCCCCCGTTTTTTTCATGCCTTACTCCTCCGCTCGTGTAGTACGCAGTCAGAGGGATATTGGTTATACTAACCAAGTATTACGCGTACGCAGAACATGTGCTGCCCCCTCGGCATGACCTGCAAAAGGAGCAACTTCTCGCCCTCGGGCGTCTTCTGCTGCTCGTCAAGCTCCAACTGCCGCGCGGACCCGGACCTGCCGCCCCGCTGCGACAAGCACACGAGCGCCTGCAACAAGAGCATGGGCGCCGGGTGCTGTCTCCACAACACCGAGTGCGACAAGGACGGCTGTCTGAAGGTGTACCGCGCCGCGCCGGGGTTCTCGACCGCGGCGACTACCTTGACGACTACGTCGAGCACGGCTAGCGTGGCCGGCACCAAGACCACGTCGAGCGACGCGGGCGGTGTCACCATTACGACGGCCAAGATGGCAGAGACGGCTCTCACCGATGATGGGACGAAGGGGATAAAGCCTGGCTTCGGATACTCGAGTTGCCCGCTGTTGGAGGTGTGCGCGCTAGGAGGCGCTATTGCGGTGGCTTATGCGATGGCTTTGGGGGGTTGAGACTGTGTGAACTTGGGGATCAGGGGCTAGTCTTCGGTCTACTACTTAGAATGGTGTCCGGTGGGGAGGAGACGTTGGAAAAGAACCGAGGTGGGTAGCACAGGGGATTTACATGCCCGTCGCGGTTCTTAGACTGTATCATGTTCTGTGTATGCGTAGTGGTGCTTCCCTCTTTTTTCCGGGAAGAATAGGTCGCTAACCTACACATGGGTTGGGTTAGTATGATTAAGGCTACCTCTAATAAGTATATATCAACCACGACTCCTAGGTACGTGTATGAATTATCTGTGAGTTATGGCACCGAAACGTTGAGTATTATAGATAGAATGATAGCTCTAGTTCATAGGACAACATGACTTGAAAGCATGCTTCATAAGTTGTTAGAACTAAGGTCATAATAAGTAATTCAATATTGAAGTTAAGGCAATACATAATAGTCTGATAGACAGAGATACGTGCCTCATCCACGCCGCAATCTATGCCATGAACCCCCGACGTTTAGGTCGAGTCCTAGGATGTAAGGCTAGTTATATTGGCCATATGATGGAATATATTAATGATACTCGTAACCTTCAGTTGGTAATAATAAGGTATAATTAGATGACCATTGTTTCGAATAATCCAGGAGGTCGCATAGTATGGTTGCAGCAAATAAAATGACAGCTAACCGCGAAGTAGGAGAAACTGAACCGGCTGTTGCAAAAGGTCTCTTCGATCGTCAGCCGACACATCGGAATGAACTCACCTCCACGCTGTTGGCACTCTTTATTTCGTTTCCTCGGGCCAGATCTGAAACGGGAAGGATTCGGGAATGATGTTGATGGCATTCGCAACAAAGATTGCCGACCTTGAGACCCCCAACTGAATCCTTCAGAAATACGGCTTTTGATACTTGCTTTCCAAACGAAATACCCATTGTCTCATGTGGAGGATACGACGCCGTCGCGACCTTCTTCCTAACATGACACGCTAAGATACTTGGGATTTCTCAATGTGCCATCTCTGAATGATCGTCTTGTCTCCTTTTCCCGTAAACATTGCTATTCAGAAGACATGAACGTTGGGATCGGATGCTCGGGTTTGCGAGAAAGGCCATTGGAATCGCATGAGTTTTGCGCCAGGCTAGCTCATCCTGCTCTCGCTAAGTAGTATGCAAATTGAGATAAGGGCAGATTCTCGATGTAATCGAGTAAGGATGATGTTGTTTTCCGCGAGGGTGTGGTATATTTGCAGTTCCTCCTGTATTTCACCCTGATCGAAGTCGGAAAGAATTGGTTTTCATACACCAGACCGGATTACTTTTCGCCGGGACTTTACTGTTGGCTGTATGATAACATTTGCGATGTAATCGTATTAGGATGGACAGGGTATGACTGCTACCCACACTGCATGCTGTTAGTTATGATGGATCACGTAGTTATTCCATATCCGAGAGCTATTGGTATAAGTCGTTACATTACCCTCCTGACTAAGTAATTTTTCTGTGGTATTCTCTTATTTACTTTCATCTGATAATTTCGCTAGGCTCCTCACGACACTCGAGACGAGATGATAATAACTCGGGCCATGTAGGCAAACATGTTGAGCGATACTGAGAACAGGCACAGCCTTGAACGTTATATTTTGCCGACTAGCTTCTAACCTGACATTTTACAAAATGTTGACGCCGTTTTATCGTAGGTTCAATTCTAAGAGGCTGACTAAAGAGTCCCGGGTAGAGTCTCGGTATTCTACCTACTTGAAGAATATAAAGATCTTCAAGACGAGGATCCCGTTGAGGCTCTCCTTCGAGGAAATAGTTAGGAACAAGGCCTACTCCGTTAGTCCATATCACGTAAGTTTAAAGACAGCACAAACATATGCTGACATATCTTAGCCATGCTCCCTAAACGACTTCATGGACTATTTAGTATACGTGGAGCACGGTGCGGAAAATCTTCAATTCTTCCTTTGGTTTTGCGGCTATGTCGAGAGATGGAGTCAATTGCCCGAGTCGGAGAAGGAACGATCTCCTGTATGGGGAGTAGGGAGGAGGACAAATGTCCGACCAAATACACGATCGGAGAGGTTGGGAGAAAGCGCAGATAAGTTGAGCCGTATACTTGCGATCTTGGACCGAGGCACAACGACGATTGAACGGACCACATCAGTGAAAGAGTTAGAATCTAAAGGAGATCATGTGGACAAGAACTTCTCAAGACCGCGAACACCAGCAACTGGAGTAGAGATGAAACAAGGAGACCGAAATGATTGGCAATGGCAACCTTGTGAGTTGGGCAAGATTATCCAAACGACTTGTACTGTTGCTGACACCAGAAGTCTCTGCTCAACCTTTTCGATACGAAGCCACAAAAGTAGCCCGGCATTACATCTCGACCTCTGGGCCACGAAAGTTGAACCTGACGTACCAGGACCGGACTTCCTGCATGCACGCCCTGCAGCATACGACACATCCGTCTGCTTTCCTCCCAGCTTTCTTAGCTGCCGAGACGACGCTGCGAGGATATAGTCACCCCAAATTCATTCGTTGGAGCATTCGCAACAGTAATGGCTCACGAATGTTGTTTTCTAGAGTGCTTGGTGTATGCTTGATTGGTCTCGGCGTTATGTTGGACGTCATTCTGATTCTTTCCAAGTTCCAGCGCCTAGCTCGATTGTCTGCAGTGCCGTTCTGGTATATTGGACTTTACGTCTTGTTGATAGAAGGGCGTGGGATTAGCATCAGGCTGTACTTGAACCGTAAACGCCACTTGCGCCCCTGGGAGCAGGTTGAAACCACGGACCCCGAAAATAAGGCGCCGAATTCGACAGACACTTATAGTAACAGGCAGCAAGACACGGCACGGGTAGATCCGCCGATAAAAGCAAGCATGCAACCTTTAGGCTCAGCCAATAATTTTGGGGGAGAACCGTGGGTCATATCATATCGGGGGAAGTCATTCTGGCAGAAGGTCTTCGACGTCTCCGTCGCGAACCGCAATAGGCACGTGAGGTCTTTGCAAGACAGGGCCGTTTTTACCTCGTTGTTGTGGGCGAGTTTCTTGGTGATGATTTTGGCGGTTGGTTCCGTGTTAATACCCCCTGGCAACCTATTTTAAGCAACAAGAGAGCTATTGGGAGAGTTGAGAGAAGGAATATAAGAAGAAGACTTGACGTCGAAAATGTAATATGTAAGTGGCATAATTCTATTATCCACAATATTCGCTATGCAATAATCAGCACTTTATCTGACCCAACCATGTGGAACTTTCAAATGTTACCAAGTATTCGGCCCCACCAAATCCTGGCGGCAGCTCAGGTACATGGATCCATGCATAATCTTTGTGTTACGTGGCTACCCATGCCTGCCATGCTTTCATCATCTTACCTAACTTTACTTTACCTAACTTCATCTTACATACTTCGCTCAAGCTGGACTACGAGTGACTTACTACTAGACTTTAACGCTATACCAGTAGCAAGTTACTGACATGATCCGGCATAATCTGTTTACATATCTTTGTAGTCGTTTCTTAATATGAGAACCTCAGCGGATGCTCCTCTGATCTCGCATCGGGACGATGAGTTTGATGATGAATCCCGCTCGGACCTTGGTGACACTGAGGATGTAAGCACCGAGTGGCCGGCCGGCCGGCCAGGGCTTTTCATGTGGCTATTAACTCTATCCGCCGGCATTAGTGGACTCTTGTTCGGATGCAAGTACGGCCCCCTTTAATGTCCCTAGCCCACTGCTTACATAGTATCAGACGACACAGGAGTCATCTCGGCTACCCTGGTGTCGATAGGCACATCGCTCTCCGACCGGACACTGAACTCCCTCGACAAATCCGTCATTACATCGTGTACCTCGCTGTTTGCCCTCATCGCTTCCCCGATATCCTCCGTCCTAGCCGATCACTTCGGTCGAAAGCCTGTCATATTGCTATCGGACCTGCTCTTTGTATTCGGCGCCTTGGTGCAGTCCTGTAGCTATAAAGTATGGGGAATGGTACTTGGAAGATCGATAGTGGGGGCTGCTGTGGGCGCCGCGAGTTTTGTCACGCCGTTATATATTGCCGAGCTCGCTCCTCCGGCCCATCGTGGTAGGCTGGTGACGATGAATTCTATGTCCGTCACGTTAGGCCAGGTCGTAGCTTACGTGATTGGCTGGATATTCGCTGAACACGGTGACCCTGCTACAGGATGGAGATGGATGGTAGGCTTGGGTGCTCTGCCGGCTGCTCTGCAGTGCATTTTCCTGCTATTCATGCCTGAAACCCCACGTTGGCTCGTGAAAGTTGGAAAGTCAATGGATGCACAGAGGGTTATTGGGAAGACAATAGGGACCGACGTAAATACCCATTTGATCATCAGTGTTGTAAAGGGTATCGAGAGAGAGCTTAGAGAGGAGCAAGGCAACGCGGCGTTGGCAAGTAATGGAGTGAAGAGCGGTAGTAGTTGGCTCAGGGGATGGAATGAATTACTCAAAGTGCCAAAGAACCGGAGAGCGCTGATCATCGCGTGTTTTCTTCAGGGCCTGCAACAGTTTTGCGGCTTCGTAAGTCCTTGTATCTCATCCACGGCGCCGTATCTTTTGGCTAACAAGTTAGAACTCGTTGATGTATTTTTCTGCAACGATTTTCACGATGCTAGGTTTTTCGATACCAACACTCACGTCATTGACTGTTGCTGCGACTAACTTTGCTTTTACCGTACTTGCATTATTCTTGGTCGACAGAATTGGTCGTAGGCGGATATTGCTATACTCAATACCCTTTATGGTAGCCGGCCTTTTCATGTCTGCCTTTGGCTTCACTTTGGTGAAACTACCTAATAGCAGCGCTCCCACACCTGCGATCACCGATGTTGACCCGCCGACGTCGTCTCAAAATGCTGCGGTTGTTATCCTGATAAGCATTATGCTATATGTGTCTTCTTATGCCATAGGACTTGGGAATGTCCCCTGGATGCAAAGTGAGCTCTTTCCGCTCAGTGTAAGGTCGCTTGGTAGCGGCGTATCAACTGCTATGAACTGGCTGGCAAATTTCATAATTGGTTTAACATTCTTACCCTTGGTGAGTGCTTTTTATATAAAATATGAGGACCCCCCTTCAAATCTAACTATAGCGCTTACCTTTGCTTCTTCGCGTATTTGCTAACCTTTGCATAGTAAGTAATTAGTGTCCTTGATCGCTATGTTTCGTAATAAAGTCTAGGTCGAATCACTGTTCCTGTTTTAGAATACTAACCCCTGGCAGGATGGATTTGCTGACTCCGTCGGTGACATTCGGATTATACGGACTTATCTGCGTTGTTGGATGGTTTGGTGTCTGGAAGATATATCCGGAAACAGCGGGTTTAAGTCTCGAGGAAGTCACTGGTCTCTTAGAACACGGTTGGGGCGTTGAATAAGCATGCTCGTGTCCTTTCTGTTGATGGACAGCTGATCCCTTGAAGCCAACAGGTGGTTGTGAAGGATCGGGTTGTTAGAAAACGGTAGCCCGATGGCCGAGGCCGATACCAATACCGATGCGCATTCGGCCGATGACGAATTTAGACCTACATCGGAGTGTCCGTCCGCGTGACGTGCTAGGTAAATCTTCTGTTACGGCCGTTGTCAGCTTTCGGCTTACTCCTCCGTACGTACCGGAATCGATGTCTCGCTTATAACACCCCGCAGCCACATGTACGTACATCATGATAGATGGTAAATTCGGTTTCGCAGCGGCTCGATCCACTTGTATAAACAATCTTGGATTACATATGTAATAGTATTATAGCTTTTCAATCTAATTATCAACTAGATCTTCTCCATAGTGTGTAAGGGGCGGAAAACGTCGGTGAAACCGCTGGGCACCAATACAGATGTAGCAAATATTTGCGGTAACAGCTTTCATGCATAAGTAACTACCGCGGAACTCGTAGCGGAAGGGCATTTATTGAGTGAATCCGACGTCCCATTGCCGAGTAGCCTCAGAAGCGGTCTATGACCGCTAGAAGTACATAGATAAGGCATACGTTAGGAGCGCGAGTGCCTGTGTAATTCGTAGTAATCCGGTAGGAACTATTACTATGCATTCAGAAATAGAATCTCACCAACATTTTGTTCAAGAAGTTTGCATCATTTTTTCTTTACTAAAGTGGCCGAGTGGCTGAGTGGCAAGCCGCGGTTGATTACCAATTTTTCAATGGAATGGAGATAAGATTAAAATCTCTTATCCCGCCGATTTCAAGCGGTTTAAACCGGTTTGCCGTGTGGGTACGGGCTGAGGTTATAATGGGTCGGCGCTGAATCCCGTTTGAGCTTTGACAAATTGACGAATTGACATGGACATTGACACCTGAGAATAAAGTTTGGTCACTTTTTAGTGGAGCTATAATATCGGAGCACAAAGATCTTAGATACGAGGGTCCCGCTATTGTAGCATTGTCAAATTTCACCTCGGCCCATTTCCTGCCCTTTCTGCACTTTCAGCTTCAAAACTTGCCCCTCTAAAATTTTGAAATTTTGAAATTTTTTTTCACGATCATGCTTACCAGAGGTGTAGGAGTTTACCGACTGAACTATGCGACTACAAACCCTACCTTCTAGTGCAAAATTCAAGGATTTTGCATGTAAAAACAGAACTGATGAAATATTATAGGCTTAATCAACAGAGTCACGATAATGCGGACGAAAACAAAATGCAGTGCAACGGTACGTACAAGCAATTGAGTCAGTCGGACAATACTACCTACCTGCTTATTAAGTCAATATGACATGAGATACGCGACTGGAGTATTATAGTCTCCACCTGTTTGAATCGGTCGTGTGGTAAAGGCCGATGGGCAGATGTGACAAATGTGAGCTCTTCCCCTGAGCCTCGGGTGCGGGTGGTTTCGCGTACATTCTGGAATTTGCGACGGACGAAAGAGTCAAGCTTTCCGCTTTCCAAAAGCGTGTCGGTTTCATGCAACATCCCGAAGGTTGACACCAATTATAACAACTTGGAAGAGCCCAACAATCCCTGAAAAGGCAAGGGGAAATGCGTTGCCGTGGGTCAGCTCGGGCTGGTTGCACTAGGGTAAGTCAACACAACCGGCATTGCATCTCGGTACGGACCATAGTGGCATGGTGGTATGTCCAGGTGGTGGTTGACCCTGGCGGAAATCTCTGCGCATTCCCTGGTCAAGCCATGGTCAATCCTTCGTCATTGAAGCCCAGTGCTTCGGCCTAGACCCGTTTTTTACTCGAAAGAGCGAATGCCGAACCTTCGCTATGTCGCCTCAATAGCCTGGATATAGGTGGAGGGTCTACGTATTAGTCTACTATCTGGGTATGGTAGAGGCTCCCTAATCCCGGACGGAAAGTCCATTTCCCAATTCATTCGAAATATCCATTTCCTTTATTATTAAAGGGAAGCCTTGGTGCCTAACTGATTTGTCTCTATTCTCTATTCTCGTAACCTAGGGATCCTCTTCTTCGCTAGTGCAAGCGCATCATCTAATATTATATCCATACCTATATCCACCTATTGCTTCCCTACCTATCGACTATACACCTATAATACCTATACATACACGCCTAAGTATTATAATAAACTCTTCCCGCCTCTCATCCTTACCTGTACACAACCTAGATAGGTATTACGACTATACGCGAATAGAGTTAACTCCTTGTCATGAATATGGAGGAGGTTGATCGCGAGCTCCTGCGAGCTGAGCATGACGCTTCACGACATATGTCTCCAACTACTACACATGAACCTGCAGCTCCCCGTCGTGCTAGCAATGAGGTCGAACGAGTGGCTACAGCGTCATCCATATCGACATCTTCCAGTGACGGACCCAGAGAAAGGCATACTGGGGCCATGAGCCGCATTCCGACCCAACGAGATCTCGAAAGACACCCTACCGAGCTGAGCCGCATCAATACAGCCCGAAGTCAACACGATGCTACTGTTGGACGAAGCTTAAGAACTCGCGAATCTAAGAAGCCTTTACCTAATTTTGGCGCTGGTAAACCATTTCCACCACCCTTACCAAACCAAGAAGACTATGTCGTCGAATTCGACGGACCGGACGACCCCTATCATGCTCAGAATTGGTCGTTAAAAAGGAAGTAAGTAAAGAGTAATCAACTGTTAAGCTATAAAAGTTATATTCATATAGTTGGCTAACTTGTCTCCTTCCGTAAGGTTACTCACAGCTGCTATGCTGGGATATACTACCATGACAGCCGCTTTCGCATCTAGTATTTTCTCTGCCGCGACACCATACGTGGCTAAAGAATTCGGTGTTAGCTCTGAGGTCGGTATTTTAGGCGTTTCCCTCTTCGTCGTTGGTTTCGCAACCGGTCCGACGTTCTGGGCGCCCCTATCTGAGCTGAAAGGTCGGCGCATGCCTATAGTAGTGGCTATGTTCGGTTTCTCTATTTTCTCTGTCGCCTGCGCTACAGCAAAAGACTTACAAACGGTCCTCATCTGCCGATTCTTCGCCGGTTTCTGCGGAGCCTGTCCATTGGCTGTCGTCGCCGCCGTCTTCTCGGATATGTTCAACAACGCGACGCGAGGTATAGCCATTACTATATTTTCCATGGCTGTATTCACCGGTCCTCTACTAGCCCCCTTCGTCGGAGGCTTCATCGTCGAATCGTACCTTGGATGGCGCTGGACTATGTACATTGCGAGCATTATGGGTTGGGTGGCATTTGTCCTTGATCTCGTCTTCCTACGCGAAACCTACCCCCCTGTCATCCTAATCGAGAAGGCAGCTGAGTTGCGTCGTCGCACTTTGAACTGGGGTATACACGCCAAACAGGAGGAAATTGAAGTCGACTTCAAGGAACTGGTTCAGAAGAACTTTACTCGTCCTATGCGACTTCTATTTGGCGAGCCCATCGTCTTTCTCCTGTCGATTTATATGGTATGTTATTAGATCTTACTTCGAAAAAGTAAAAGGCAACACCTCTAACATCGCTCGTATAGGCCTTCATTTACGGACTGTTATATCTATTCCTTACGGCTTATCCGTTTGTCTTCCAGAAAGTTCATCATTTCAATGCTGGACAATCGGGCCTGGCCTTCTTTGGAATGATTATCGGCCAACTTATCGCAGGCACTGTAGTGTTGCTTGACCAACCTTCATACCAGCGCAAGCTTGTCGCCAACAACGGTGTGCCAATCCCCGAATGGCGTCTACCGATCGTCATCGCTGGTGGCGTTTCATTCACTTGTGGCATCTTCTGGTTTGGATGGTCAGGCTACAGAGCCGATGTCCACTGGATAGTACCAGCGGCTTCAGGGATCATGTCTGGTTTCGGTTTGATGGCTATCTTCCTTCAAGCCCTTAACTACCTCGTCGACGCCTACCTCATGTTCGCCGCCTCAGCTATCGCAGGAAACACATTCCTCCGATCTCTCTGCGGTGCCGGGTTCCCTCTATTCGCAACTTACATGTTTAACGGCCTCGGTATTCAGTGGGCATCCACTTTGCTAGGTTGCGTAGCCGCGTTGCTAGTACCTATTCCGGTTATTTTCTACCTGTACGGCCACAAGATCCGGGCTAAGAGTCACTTCGCGCCTTCATTCCCTAGCATGCCTGCGCCCGCCACTGCATCTAGCTCCGGTGATGATAAGGACGAAGGAGCCAGTCCTATAGATCATGCCGCTGCATCTAACGCACCAAGGACGAATGCCGAATCCGAAAAGGCTTGATCGCGAAGTTAATCATTAATGCTCCCCGGGATTTAGGAAGGGGGAATAAAATGGGACGGATTATATGTTTGGGAATAGACTTAAAAGATACCACTGGAAAGGAAGCGTTTATATGAGAAACGCATATATAACATTGGGGCGAAAATGTAACCTATAGATATAATGTGTAGTTACGACTACCTATGTATATAAGCTCTTTAATATGAGTATAAAAGTATATATAATAATCTGATGATCTATCATTAACTTTTTCGATACTCCCTCCATGGAAATCGTAAGCATTAGAAGCTATAACACCTGTTAGTTATTCAGTCCTAAATCCTTTTACTATTATAATATTAATCTTAGGACGCAATGCCCAATCCATATAGGAAAGAATAGCTTACCTCATTTTAGCAATGTCTAGCTGCGTCAACCTCCTCCCCCGGGACTTTCCCCCGGACCATGAAACGATAGAATGTACGTTATATAGACGAAACTATAGACGCTATAAAGCTCGTTGATAGGCTGTATCATAAATCTACTAGTCCGGGTACATGCATAGGGCTTATCTCCAACCACCTACATTTTATCAGCGTATATGGGCTGTGCAGCTGAAGGATCAAAAGAGATGTATACATCTCGATTCCCGGTTACACTACATATCCATATAACAGGTATCCTTCTCGAATCTTCGGTTCCGTTCTCGAATCTCGGTTCCGGCGGTGGGGTCCATTGCATATTTGCTGACATAGAGCATGTAATTCGAGAATCGGGTAGTAATATCAACTTCATTTACTAGGCAGCCAATCTATATATTATAAGTACCTACCAATTATCTAACTGATAGAGTAGGTGAAGTCGGTTACCTATAGATACAGACCATTCTAAGACACCAAAGACAAAAGTCGAATCATGAGCTCGACATCGGAACAGCAGGGGAAGGAAGAGGTAACGAAGCAGAGCGGTACCTACGAAGCGGGCTGCCACTGTGGCTACATCAAATTCTCGGTGACGTTGTCGCCGCCGCTGCCCGAGTACGAGGTCCTCAATTGTAACTGCTCTGCATGTACACACCTCGGCTATCTTCTCGTGTGTAGGTTCTGCCCCCACGCTCCCCCCCCTTCTTTCCCCTTCACAAACTCCATCTCCTTTTCCTACATTCCAATATAAGTGATTCTAACGAGTACGTACAGATCCCGACGTCAAAGACGTAGTATGGCACAATAACAGCCGCGAGCGATGCGCCAGCTACCGATTCAACTCCAAAAAGATGGACCAGATGTTCTGTCCCAAGTGCGGTGCCAGTCTAGGCATCGACTTCGAGGGCTTCTTCAAGCCAAAAGACATGTATGGCATCAGCGTAAGTATAGCCACCTACATCAAGGGGCGTTCATCTCACATAGGACTGGACGCCCAAAGCTTGAGTTGTCAATTGCTAATAAGGGACATAGATCCGCACATTCTACGACATCAACCTCGACGACCTCAAGTATAAGAAGGTCGATGGGAAGAACAAGGCCAAGCCCGCGAAGAACTTGGCTGGACACATCTGGGATGAGGAGAAGCAGGAGCTGCAGTAGACGGGCTCGTTTTGTCCTTCGTCATGGCCTGTCTCTCCAGTAGCTAGTAATGTAGCTCCATTGCCTATCATTAAGAGATTTAAGTCCTATTAGGGGCGACCTCATATTTCATACTAAAATATATGATGAACCTCTTTGTGAGTTTACTCTAGATAGTGATCATTCAAGTAGTCAACTGGGTGAGACAGATCAGATAGGTACTCCATATATGTTATTATGACACGAAGTTGTAAATGAGAGGAAATTGTATAGTATCATAAGTCATCATCAATGAACAGTAGGGCTCGTTTCATGGCATTTACTCACCTACCCAAACACCCGTCTCGCTCAGGACTCACCAACCCTCCCAACCAACTCACCTACATCCCATCACCCACCCGTCAAATTCAAAACATTCATCAATACTCTCAGTACTTTAACAGCAATTTCATTTGTATTTTTCATCCATATAACGCCATTTCCGCACCAACCAACCTACGAGCCTCTATTTCTGCCTCTTCGCGTATAACTTTTCCGCCGACGTGATACATTGCATATTCGCGCCCAACTTGTTTATCGTCTCCATCCACTCCTCATATGGGTCCGAGTCGAATACGATCCCACCCCCTATGACCGTGATTAGTAATGTATGCATCCCCAACGTACCTGATGTACCCAAACCTCGAGCCGCAAAAAAAAAAGGGGGGGGGGGGGGGGAAGAAGAAGAAGATAGGGGTCATATCTTACCAGCCTGCAAATACGCCACCCCGTCCTTAACCACCATCGTCCTTAACGCGATACACGTATCCATCGCGCCCTCCCTTTCCCCCCCGTCCGCCCCCACGCCGCCGTACCCGAAGTAACCGACCGCGCCGGCGTACACCCCGCGCTTCTCCGCCTCGAGCTCGGCGATGAGCTCCATGGCGCGCACCTTGGGCGCGCCCGACACCGTGCCGGCGGGGAAGATGGACCGGAACGCGTCGAACCGCGTGCGGTCCGGGCGCAGCACGCCCGAAACCTGCGAGACCAAATGCTGGACGTGGCTGAAGCGCTCGACGACCATGAGGCGGTCGACGCGCGTCGTGCGCGGGTCGCACACGCGGTTGACGTCGTTGCGCGCGAGGTCCACGAGCATGACGTGCTCGGCGCGGTCCTTGAGCGAGTTCCTTAGCTCGCTCGCGAGCCGCTCGTCCTCCTCGGGCGTGCGACCGCGCTTCACCGTGCCCGCGATCGGGTGCGTGATGATGCGCCCTTCCTCCTCCTTGACCAGCAGCTCCGGCGACGCCCCCACGATCTGGAAGTCCTGGCAGTTGATGAAGAAGAGGTACGGCGACGGGTTGACCGTCCGCAGGTGCCGGTAGATGTTGAACGGGTGCAGCGACGTCGGCCGCGCGAACCGCTGCGAGGGAACGGCTTGGATGATGTCGCCCGCCACGATGTGCTTCTTCAGCTCCGCCACGTGGCCCTCGTAGCCGGCGCGGCCGATGTTGGACGTGTACTCCTGGTTGAGCTGGATGGGTTGCTGTTCGGGAACGGGTATCTCGGGGGAGTTGAGGACGTCGATTAGCTCCTGGATGGTTTCTGTAGCTTTATTATATTCGTCCTCGAGGGTATCTAGGTTCTCTGGGATGCGGAGGTAGGTGATGACCTTTATGACGCCGAAGAATCTGTCGAAGGCTACGATGGTATCAAATAGCATGAAGAGAGACTCTGGGGTCTTGAGGATGTCTTTCATCGGCCGGGCCGTCTTGGGCTCGAAATACCGTACGCAGTCGTAGCCCACATAGCCAACGGCACCGCCAGTAAGTGGTGGCAGTCTGAGATCTGGTACGTCGGCGACGACATTTTGTGACAACTCCTCCTCGAGCGCAGGCAGCGGGTCTACCGATTCTCCATGGCCCTCTCCCGTCTTCAAGATCTTACGCGGTCCGGCACCGACAAAGCTATATCTACCAACCCGCTCTGTGGCAGCACTCTCGAAGAGGAAGGAGAAATCTGATTTTGAATGGGCGGAAACCTTTAAGTATGCCGCGGACGGTGTGATAAGATCGGCAGATATTTGACCATATAAGGGGACTAGGTTTGGTTTCTTAGGTCCTGCTGTGGGTTTCGAGAGAATGTCCCTAACAGTTTCTAGCGAAGGCAGAACAACGTCCTATAGCAAGAAATACCTATTAGTTAACTTACATGTTCTCTAATTGGAGTGTTTAAATTAGGGGGTCTAAGATTTCTTACTGCTTGAGCCATTATGGGCAAGTAACAACTAGAGATCTAGGGGTAAGATAATAGGCTCTCGTTCATTTTGAGCGCTTTCTAGCTGTTCTTAATGGTCTGGAGGGTTGACTCAGCTTTCAATATTCCGATAACTTCAATTGGTGTAACCAACTGTATATATTTTATCCGAGGACGGAGGCGGGGCATGCTGCAAGGCGAGGTCGTATACAGCACTTAACCCCACATCGTGCCATAATTGAATCATAAATGTCAGTCATCGCGGGGTATTATTCAAATATAATGCCAATTTGTTAAACGAGGTCTATCTTCCTTTCGTAAGCCATTGGCTATTATGTCTGAGTATGATCTCCCTTATACGCGGTTTTCTCTTGCTTCTTTTACTTTTTCCTCAAATATTCAACTCTCAACTGCTAGTGCCTTAGCACCGACGAGCTTGGCGCTTGCTCCTTTGCCCTCCGTGGTGACGACCCAGTATTCGACCTTAACGCCCCCCTTCGAGACCCGGTATACTCTGATATCGTTGCCCTTACCCGCCTTCTGCGCCGCATCTAGAATCGCCTTGTATTGTCCCTGGCTATCCCAGTCCGCCGGATCCAGTATCTCAATCTGCGCATTCGCTGGCTCGGGGTGATGTATCAGAGTCGCAAACTCCTCTGTAGATCCGGAATTAGCTCCTGTAAACTGCCCACTGTAAAGAGAGATTGGCGAATCACCCCAATCTCCGCTGCAACTCACCCTCGTCTGGTAAACCTTTGCCGCCCTCATCCCAGGCCAAGTAAACCGGAACAAACGGCTCATCTGCGTCGCTCACATAGAAACTATCCTTCGTTGCCTCCTGGATAGCAGCCGGGATTTGCGCACCGTCATCGGTCGCTTTGAAATCTTGCTTGCTAGAAGTCTGCGCCTTTGTATATCCTTTGCTTGGGTCCTCGTTCGCCTTGTTCAAAAAGGCCATGTAATCATCATCCGACGCCATGTTTAGTGTCCTGGTCGTAGTGAAACCCCGTAGATTATGAACGATACAAGGGGTGTATCGAGTTTGCGGTCTTGATGGATTAGGGAAGGCTGTATGCTTTAGTTGATCTCTTCGATCTAGATCTAGAGCGTTGATGCGATACGAGGCTGAAGTAGTCAGAGCTGGCAGAATGGTAGATTGATGAAACGATCTGCAAATCACACTGCGTTTGAGAAGTGGAATGGACGTCATTGATTCAGATAGATCCCATTGGGCTGAAAATTGTTTTCTGCTGCACCAGAGGCAAGCTTGGGCTACTAGGTACCTTGATAATGAAATGATAGGTATTTTTATCGCTAGTTACATCATAGCTGCTAAGGAAGTATGTCTTAAAGTAAACTTCCCCATTCATGCATATACGGTACCCCAATTCCAACTCCAACTCCAACGTTCATGGTTTGAAGAATTATTCTGCAGAAATTGTAGACGAAATGTGGAACGTGTATTTCCGTTTTTGTCATTTGAAGATAGATGCCTGTGGTATTTCTGAGCATCATTCGGACTTTCAACCTATCTTTACCATATAGAGACAAGGAGACAGTATAAATGATCGTTCAATAAGTTTCTACATCTCTAATTTCGTCGCCACTATCCTCCCTGCTACCTAGTTGTTAGTCCGTCACTTGTCTTGTCCTCATACAAATGCCAAGGTGTTGATGTAAAAGTATATGATTCAACAAATCGGGTTAATCTACGTTGGAGGGAACGAAGAGGATTTAATTAACTTTTTACCTACTCCACGTCAATTTGCTTCAACTGCATTGCCCTTAGAATGTCGAAGTCAATTGTAGAAAAACTGGAGGGGATTGTGTGGTTGATCTTAGAGTCGACAATTAAGCATCATATGTACGCAGGTGGACCTATCACAATTCAACTACGGGTCTAATACAATACGTTTCACGTCAGGGATAGAGTTGCATCATGTAGCCTTTCTTTCATGCATTTGTTCATTAACCTCTTTTTGTCTCAAATGCCAACCCTAGACCATGCCCATCGCGATAGCCGAAAAGTGAACCAGGAACACCGATGCAGCAAAGACAAGATACAAGGAGACGTGTAGCTCTCTACGAGCTTTGGACGAGGTCCTTCTTGAGTGTACCTTGGAATTGCTTCTTCTCGGCCGGAGTCTGGAAGGCACCGTGACCAAACTCGGAAGACGTGTCGATCCATTTCAACTCCACCTTCTCCAACGCCTTTCTGGAGGTGTGCGTGAACATGGACTTACGCAGCGTCATGACACGCTTCTTGACACCAGGGATGGAACCCTTGACCATGACGAAGTCGTTGTTGACCTCACCATATCGGACGAAACCGCCCAGACTGAAGTCATGTTAGCGTAAGACACATCAAGAAAGATAAAGCGTCACTTACGGAGTAATGGTCTTCTTGGTGACATCCTGATCGGTGGAGGCGTTGGCCTCGTTGTCGCCCTTGCCGATACGGTAAACCTTGTGGTTGACCGAGGTACGGTGGTGGTAACCTTGTTGACCGGCACGGGCAACGGTCCACTGGACGTGGGACGGATGCCAGGCACCGATACAAGCGACCTTACGGAGACCCTTGTGGGTCTTACGCGGGAGCTTCTTGGTGCCCCATCGAGCGGTGACACCGTTGAAGCCGTGACCCTTGGTGACAGCGATGACATCGATCATCTCGTCCTGCTCGAAGATGGTGTCGATGCTAACAGGCTTCTCGAAGAGACCGTGGCCGAAGTCGACCTTGTCGGGGATGGAGCCACCGTTGATCTGGATCTCCATAAGGTGGGCCTTCTTCTGTTTGAGGGGGGTCTTGCGGATCTGGGTGTGGGCAAGAACACGGACGACGGTGCAGTACTTCTTGATACGCTCGAGTTCGCGGGTGATGGAGGCACCGCTGCTCTCCGAGTGCTGCTTGGCGTACTTGGTAAAAGCCTTCTTCTTGCTCTTGTACCAGTTCTTGTAGAATCGGCGCTTGACTTCGTCACTTAAGTGCTCGGCCCAGACGGTGGTGAGAGATCGGAGACCACGGGGAGTCTCGATGTAGCCCACAAGACCAACAACGATCATCTATAAGATGTTAGCCATAGGCACATAGCCAAGCGGGCTGCGTTGTTCGTACAGGTGGAGTATCAATGATTGAGACTGCCTCAACAACTTCCTTCTTGTGCGACTTTGCGCCGGGTCGATCGAGGTCGCGGACGATGGTGGTCATACCGGCCTTGTAGCCCATCGCGGCAGTGAGGTGAACGGGCTTCTTGGGGTCATCCTTGGGGAAGCTAATTGTGACGATCGTGAATCAGCACTGAGATTTGAAGTGCGGGTGTTGCGCAGATGCGAGGGTTGAGAAAGAGAACGATCTACTTACGACTTGACCTTTCCGCGGTGACGGGCGGCACGCTTTCGCGGCAAGAAGGCAAGAGAGCCATGGCGAGGAGCCTCGAACTTACGGTGCGACATTTCGATTGATTCCTTGGTGTTGAAGGAAAGAGGTCAATCGGATGGTCGTGGGTGTGAGGAATGAAGATTAAGAAAATCGAGTTTGGGGAAGCTCAATCTTTTTTCTTTCTTTCTAGTTTCTCGTAGTGCAGGAACGAACCTGTGGGTTGCAAAACTCCGGCAAATAGCCGAATGTGGGAGGTAACCCCACATTGAGGAATAGGAACCCTAAAGCTATGGCCACGTGACTAAAGCTGTTTTTGACGGGTTAAAAGGTCATCTACATTTGAGAATATCACGTGGCACGTGCAAATGCGGTTACAAGACAGAGAATATGAATTTTATGGCACATATCAGGGTAGGCGGTTTATGATTGAGCTAGGAACCGGAGGGATACTCGATTCAGGATGTTAATAATTTAAGCAAAGATGTTGGAAACGATAGACAGACTTTGATGTCGCCTTGCCAGTATCTAACAGGAGGGCAGCTCGCCAACTTAAGAATTGATATACATTCGCATTGAAACAATCCTGAGTAATAATGAAAAAGGGTATGTATTGACATTCAGCATTCGTTGATAAATCCGCATCTCAAGCGTTTCCCTCCGCCTTAGGGGTAGGTCCCATTATTCCGTTAATGCTGGCGCTTGTAGGCGTTGTATTCTTCAGCTCCCCCGAAGTTGAACTAGGCCCGGACGTGGCGCCATTAACAGTCACCTTCTTCTCCTCCTCTCCACTGTCGTCATAATCATCATCAACATCCATCTTTCTAGCAGCACGTTCAGGCTCACTTATCTGCGGCGGCGCAGCGGCAGCGGGGTGCTCGAGCCTCTGACGCTCATCTGGTGGCGGATAGTCTTTTGGGGCCGGGCTCGGCTGCGGACCATCATGAATTAACCCTTGCATGGGAGGAGGAGCCTGTTGCATTGGGGGTAAATGGTTCGGCATTGAGTGCGCCGGTGGGTGGTGAGCGGCATCCGACGGATGATAGCTCTCGTGTCGTTGCTCTTCGGCACGCCGCATGTCTTCGACTCGCCTCTGATCATCGACACGTCGCTGTTCCTCCATACGTCGCTGCTCCTCGAAGCGATGAGCGTCAGGGGAACGACGATAAGGATCACGGGGATCACGTGGGGGTGTCGACGGCCGTCGATGACGTATATCTTCCATCCGGGCCCGGTTCTCTTCGTTGGCGGGCTTCTTGATGGCTGGTTCGTCCTCCCATTCTCGCATCCTCTTGGATGCAACCGATGACGGTCGGTCATGATCTCTGTGCATTTCAGCGCCAATAATTCCTTTTGGGTGGGGAGGTCCCGGTTCCATGTTGTTAGGCATTCCAGGCTCTGGGTGGTGAGGGAATGGAGGCTGGTGTTGGGGGTAGGCCGACTTGGGAGAAGGCATGCGGTTATCATGCATCGGCCTTGGCTCCGAGCGGGGGGAACCATTGCGGTAAGTCATCAAAGAATGAGGTGGCGGAGCACCGTTAGGCGGCCCGTTTGCGGGACCCATATTCGAGGCAGGCGCCGGCGTATAATTAGGGTTATTGACTCTAGCAGGCCCTTGCGCGGTGGGAGGGGGAGGCTGTTGCGACGGTCCGGGGAGAGGAGGGGCGTATTGAGCGGGCGGACCGGGGGAAGGTCCCCTGCGAATTGGTGCAGGGACTGGCCGATTCGACTCGCCGTATTGCCTCATCTCCTGTCGAGGGCTAGGCTGACGTGGGAGTGGAGGCGCCGGTCCACGAAAGGGCTCTCGTTGGTCATAGGGATTAGGCGGCTGAGGTGGGTTGATATCGCTTGTTCTTTGACCCCAACCGTTGGCCGCAGCAGGTCCGGGAGGTGGTCTATGAGGACCTCCGGGCCCGGATTGCGCTAATGGCGCCGCCGAACCGGTCCAAGAAGGAGCTTGCGGCCCTTGAGCTCCGTAAGATTGGGGATGGACGTCAGTGGGTACGGCCTGCGGAAGATTTCCCGAGGCCTGACCAGCCCTCAACAGTTGGAGCCTGGCCTTTATGTGCGGGTTGGCAGGATCCAATTCAGCCGCTCTTTGGTACGCATCTAGGGCGTCGGCGACCTGGTTGTTACAAGACTCGTACTAGAAGGATTCGTCAGTGATGTTGCACTTGTAAGAGTAGCAAACCAAACTTACCAGTGTGCCCAGGTCATACCAAACTTCAGATATATACGGGTTCAAGCGTATCGCTCGGGAGTATGCGTCTAAAGCATCTCTATACTGATTGATCTGGTAGTAGAGCACGCCAATGGAGCACCAAAATGTAGGGTTCCGCCCGTCGCGGTACACTGCTTGCTGGTATGCCTCATATGCCTTGGGATACTTCTGCTGTGACATGTAACATCGGCCGAGGAGATACCAACTTTGGGCGTCATTGTTGTCTGCCACGTGTGTTAGAAAGGCACGAATCTTCGCGAACTCGGACTGAGAATAACCCACCTGCAGCGACAGACTTTTCCAAATACTCAATTGCACGCTCCTGCGTTTGGAAGCTGCTACTTTGCTGGTGATGAAGCCAACCGAGCTGTTGCAAGACCTTAGCGTGATTCGGGTCACGTTCAAGCACTCGCATGTAGGCCGCTTTAGCGCTGTCATACTGCAAGATGGTTAGCTGACTATCTGAGTGCACGCTGTTAAAGTTCACTCACGTCTTTTTGCTGCTCATGTACATGTCCAATCTGGAACCAGATATCTTCCTCGGTCAATGGCGGCGGAGGAGAATTTACGATGTATTTGAAGCACTGCAATATGTTAGAATTGTCAAGAAACGGTCGCGTATTTACCAAGGGGTCATACTTCTAAGCTTGGGCCATACTTTGACTGCTGCTTGTATATTATGCCCAATCTAAAGTAAATTTCGTTGGCTTTCTCAAAATCGGGTTGCATCTGCATGACCTGCGAGAATGCTTCTTCGGCATGATCAAGCGACCCGTATCTGTCATATAAAATACCAATACCATACCAAAGCTTGGGTTCCTGCTATGCGTTAGTTAGATATATGATAAGGGGAATTCTCATGTCTCTTACTTTAGGATTAGGTAGGTTGACCAAGGCAGATTGGTAGGCGGCATATGCTTGTTGCAAGTCATCCATCATAAGATAGCAATGACCTGGAAGTATGCGTCAGTTTGGCAACTCGGTTTGCAGTCTACTCATTCGGACATACCTAGGCTACCCCAGACCTCTCCGTTATTGGCATCTATTTTCAGTATAGCCTGCAGATACTCGACTGCCTTATGGAAGTCCTCTCTAGTCCGAAGAATCAGACTGATAGCGTTCATCGCAGGAATCGAGTTGGGATTCGCAGTCAACGCGTGCTCGTATGCGATCATGGCATCGTCCAAATTACCAAGAAGTTCCGAGAAACTCCCTGCGCAAAACTTATCAATTGACTGCATCAAGCGATCAAGACTTCGGAATTCTCTTACCAATCTGCATCCACAGTGCTTCGTTAACCGCGACGATATGACGCGACGGTGCCCATTGAACACCTTGGGCCGGCCCAGGAGGAGGGGGAGGAGGTACGGGCGGGCCGTGATGCTGCATTTGCATCGCCATCTGAGGCGAAGGATGGTGGTTTGCCATGGCTGATACTTTAGGGGTACGTGGTCTAGATCAGCCTCGACCAGGCTCTTAAGACTTATACCAGCTTCTGTTCAATACAAGACAAAGGACGGAAATAGATTCAGAGCCTTGTAACGCGAAACTTGGTCGCGCAGGGAAATTATGTGAAGAGAAAAAGCATAAGATAGAACGAAATGAAAAGATGGGCAAGAAAGGACGTATTTGTAAATGAAATAGACGATAGATCTTAATAGCGATATGGCGCGAAACTCTCGTGGTCGTGAGTTCAGTAAATTGCGATTGTGGTAGGTAAGTTTAAACGGTCGCGGCTTCGTAGATTATGGACGATGGCCTGCGTCGGGCGGGAGCGCCTATTACTTCCGCAGCTACGTACCAAGCAATATCAAATCTACCTCGGATGGGACCGAACGACGCTCGATTAACGTCGGCAGGCGACAAGATTGAAGTTTATGTTGGAGTCGAAGTGTGAGAGACAAGCTTGAGGCTCAATGTCTTCTTGACGACCTAATACGTGGTAGGGGAGGGGAGAATAAGCGGTGGAGAGGCTGGACGGGAAGGAGAAGAAGAGTTGGGAAACGGTCCAAGGAGGATTTCCCTTTCCAATGCTTTCGTGGGTAAGGGTAGCTGAGAGTAGAAGCATGGGAGTATAATGTGGGGCATAGTTCCTGGACCCGGAAGGAGCCAAGACACAGGTACCCACGGCGTATTTGGATGTACCCGGGTACTTCCATGTGTACATATGTACACATGTAAGTGAGACTTTTCAGATGTGCAGATAATATGGGGCAGACTATGGTTTTTAGGCCTAGCTAGGTATGATGAATAAAAAATAGGTTCCCCATACTGTTCTTATTATGTACTAGTGCAGCTTGGTTAGCTCCTTGCTTCCATTTCTTTGGCTATGTATTAGTTATATCGCGACAACTTCACCAAAATCCCCACGAAACATCAGACGATAACTATGCAATACTGTACGATGATCGATGTTGTATATGTCGATGTGTCGTGTCGTAGTATGTATGATTATGTGCGTAGGTAAGAACCTAGGTTATGGTAGAATGTTACTCCTTTCCCCATCATCCACCGACTACCTAACTAACGCTTAAAAGAAGAGGATAAGTTTTTCAAAGTTCAATGGTAGGAGTATTGAAGTCTATCGAACTCGCGAGAATATGCTTAATAGGAACACCAGTCGTTATCGTCGAGGAGGACAGTGTGTTTCCTTCCTTGTGTTTGGCTCAAGGTTGTCTCTAGGGCTGCGTCACCATTCTATCGTTTCCCGCAAACTTTACAGAGACGGGTAATCAGCCAAGGTTTAGCTTTAGCTTTGAATAATTAACTTTCTTGTGGCATATCGTCTCCAGATATATGGATGCGCATGTAAGTTGTAAAACCGGGGGCTGAGGACAGCAACTGCCCAAGTGCTGTTGATAGTTCCTGCAGGGAAGAAGGGAAGGTACAGGCTAGTGACTTCCTTAAGACTTTGACCGAGAGGCGGCCAAAGTTCCGAAACACGTACAAATTTGGGTCAATCACCGGTCGTGGCGGCTCGGACGGATTCGCTCTTACCTTGCCGCTTGGCCCCAAAAGAGGGTTGCTTAGGGTTGCTTGGAAGGGGCGTGTGGAACAGCCACAGACTCCACACCCATCAATCCCTCATCGCGCTAGGCAAGCTTAGGTGCTAGAGCAGTACGTACTACGTAGCATAGGTACATGGGTACGTTCAGGGATAAAGGAACTCAAAGAGAACATTTGAACCTTGGAACAATATGAACAATTTAGGTAAATTTCTAGGAACGCTTATCTCTTGTTATGTCGGAGTATTTACCCTCATCAAACCGACCAAACGCCGCGAGCCTACCAAACCAACGCTCATCATGAGCTTTGACGCACAGGAACAAATTACCCAACGTAGCTAAAGCCAGTTTTATTCAACAAGTTACAAAGTCCCGACTGACACTTGTCAAACATACAGGGCAAGGGACGACAACGCACTCACCCGTATGCTGTTGAGATTCGTCATATTCATCGTCGCGATCGAAATACTCAAATCTTCATTATCATGCGAACATCACCCAAAGAAAAGAAAATAAGATAACTAAGCAACTTAAAGTTACTAGATATAAGGGGTAGATTTGGTGAATATTTGACATCTAAAATCTTGTCGTCGGGTAATATGTGGTTGATGACGATGCTGACCAAGTTGAGATGGTGGGCCGTCGTATCAGGTAAGTTGCCGCAGCCGAGTTTTCGTGCCTGCAAATCATGCAGAAGCTTGTCCAGATCATCCCGCCGCTTGGAGGAACGGATATGTATACTGTAGTCATAACTTAACAAACCATACGTCCCGGGAAATTTCTGGTGAAATTAACCAGTTGAAATAATACCAAATGGTAACACGGATTAGGATCAAGGGAAGAAGGAAGGGAAAACCAGACGATAAAAGATATGAGGCTATTGTGGGTTTGCTTAATTGTGTCAGCAATGAAATTGTGGTGGAAATAGCCAAGCGACCAATCTCGTCATCTCCCGAAGATCGAGGGTGAAGAAACACCGACGATGTGGCACCAATTTTTTTTCTTTCTTTTTAGATTTGGGGGTGGGAGGAGGGGGGGGAAGGGACGGGGAAGCGAATAAGATAAAAAGAAGATAAAAAAAATAATAGAAATAAATAATAGTAATAATAACGATAATAGCTTGCGTGATCATTCCCGTTGAAGTAGTTTGACGTCTAACGCTAAGACTCTTCGAGGAAGCCCACGTGTCATAATAAGAAGGGGCTGGAATCTCACCACGACCTTAAACTGTTTGGGGCTTATTATTACGCATCTGGGAAGCAATACCTAGCGCCCGTCCGCGTAGAGAATCCTACGACAAGCTTAGTAAATTACTTTAATGGTTTCATCACCTCGGCGCTTTTCCTTGTCGACCTTTCGCTGATCCCGCTTCCAGGGCTTGGGTCTCTCTTACTAGAGAGCAAGGTATGTATTTACGTATTAGGCGTATTATTGTACTATGTAATTCAAGTCAATCCCATCGAGATGATGTTTCAAGACCAGCAACCACATATGGATACATACCACCCATGACTACCATCACCGCCATGGGCAGTTCTTCTAGACTTTCATCTCGCGGAGGTGGGGTTACTTACCTAGTTAAGTTACTAAGGACCCTTCGAGGTAAAGTATCATTCATAGGGTTCGTCTGTCGGGATGTCAGCGTGTCGCTTTCGATAATCTACTTAGATTGATACATCATTTGGAAGATGGCCGGTTGGCTGATCAGTAGTGTGTGATCGTCATCGTCAGGCAGTTGAAGGGAAGCTTTCTCCCGCAACCTGCACGCATCGCAGGACGCATGTCTATGTGATTGCCCGGCATAACTGACCATGAATGGATGCTAGGATCTATTAAAGGAGAGGGGGTGGGCGGAGAATAACTGCAAGAAGAATGCAAGAAGACAGACTGCAACATGGTTGCAAGATGGGTAGGTTAGTTCGAGGTGGCAGAGTGGGTGTTGAAGAGGCGGACGGGTAGAAGGGCAGAAGAAGGGGGGGGGTCCTCTCTCGTAGCCGGTTGTGACTTTTGTGACTTCTTTTTTTCCCCATTGCCCACTGCCCATATATGCATATTATGCGGCCTCAATCCAACCCTTTATTATTAGCTGAGCCAGATTTGGGTGATTTGGGTGACATGTACAAAGGTACGAGCGTACTATATGTAGGTAGGTAGGAAGCACTATGTGTGCTGCATCTCGCGCATCTGCAGCCGTTGGTACGTGGCTATACCTAGTCCCACACCTCTAGAACAGATCACCCTACCAGCCTACCACCCGTGTGAGTGGAGGTCTGCGGTCGACCCTGGCTAGCCGTCCTGGCTTCCTGCATCGGGACCCCGGCGGTCTAGGAATGATGATGAGGGTGTGCTTTACATTAGCTGCCCAGTGGCTAGGTGGTAGAACGTAACCGGTACGTACCATCCCCGTATTGCCTCATACCGCACATACTAGTACAGATGGATATACGTACATACATCCATACCTAAGGCACACACCTCCGGATGTAAGTTACGTACCAGGTAGGTAGACTCGGTAGGTTACCTAGCCCATGTGTCCATGCTTACAAGCGCCGCCTTTTTTCTTTCATCATCATCTCCTGCAAATCCACGGCACAGTCATTTATTTCGGGATAGTTCAGTATACTAGGCGAGCAGCCAAGTCACACGAAAGGTAATAAACCACACCACTTGTTGCGGTATTTAGACTTCACTGCCGTCCAACCCCTAGCCACGATAGCTTCAACATAACTTACCTACCTCATGGTCTACTGAGTCGACGAGGCGTGAGACAACGAGGCGTCAAAGCGTTTTCTCGTATGAATGAAGAGTCGCCTTGGGGACATTCTGCCGCCTTTGGCGCTTGTATTCCCGCGGATTTGGTACGGTAACTAGTGTAGTTTTCGAGGTCCTTAACCAACCAACATTTGGCCGGGCAACTTTCACCGACCGACCGGTCAGTAAGCACAGGTGATATTGGCTTTTGTCCATCAATAGTAAGGAACAGATGGATACGTCAAATGTTCGTTTGTAGTATTCGCTTGTTCGGAAAGGAGGGTTGAAGGTTGAAACAAACCCCGTCTGGTTTTAGTAAATCCATTGGTCGGTAGGGCAAGATGACCGGCAGAGGAGGCTGTTCCAAGTGCCACGAGGAAAGCACCCAGCTGAGCTGCTATTAAATATACCTAAAGATTGCCTACTAGTTACCTAGCACGCATGGGAGGTAAATGATGGGCAGAATAGGATCTTAGGCGTACAGGGGTTCGCACGGATCGAAACGTTCTGAAGGACAGCCTTGGATTTGAACCTAGCGTTAAGCGTGTAAGCATCAGCATCAGCATTTTCAGAACATTCATCGTTGCGCTTGGTTGCCAAGATGCTCCCGAAAGGCATCCTAATGAGATTTGCCGATTCGCGCACTCGTCAAAGGGTCACATGTAATGGACCTGAATGGCTGATGTCTCAGCGCATCGGGGATAGGAGCCGTGGAACTTAAACTACTCGAGAGATACGTGTACACATGTGCTCAGCCGATCCGGTTGTACTCAGATGCGGTGGAACAAACTGATTACCTAGGTACCTAGGTATTCTGTACACTGAGAGACAATCTGTGCCTGTTTGAGGTTTGGGGGGGGGGGGGGGGGGGGGGGGGGGGG